TCCTCCTCCTCCTCCTCCTCCTCCTCCTCCTCCTCTCCACCCGCACTGTACTTGTCAGACTACTCCCTCCTCTTACCCCCATCCCCACCGTCTCTACCGGTCAGAGAGGAAGGAGATCCAGTTGAGGAGCTCGACGCGGTTCCAGGCATTGGTCGGAGGGCCTGCGGAACAGCCTCGGCGTGAGGAGGATGACAAGAGAGTGAAGGGCGAGGAAAGGGGAGGAGGGGGGAGGAAGGAGAGGACTAGAGACGAGGAGGACAAGGGGGGAAGGGGGGGGCATAGGGGGTTGAGAAGGAGAAGAAGAAGGGGAGGCAGGGTGAGGGAAGTAAGAAAGAGAGAAGAGCCGCGGGTAGGAAAGGGAAAGAAGGAAGAGGGGGGGAGGGAGGGAGGGAGGGAGAGCGGGGGGGTTGAAAGGAAGGGAGAAGGTGTTTCTGCAAGGGATGGGTACAAGCAGAGCAGGGGGGGTATCTTGACCGGGAAAGTCAAACTCCGGAAATTTCCTTCCGGAATCTGCAAAGACGTCAATGTGGGAGGAGAAAGCGGATGGAGAAGAAGTATAAAGGAGAAAAAGAAAGGAAACAAACTGAAGGGAGGAAGAGACGACGAGGTTGAGAAGGAGGAGGTGTTTTAGAGAAAGAGGAGGAGGATAAGCAGAACATGGACGAGAGGACTTAGCAGGAGAAGGAGGAGGAGGAGGAGGAGGAGGAGGAGGAGCAGCAGCAGCAGCAGCAGTCAGTTTCTCACGAAGGTCTCGTAAATCCTGCTGGATCTCTCGGAGATCGTTAACCTAGATGAGATAAACTTCAGGCAAGATCCGAGCAGGGGAGACAGTCGAAGAATAATGACGAAGGAAGGAGAAGGAGAAAACATTGCAGATTGAGGAGGAGAAAATGGGAATGGAAGGCAAGCAGGAAGGAATTATGAAAACAAGAGTGCAAGAATGCAACAAAAGCAGCGAAGGATAGAACAGATAACGCACCACTTTCTGGTAAGCCTTGTCCGACAAGTTGCATTCTTTCCTGCAGTGTCTTCAAAGAGATGAGTCAGTTCCGTCCGCAAGTTGACGGCGCTGCTTACGAAGGGAAGCCAGACTTTGGGCAGGAGTATCCCTGATAGCTGCAGCAGGAATCAGGACGAAGTCGAGGACAAGCACCTGGTGAAGCGGGGAGGGAGACGGGAGCGAGGAGGAGAAGGCCGAACAGCAACAGCAGAAGGAGCAGGGGAGGAAGAACAGGGGAGATGGGGAAGGAGCAGCAGCGATACGGGAGGAGCAGTGAGGAAAAAGCGGGAGTAGCAGTGAGGAAAAAGGAAGGAGCAAAAAGGAGAAAGGAAGGAGCAGTGAGGAGAGAAGGGAAGGAAAAGGGAGGGAGAGCAGTAAGAGCTTGTGAAATAAAGGAGGAAACCTCTCAGAGCAAGATCCGCATCCCTTCCCGATCTTGGCATACTGCTCTGCAAGGTTTCGGATGGTAGGAGCAGGATGCTCTAGCATGGGACTTAAAGGCTCGTCCCTCCTTGTTGCTTCCTCTATCAACCGATTCGCATCTATCTCTACCCCCTTCTCCTTCTTTCCCTTCCCGAAGAGTCCAAAGAATCCCCTGGAAGGAACCCTGGCAACCCTCCATGCGGGGGAGGAGGAGGAGGAGATGATGCTTGAAGATAGACGATGTATGCTCATCATCTCTGAGTAACATCAAAAGTGAATGAAACAACACTATACTTTGATTGTATGGGTTTCAGGGGGAAATAGCTAGAGGGGGCGGGGCAGGAGATATGAAGATAAGCGACACGTTCATCGTCTTTCCCTCACTCGTCCTGAGCATGATTTAAAATTGAGGACATGGTCCAGGAGGAGCAGGAGCAGGAGCAATGGGAGGAGGAGGAGGAGCAGCAGTAGCAGATGATGATGATGATGATGATGATGATGATGATGATGATGATGACGATGACGATGATGATGATGATGATAGTGGTGGTGGTGGTGGTGATGGTGATGATCATGATCACGATCATGATCATGATCATGATTTGGCGGACTGCAAGGTTTTGGCGTACAGGAAGTGAGTTCTCTTGAAGACGAGGGTAGACAAGGTGACGATGATATGTATGACAACTCTTGATGTTAAAATTTTGATAGAATCATCATAATGTTCACGTGATTGGGAGCATCTCTTCATGATCTAGACATCAGCCCTCTTGTCATCCTCGCCATCTTTTTCTCGTGTCCTCGTCATGATCCTCAACATATCTGTAAACCATCATGGACTCCTCTACCCTTTCGCTCCTTGATCATCATGTCACTCAGATCAGCTTCTTCTTACTTCTCCTCCATCTCCTCCTCATCATCATCATCACAAGCACTAATGAGCCTCGTGCAAGGCGGCATTAAAACAGCATTACGGACCACATCCCCTCCATTACCCCCGGCCCGGGGCCCGTAGGAAGCAGAAGGGGGAACTAACATGGTCACTGGGGGCTCGACTAGAAAATTTTCATGGCTGAACCAGCGGCGATCCTGCTGGAGCTGGGGACGATGTACTGGAAGGTGAGAGGAGGAGGAGAGGGAGAAGAGATCACGACAAGGAGAAGAAGAGGGGCTGGTGAGCGCAGAGGATGCAGGGAAGAGGGAGAGGGAGAAGAGGAGAATTAGAAGGAAAGCGAAGACAAGTCAGTAGATATGTAGGAGAGTGAGGATACGACAACGAACGAGTGCAAGTCTTCCCTGTTCCTCGAAGGATCCCAGGGGTTGGAAGGAGAGAGTGTAGATGTCTAGAGAGCGAGCGAGCAGTCCTTGTGAGAACATTGCAGGTTGGTTTTGCTGGGGAGTATGTCCCTCGCAAGATTGTTCCGAAGAACATGTTGAGGAGGACAGCAGGTGAGAGGAATCCGAGAAGACGACCCTCACGTGAAGTTGCAGAGCCAGAGAAAGTGGAGAAGGCGCTCAGAAACGTGTTCATCAACATCCTCCTGTGCACTCCACGAGGAAGGAAGGTTGTGTTGTGTGAGAAGGTAACAGAGCAGACCAAGTTTCGAGCTCTCGTGGTCAGGTGTGAACTGTAGTTGACGATAGAGGAGTAGTGGTGACGCCTTGCAGCATCCTGCTGGAGAAGCTTCAGGTTGACTCGGTACAGTTCGTCCCTGCTCTTGTACAGCCTGTCTACGCGTGCTGCCGAGACAATGAACTCTCGGGGTTGATGGTTGATGTGAGTCGCACGAGGAGGGAGAGGGGAAGAGGGAGGAGCAGGGACAGGAGGAAGGAAGGAAGGGGAGGTGGGGGGAAGGGAGCAAGAGCAAGAGCAGGAGCAGGAGCAGGAGCAGGAGCAGGAGCAGGAGCAGGAGCAGGAGCAGGAAGAAGGGGAGGAGGAGGGTCTCAACATGATCTTTCACAGGTTGGTTACTCGGAGACTTGTGTGCTCCCTGTCTACCACGGGCATCCTCTCGTGCACGCCATGTCAGTAGCAGATGTTGGAACGCGGACTGTGCATGAATGTCTGGCGGCCCTGGCGGGTGAGAAGGAGCTTGTTCAGTGGCAGTCACCGGCTCCCGAAGACGCGATCCTGGACCATGTGGATGCGCACAGACAAGCAGAGGACATGGACGATGTTGTCGTACGAAGTTGCTCTCTCCACCCTGATGACGAGGTGCGAAGTGGTAGAGGAGGAAGCGTGTCTGTCTAACAGCTTCCAGCTCGAAACCATCCATGTGCTCGTTGGGCAGGGTCACCGAGTGATGGTCGGTCAGTTCGCGCGAACTAGTGAGCTGCTGATGGGCATCTGCTGGGGTTGGGTCAGTGCTGACGATGCTCTGACAGATGTTTGTAATGTCCTGTTTGGCATGAGCTGCGGCAAGTTTGTCGGTTGGCACGCCTTCACCTCTCTTTTGCTGCTCTTGCTCTTGTTTTCTCGCTCTTCTCTTCCTCTCCTCCTTAACGGTTTCCCCCTCTCCTGCTCACCTGGCATGCAGGAGACAGCGAGCTGAGTGCCGCCAAGCTTGTCCTCGACAGCCTGAGCAGATGCGAGTTGGATGTTCGAGCTCAGGTGTGATCCAACTGGGAAGGGAAGGGAAGGGAAGGGAAGGAGAAAGGGGAAAGGGGGGGCAGGGAGGGAGGGAGGAGCGAACCAGGCACGGGAGCGGGGGAGGGTGCGGGGGATGTAAAAGCAGGGGATGGGGTGGGCAGGAGGGCGGGAGGGGGAGGAGTGGGTGGGACAATAGAGGAGGGGAAGGTGACAATGATTGCAGGTGAGCAAGAAGGTAGTTCTGGTGGGGGGAGGAAGCATGCTTGAAGGCTTCAAGGTTCGCGCTTGTTCCTCTTCTACCCTCCAGCTGACACTCAGCAGGAGAGGCTCGTCATCGCGTGCAAGCAGCTCTGCGAAGAGGAGAAAAGGCACAAACTTACTCGTCCCCTTGCTTGCTTTTTGTCCAACCATGTGTTCCTCCCGTTTCATCCTCCTACCGCTCTGTCTCCCTTCCTTCTTGCCGCGTCTGACACTGTTCTCTTCTCCCGGTCCCCGAGCACGTCATTCTTCCTGCTCTTACCCTCTCCGTTCATTTGCGCTTCTCCTCCTCCTTCTCCTTCTCCTTCTCCTTCTCCTGCTCCTGCTTCTCCCTCTCCTCCTTCTCCTTCTTCTTCTCCTCCTTCTGCTTCTCCTCCTTCTCCTTCTCCTTCTCCTTCTTCTTCTCTTTCTTCTTCTTCTTTTTCTTGATCATCATCATTGTCATTGTTCTGATTTCATTAGCAGCTATCGACATCTGAGGGTTCTTGTGGAAAGGATGAAAATCTACGGGGCATCGCTGGATGGAGCCCGCAAGCATGCGGTCCCAGCGAACATTCTACAGTGATGATCTCTCCTCCTCCTCCTCCTCCTCCTCCTCCTCCTCCTCCTCCTCCTCCTCCTCCTCTCTCCCTTCCTTTCTTGCCCGCCCTCCCCAACATACCCTCTCACTGATTCCAACCCCCCTTCCTTGCTTCCTTCCTTCCAATCGTTGTCTCTCCTTCCCCCCCCCATCCCCCCCCTCCTAACGGTCTTCAGGTGGATGAGTGCCTCCTTGATCTATGCTGCTCGTGGGGCGCCGCAAGGTGAGCATACAGTCGAGTAATTCTCCTGCCCCTCCTCGCACTCCCCCTCCCCCTCCCACTCCCACTCTTCCTTCCCTCTTCCTGCCCCTCCCCCTGTCCAGTTCTCTTCCTCTTCCCCTCCTGCTCTTCTCAAGTTTAGGTACAGGGATAACGCTAGAGAACTGGCGAGACTCTCGTTCCCTCCCGGACTTCCTTTTCCATCCTGCTCCCAACCTCCATCAGCTGCCCATGGCGACCGGGGTCGACTTATCATGGCGGGATGGCGCGCCATGGCTGCGGTCTGAGGAGAGGAGGACGGTGGTGGGAGATGAAGGGAGCAGATGAATGAGAATGCTGAAATCTTTCTAAACTTCATGCCAGTACTTGACGCCATGGTATCGTTTCACTTTCTCGACTTTGCTCTTGCGGTTCCGTTCCGTCAGATGTTTCCTGTACCTGCAGAAAAAGTTAGACGAGTGCTCTGCTGCTACTGAGGAGAAAGATGGGAGGAGGAGAGAGGAGGTCAGCATGGCGGGAAGAAGGCAGGATGGGTGAGAGGAGATGGTGATCAAGGGGAGGGGAGGAGAATGAGGAAGAAGCTGAGCGAAGAAAATCTTGAAGGGCTGGTGCTGCACCCTCTAGAGAATGAGAGTAGCGGAGGGAAAAACAAGAGGAGATGAGACAGAACATCTTGTGGGAAGAGGTTGAGATGATGAAGAGGAAGAGGAAGAGACGTACTCGTGAATGTTTCTTTTGCGGTACCAAGTCTCGGGGTCCATAATGGTGTCTGAGTCCGGAGGGGAACAAACCTGTCATGGCAGCGAGTAAAGAGCAAACATGACATCTTCACGCTTTACTTCACCTTGTCACCTTTGCAAACATTCTTCTCGTCATCATCGACCTCTCTCAATCCTGATTCTGAATGCATCTGCTGTCCCTCGACGGTCAAGGAGGCAGTGCGAGGTGGTTGATGTTTACCTCATTGTCAAGTTCAGGTACAAGTCTGTGAGGTTGATCATTGCCGTTCACGTAGAAGTACTGCAAGTTGGACTTCCTGTCTGAAGAAGTGAAGGAGTAAGAGGAGAGAGGCGAACAAGGAGGAGATACCTTGCTGCAGAAGCTCTCGAGGGATGGTGCCATGTAGTTCGTTGTTATGCAGGAAAAGATGAGAAAGCTAGAGATCAACTCAACAGGAGTTTTGTTGTAAGGAAAACAATTCTTCACGTTCTTCAGCTGCGCAAGTTCAGCAGGTATTGTTCCGGTCAGCAAATTCTCTTGCAGTATGATCATGCGAAGATTGTGCTGAAGACACGAACTGTTCAGGTAATTCAGCCTCAAGACCTATCAATCCTCACTAGCTCTCCCCAAGCAGCTGGAATCGATCCTTCGAGGAAATTCTCAGCGAGAACGATCTTCTCTCTTTGAAACAACCATCACAAACAACAACGGCTTCTCAAATGATAGTCTTACAGTCTTAGGAGCTTTCTAAGGTCAGGGATTGATCCAGTCTGGAGAAAAACTCACATGTCTGCTGTTGTGACTCAAAGAAGTGCTGCAATACCAACAGGTTGTCAAACAAGATGAGATCTATAAGTCTTCAAGTCAGCTTGCAATCAAAATGACATCAGCCCACCTTTCAATCTCTCTAGTCTTGAAATGTCCATGGGCATGGTTCCGCTGATATTATTCGCGGATAGATCGAGCACCTTCAAACGCACGTCAAAAAACGATGATCAAGTTTCTCATGAGGTCTCAAAGGAATGCTCTCTCTAGAGACATTTCAGACAGCATGAAAGCTCTGGCAGATGACAAGTTTTGACGTCACCTCGAGATTCTCAAAGACGCTGATTCCATCCGGCAAGGCCCCGACGAGGCGATTGTGCGGTAAAACTATCGCGCTCACCGCACTGCTCCCCTCTGCCGTGCAGAATATACCATACCATAGGCAACAGTCAGGGACCTGACGTGCGCTCGTTACCACTCGACTGAGATGAGAAACCCTTGTACAAACCGATGGCTTGATGGCTCCGTTGTGCTGCCAACCAAGATTTCCACCAACTGCCAGATAGATGAGTCCTAGCTCGCTGCATGCTGCTACTCACCCCCCCATGCTAGCCCGATCGAGGAGCCGCTCGATCGGCTGGTCGGCTGCTCGCATGGCCTGCGCGATGGAAATAATCAACCCTTTGCTTCCTTGCTTCATGGCGACAAGACCTTCCCTGTGCTCCACATTTCCAGCCATCTCCATTGGTGCCCACGTAGAGCAGCTCGAGGTACTTCATGTCCTCCCATGAGCATCGCTGCTGTGCCCCCCCGGCGCTCACCAGCAGCAGCATCAACACCAACCCAAGTTTCATCATCGCAATGCTCTAGTAGCTAGTATATGAATTATTCTCTTTATTGACTGAAACTTGAAAGAAGGGCAAACCGGAGCAAACAAAGGAGGGGGAGAAATAGAGCCTACAAACCCGCCTCAAGAAAAAAAATATTTATTGACCGTGAAAAAAAACAGAGCAAAACTTGTCAAACTTTTCAACGGTCTTTCATACAATATATATATATATTATATATCAGTTATATCCTGGGGAGGGGGGGGGGGGGGTGGTGGGGGCGGGGCCGGGCAGCCTGTGACTCAGCGGCGGCACCCTCCCGCCAGGCGGGCCGGCGGCTCACTCAGACGGTCACTTTGCCGCCCCGGCAGTGGTATGAGTGAGACGGCCACGGTACTATGCCATCATGCCAGTGATCAATTCAGTCACGGTCAGAGCCTAAGGCGGGGTCACGGCCGGAAGTTAGCGCACGGTACCGGTGACTCCCCGAGTCCGCGATCCGATCCGATCCGGGCCCGGGAGTCCGCGGCTAGTGTGGCCGCGGCGGTGAGTGAGCCGCTCCGCCGCGAGTCACCGTACTGCGGCCGCAGCCTCGGCGGCCAGCCAATCCTGGGGCCGCCCCGCCCCCAGGCTCGGAGCCGGCGGCCCGGGCGCGGGGCCGGGCCGCGAGGGGGCGGCCCGGCCAGACTCGGGTGACCGAGTCTGCAAGCTTGAATCCGACTGGCATCACGGTGATGTTGATGTTGCACCCGCATGACGTTACGTCAGTAACGGACATGGCAGCATCATGCGAGTAGTCGCAAGAGGCTACGTACGCTGGCGAGGTGTATAATGCTAGAATCGAAGATGTGTACTGGGCGTAGACGTACGTACAACACATTGGTATGATGAAAGCATGAGGCTGGTATAAACCGATACACATGTTTACTCATTGCTGTATTACGGGTTAAGCCTGACCTCGACATATAAGCAACCCATCTTAGACGTTGGCCACGTCATCAGAATGGGATTGCACGAACATTGACGTGTGTTCTCTTACTGCTGTACATAAACAAATCTAGCTTCATTGTTCATCTGTTCTACTCCTAAGTGCACTATCGCTCAGTTGCTGGACTATACCCGCATCAGGTTATAAAAGCCTCGCGTTAAAGGAACAGATGTCGCCATACCGTCTACAATGGCCGCCAATCAATCAGCCTCAGGACTCGATGATTACAGCAGTAACACCCGAGAATATGCAAAGACTTGCCCCAGATATCGAGAACTTTATACAGTTCGAGTTGATAGGGCAATACTATGCATACCTCAACTCTGAAGGGAATCCAGAAAATATGAGAGCCTACTTCGATTGTCATTTTCCCATCAGAGATACTCAATCAGAAGAATTACAGGAAAACATGAGACAGAAAAGGAGAGAATTTGTACGAGAAGCAGATGCTGCTTTGACGCAAATCCTCCACACTGTTTACATGCAATGCCCTGGCAGGATTCAGATTCTGAAAGCCCACATGGAAGAAGAACACAAATCCCCCGAGACACCTACAAAGCTTTGCTTAGCTGGGATCAAGGCATGGACAGACTTTAAAAGACTAGACAAGCCAACCGAAGCAACAAAAGCTGAACAGACCCTTGCCAATCTCAAACTCCGAACTAGAGCAAGCAGTAATCTACAACGGAGACTACCAGAGTTACATCCCCAATGTGGTTAGGACCTTGAAGAAATTTGCTTCACAAGGCAAAGACTGCACTTTCATCTACACCCGTGCTTTCAAAGACGTTATCGACAACCTCAGAGCAATCGACGAAACGGGCGTGCAAGCAGAACTGGGTAGTTGGATAACATCTCAAATCCATCGCAACGCAACGGAAGAAAATTTCTTCTACGAAGGAGAGCCACAGATTGAAGATTTTTTGAAATTCCATCAACATATGATGAACTTCACTACCAGAGGCACCAAACACCCAATACCTATCCTCCAAGCAGGACAAGATAGCTCTGGCAAGAAATCAACAGAAGCACATCATTCAGGTCAGAAACGAAAGGCGAACGCCGTGTTTTCAGCCTCCGTCAAACAAAACAATACACCACAGAAAATCAGGAGACAACAACAAGAAAACTTTACTGGATGCAAAATCTGCAAAGAAAAACGACTTCCAGCAAGGATTTCTCTCAGTCACGCTACCAGCGAGCATGACGCATCTAGGATCGGAGAAAGAGCCACTGGCAATAAAACAGCGCCAACCATGAAGAGGATCACAGGAAGCATTTCAACCGGTTTTCAGACAAGGGCAGGAAGATCCGCAAAATTTACTGCCAAGAGTCATCGCTCGTCGAACCCAAACCGTTCAAACGAGGAGAGCGGGCAGTACCCCAAGTCAAAATACAAGCAAACAGTCAGCATCGACAAGAAGGTCCTCGTGAACCTCACAAAAGCACTGCAAGAAGCCACCTCTACCGACCAAACTGAAACCCAAGAATCAGTTCAAGAATCACCTAGCAGTGATGAAGACGAATCCGATGAACCGTCCTCATCTCGAACACCTCCGAAACGACTGAAAGAAGTCGTAAAAGAGACGTTCCGAGGCACACTAGGACGCAGTTCTAGAAAGAATAAATCTCCCAAGGAGTATCCCTGTTCTAAAAATTATGTTGTATATCAAAGTGATACCAGGTCGAAAACTGAAGAGATCCAACTGCACAAGCTTGATGCAGCTCTGTTCTCAAAAGTTTCAAAACCATGGTACCTTGAATACATCTTTCATATACCCAGACTACTGATCAGGAACACTGATCGGTATCAAGTTTTCCTACACGCGTTAAAAGCGAAAGAACAACAAGAGTCCCTGTACGCTATTGTCGACTCAGGTGCAACTGTAAGCGTACTCTGCAATCCAAGTTGGTTACAGAGATCGTTTACACACAAAACTGAGATCACCGGCGTGGGGGGCAGCAAGATCAATACATCGCTCGGAGGAATTCTAGCAGGAACGATAGCATCAATCGAAGGAAAACGTTTTGCATTTGCAACTATAGCAACAGTAATCAGCGACGAAAATGCTAAAATCAACCTGTTATCCATCTGGCGAATTACAAATAGTGGTCATACAATAATCCACAAAGGTAAACCAGAAGGAGGACTACACGGAATCATTACACTCAACAATGAATTTATACCTTTCTACTTCTGCCCAAGCACCTACCTATGGTACGTCGAAATCCAAAGACCCAACAGGAAGACCAATAAGATAATCTCCAAGCTATCAGCAAAAACCATCTGGGATAAAGACACAATTCTCAGAGAAATTCAAGAAGGCGAAATACCACTCACGGCAACAATCAAGGAGTCAACACATACGACAAATACACAAAGTACATCAAAACGCAGAATCCACCTGATCATCCATGGCGCAAGATTGGAGAGCGTACCTCGTTGGGGGGGAAGCATCCACATCTACCAAGCTGCGATGCAGGGGGAGAGCACAACTTCGGCAACAGCTTTCAAGCCCACGCACATGAAGACCTTTCCTATCAGCATGCGAGATGTACGACCTGAATTAGACACGTCAGAAGAGTCAGACAGTGAAAATGGAGAGACCTTGGACAGTTGCAGCAGCTCCGATGACGAGCTGATGACTACTGACAACACTCCATTAGAACCTACAAGACAATTCACGACGGAAGAGATTCAACAGCAAACCAAGGAGTATCTCAACGACCCAAGATCATTTACAGATTTTGACGACTTTACAAACACAACGATCGAAGAACTTGACGAAAACGACAAGGAATACGAAGAACAATTGAAGAATGACAAATCAGATCTCAAGAATATTTACCTATATTCAACGGGAGAACGCATCAAAGGAACAAGAGCATCAGCGATTCTGCTCAAGTGGCACGTAAGAACCAACCACATCGGCAAGAAATACCTTTTCCAACTGGCAGAAAACATCGAAGGCATGGAGGAATTGAAGAGAATCAATCCAAAGACACCCCTGCCGACATGTCACACATGCCGCAGAGCGAAAACCAAGGCAGCTCCATTACCAAAATTCAGACACAAAAGATCCGATGTCAGATTTCACAGGCTGCATGGGGATATGAGCTCCTATCGAGTCCGCTCGATCGAAGGAGCAAAGTACCTCCAACTCTGGAAAGACGACTTCTCAGGATTCAAGATGCCTGTAGGTTTAGCGAGCAAGAAAGGTTACAGGAAATCGTTACGACTTGTTGTCACGAGATTCAACAATGGGGTCTACCCCAAAGTGATTCGAGTTGACAATGGGAGCGAAATGGTTTCAAAGAAATCACTGAAGATGTACGAGAAGCACAACATCCACCTAGAAAGAAGCGCACCATATGAACATTGGCAAAATGGAAGAGCTGAATCTGGAATCTACTCGTTAGATACAAGGACTAGATTGGCAATCGTACACTCAAACGTTCCGAAAAATCTCTGGCTCAGCGCTATATATTACAACGCAGAGATCGAGAATGCATTCCTTCCTACCAGCAGAAACTCAAACATCAGTTGCTACCAAGCGTTTACAGATCATATCCTAAAGGACAGAAGATTAGATCAAAAGAAAGACAAAAAACTCGAGCCAACAGCAGAAGTTTGCGTGTTTCTTGGACAAAAAACTCGAGCCAACAGCAGAAGTTTGCGTGTTTCTTGGCTTCGCCCACCACCTAGGAATGAAAGGTTATTTGGCAGCATCAACGAAGAAGTATTCCCCTACAGATTTTCTCACCCGGAGGACAGATCTTGGAAAATACCATACGGCGGAACTGATGATTTTGGCGACGACAACGTCATTGTGCTCAAAAGAGCCGGTGAACGATTGATCGAAATGTCAGATACATCAGACGCATCAGATTCAGAATCTGAAGATGCCGGTGGAAACTCCAGCGCCCAACCTGAAGAGAGAAATCGACGACCGTTTACAGATCAACAACATGGCATAGCACACAATGATCCCATGGTGATCCAAGTGAGGCAACAAGCTATTGAAGTTGACAACCATCTCACGAGAACCTGTTCTGAAACATCAGTTGTAAGAGAGAGTGATATCACACAAGACGAACAAGTAGCGGTGGATCCAGGACTATCAGAAAGAGGGCACATGAACCGTGAACTAGCCAGTCTTCAAGTCGAAACCTACAACAGTGGTGAAAAGGATTTTGAGTGGGATAAACTCACCCAAATACCTGAACATCAACTGAGGTCAGGACGAATTGTACAGAAGACGAATGTGGACACACCGACAAGTGATTCAGACCACGAAGACAATGATCTTCCAGCAGGAATTGAAGAGTTCGACAATCAAGACTTCATCAATGCGACACTACTTCCATCAGGAAGCACACTAGAGTTCCTTACGAACCTGGGCATCCCTTATCAAGATCGCACCTTAACGAAGCGACAATACTGTGGAGTACTTGTCGACACATACAATAACCTGGAAGAGAAAATCATGACATGGTCACATGGGCCACCACAACGAAACATGTACAACGAAAATCATTACAACGAAGAAATCGACAGCTTGATGTCTTTTCTTCAAGGATGCAAGAAAGATGAAAGAAGAGAATCAAGGATACAAAAAGCTCAACTATTCTACACAGGCATGTTGTCGGCAACCAGCCATATCGCGTTTGACAATGACGAACCAAGCATCAAAGAAGCTCTCAACAACAACAACCCAGAGAGACACCATTGGATAACAGCAATTCAGTCAGAGGCACGATCATGGAACGGACTAAAAGTATTCGAAGAAGTCGACAACATCCCAGACGGAAGAAAGGCAATCGGATGCAGAATCATCCTTAAAAGGAAAAGAGGACCGAATGGAGAAGTATTGAAATACAAGGCAAGAGCGATCATACAAGGTTACAACGCGGTACAAGGGATCGATTACCTCGACTCCTTCTCAGCGACAGCGAACCCAATTACGATCAGACTCCTTCTGACAATCGCCAGAGCAAACAAATGGCACGTCAGATGTCAAGATATCTCAACTGCATACCTGATGGCACCACTTCCTACAGTTGTATATATCAGGACCCCAAAGGAATTTCAAGAGTTCTGCAACATTAGAGCAGCATACTTGAAGATCCTGAGTTCAGTCTATGGACTTCCTTCATCAGGTCGAAACTTCTGGAAGAAGCTCTGCCAAGACCTACGCGATTTCGGTTTCAAAGCCTGCACGTCAGATGATTGTTTGTTTCTATATCATGACGAGCAAGGGGGAGAGATCATCATCGCGTTAGTAGTCGACGACATCATCCAAGCTAGCAACAGCCAAGCACTATTTGCAAAGTTCGACGACTTCATGATGAACACAAAAGGATACAGCGTAACAACCGACAACGATCTTAGCTTCTATCTGGGAGTCGCGTACAAGAGGGACGAAGCTGGAGACTTCATCAGCAACCAGCAAGCGTACATCGAAAAATGTTTGAAAAGATTCAACCTCGAGGGGATCGACCCTACAGGGAAATTCACCACGCCAATGGATCCCAAGTTCGTGATCGAACCAGAAGACGTTGATCCGCACGCGCCTGAAGACTTAGTCAAAATCTACAGAAGCCAAGTAGCAAGTCTGATATACATAGCAACATGGTCAAGACCAGAAATCAGCTATGCAGTATCATTGCTATCAAGATATCTCACAAGTCCTACGAAGAAACTGTTAATGGCAGTGCACAGAGTATACGCTTATCTCAAGAACACCAAGACACTAGGAATCAGATACACCGACAACGACGACAACGGACACAAGAAAATGGAACTAGTCGCATTCTGCGATAGCTCAGACGCCGATTGCAAGCTCACAAGCAGATCAACCGGTGGATACGTCATTTTCCTCAATGGGACACCAATCTCATGGAAATCAGCAAGACACAACACAGTCTCACTGTCTACCATGGAAAGCGAATACATCCAAAGCACGCTTACAGCTATCGAGATCTTGTACTTGCGAGAGACGCTCGAATTCATGGGATACAAGCAACCTACGACGATATGCTATCAAGACAACGCCGCCTGCATCAAGCTCAGCGAGAATCCCGTCAGCAAGAGCAGATCGAAACACATCAAGAGAAGACACCATTTCATACGACAATGCGTTGCCAACAAGGAGATCACCTTGGAAGCAATTCATACAAGCGAGCAAGTTGCTGATATATTCACAAAACCGCTGCCCGCTGATCAGTTTCTCTATCTAAGAGACCAATTGTTGAACCTCCCTGAAGCAACACGCTATCAAAGGAAAACAAAAAAGTAATTCATACGATGATTACCTTTGGTAATTTTCAAAATGAATAAACTTTTCTCAAACTTGTCTAAGATCCTTCGAAGGACAAAGACACATACGCGAAGTGCTGAGCACCTCTGGACTGTTCTAGTACCAGGGAGTAGCATAGTACAAGCGAAACCATAAGCATGTGGCACAACTTGAGCATCCCTGGGGCATTGCGACTTCAGTGGGTAGTGATAGTTGCTTGCAAACGCAAATGGACATGGGAGAAAGGAGTAAGAGTTTCATAGCACAGCTTCCCCATAGTATATGGGCTGATATGGTGACATGGAAACATGATTGCTAATCAGGGCGATGGCGCGTAACATGATTTCTTTTGAAACATGGAAACGTACTCTTCGTTAACTCACCTCCGTGGGTAACCGGCGTGTAGCAAAATGCTGCATAGCTGCTCTAAACTTCCATTGAAGCTAGTTGATGATGCGAAAAGCTACATCAGGGTTTGGAATTGCTTACCCCACACAATCAGCAGTGTGTGAAAGGCAATCCAACGTCTCGTTACCTCAAAAATGCTACACGCAATTCCTCACGTGCATCCACAAAATGCTACGAAGGAAACGTAAAAGCATGTGGAAACGACGTGTTATGCTCACTGAAAGGCATATGAATGCATGTATGACTTTGGAACCTATGTCATTTGCTGAAACGTACCGGGAACTCACCGTCCTGGACCACATTTGCATTTTGGCTTCCTGCCATTTTCGCATTTTGTTGGTTAGTTCGCGAAGAGTCAAAGGGAGACCCTCATACAGCATCGGAGCCGTTGGGTCGATTCCGGTGTTGCATAAATCAATGCTCTCACGCAGTGACGACACTAAGTTTCGAGCAAGGGGGAGTGATGTTGCACCCGCATGACGTTACGTCAGTAACGGACATGGCAGCATCATGCGAGTAGTCGCAAGAGGCTACGTACGCTGGCGAGGTGTATAATGCTAGAATCGAAGATGTGTACTGGGCGTAGACGTACGTACAACACATTGGTATGATGAAAGCATGAGGCTGGTATAAACCGATACACATGTTTACTCATTGCTGTATTACGGGTTAAGCCTGACCTCGACATATAAGCAACCCATCTTAGACGTTGGCCACGTCATCAGAATGGGATTGCACGAACATTGACGTGTGTTCTCTTACTGCTGTACATAAACAAATCTAGCTTCATTGTTCATCTGTTCTACTCCTAAGTGCACTATCGCTCAGTTGCTGGACTATACCCGCATCAGATGTCATGTACCGTACGGTCGTGATTCATTAAAGTAATGTCAACTTGTCACTAGCCGCGCCTGAGTCTGATCACAGTGAGTCCGATCGGAGATAGAATTTGAAGTACGGTAGCAGATAATCGAACGATCAGAGAAGTCGAGATTGTCGAGAGGAGTAAGCACACCAATCTAGTATTTGTAACATAGAACAGATCAACTACTTCTCAGAGTTTGTAGGCAAGCCGAGCCTCAGTACAGTTTTGTCATCGGACGTGACTCCTCCGAAATCTTAGTGTTATTAGTAAATATACTTCTCTCAGTAACTCAACAAGCCTCTACGAAGCAAGTGTCTGCTAAATTCTAGCATGCGGCGTGTGCGCTCTCGATCTCCTCCTACCATTCAGCTCAAAGTCTTGCTCGCAGCGGTGCTTTCGCTTCTCGCCGACCCTGCACAGTGCTAGACATCACGAATGGCACATCTTCACCCCCCAGAGCACCACTCCATTTGCCCAGAGACTGAGGAACCAGGTTCGCTCTCCTGAACATGTTATGGATAGTGTTGGTCGGGCAGGGCCTCGATGTGCCTTCCACGAACATGTCGAACAATCCATGCTTGAAGCTGAGCGCTTCTTGAGGAACCACCTTGAAGCCAGTCCAACCAGCAAAGTTCTTCTCCTGGCCATGCAGCTGAATAGTTGGCTCCTGGAATGCCAGAGGTTTAATGAGACCTTTGACTGCAGAAATCTGAAGATAGCGCAAGAGGGCCTCTTTCTGCTTCTTGAACTTCGCCGAGAAGCAAAGTTTCAGCTGTCCTTCAAACCTTTCGTGCAGGTCATGGCCAGGAACGACATTGTTCCAAACACTCTTCAACTTTTTCAGCGTCCTTGCCCATCGTTTCTGGCCATCTCTTGCTCTTTGCTGAATTGGGAAAGAGTGGAAGCACTGGCTAGCGAACTCCTGCTGCGCATTTTCTGTAGGATCCATCCTATTTTCAACCAGCTCGTTGGAAGAAATCGTCTCAGATCCGCTTGACTCAATCATTTCTGAAGGAGAAATCAATGATTCAAACTCGAAATGGATTCCTGCCTTCGCTTTGTCCTTGAATTCATCTTCCGTGTTGCAGAACGTATTACACGGCACTCCAGAGCCCCTGCACGATGCACCGTCTTGCAGCTCCCAGGAGCAGATCGTGCTGGGCTGAATGCCATGATGACCATCCTGGATAGCTTGGAAGCACAGAAGGAGGTCCTCACACGGCACCTCCTCCATTCTCATCAACTTCCCTTCCGCCATGCCTCAACGCGCTCAGTTTGTGGGTTCGCTGGGGGAGAGGAGGACGATGTACCACCCCTCGTTCCACCCTGTTTGCTGGGGGTGAGCAAACCCCTCAGCAACTCCAGGTCACGGCTCGCTTCCGAGGTATTCTCAAGGACGGGGTGGAATTTAGTGAGATTAAGCATATAAGGAGGGGTAGGGTACTTGCCGCGGATGACTCAGTAGAGGGAGGTAGTCTTTCTTTGGTGGAAGATTGGGGGGTAGTAGGACGAGGGGGTGGTGGCGATGGGTCGTGGCTTATTATGGGCGTGACGCGCTTTTAAAACTTAGTAAAACATTTATGATTTTACTACATGTCAGACAACCCCTGCACAAGAGCTCCCAGGACCGGGTGTAAAAATGATTCAACAGTTGCGATAGTAGTAAATTCACTACTACCCCAACCCCCCTAACCCCTGCAACGGTGACAATCTGTCACATTTTTATATTTCTTGTTTTATAATAGATACATGCTTTGAATATTTTTTTTTCCCACAGTCGGAAGGCAGGATTTTTTTTTTATTTCAATCCTCCGAACTCAGTGCAAGGATGCCGCACTGCGGCAACGGCCCGGCCGGGCCCCGACCTTTTAAATATTGTATCCGATCTACCCGGGCAACCCCTGGCTGACAGCTAGGACAAAAATTATATGGCGCGCGGGAGGATCGTCGTGTTCGCCGGAGCTGCGATGGCAGCGGCGGCTCTAGGTGGACGAGCATGAGACTGTTGTGATGGATTGAAGTGAAGTGAAGTGAAGTGAAGTGAAATGCGCTTCTGTTTGCGCTCTCCTTGAGGTTTTGAACTTGATGAAAAGCTTCACTGCTATTGTGAAACTGGTTTGCAAACTGGCGAGCAAGTTAGAATAGAGAAAGTCGGAGAGGAAGGGGAGGAGGAAGTTTTCCATGTGGATTCTTGATGTCTTTTTTTATTGCTGACATTGTATCAACGACTTTCAGCAAAGTATCTTTATGATTTCTACATGAAGGGACAAAGGAGGCGCAAGAAGGCGAGAAGAGTGAGAGAATCTTGGCACTTGAAGTGCATTGTGCCGACATATTTGCAGGTCGTGTTTGCACTGACAGGATTCGGCAAGTTTGATAATGTTGAAATCAATCCTACCGACGTCATCGTCAAGAAATTTCCATCATACTTGGAGGAAAATCCCCTTCCCTTCGAAGCTGCAGTCGACCGTTGCCTGGTCATGGAGGTGAAGTTGTTGTCGTTTGTCATCATGGTGATTGATGACTTCTGTTGCTTGTTGCAGGTGTCAGCAGAAGGATGCAAAGAGAGACTCTCTGCCATGCACAAGACATGTTTCCGCGATCACGAGGATTTTCGGGTCTGGTTGCACTTGGGGGTTGCAGCATCCAAGGAAGAGTTTCAACTAGAGCAGGTTGCATGGAATGGTAATGGCATCAGTGAGCTGTGTGATGATAAGAAAGAAGAATATGTGGTGGTGGTGGTGGTGGTGGTGGTGATGATGATGATCATTATGGCGACGACGATGGTGATGGTGATGTTGATGTTGATGTTGATGGTGATGGTGATGGTGCTGATGTTCATGACTATGATCTCGGAATGAAATGATTGAAATGATGATGTTTAATGCCATGATCATGAACACAATGGTGAATACTTCGATGATGATGCGAACGAGGAGGAAAACGATGGGGAAATACGAGAATCAGATGGTTGAGATAGTGAATTTCATTTCATCGCAGAGGCAGATTTCCGTTGTCCTGATGAGAGAGGATGGCAGCCGTCAAAGCAGCCAATTTTTAGGTGATCATTCATCAATGCCTTTTCTCTGTACTCACAATCCATGCATCTTAGCGAGGATGGCCCAATATCACAACAGATGAAGGTTTGTTCGTTTTCACGGTGCTACCTATCTAAGCTTGCTCTACATCAGTCTCTCCTCCCGATTCGAAGGATTTGTTCAGCTCTTCGCAAAAACTTTCGTGTCAAGATTTCTTGTGATCCAGGAATTTTCCGATCTAAAATTTGCATCGTCTGATGTTTTGTGACAGGACGCTTTGTTTGCAATTGGATCTATTACTGCTCATTGCGATCTTGTCGAACAGGTTGACGATTGTTGTTTCCACCCACTTCGCCGCGATTGAAATTCACCAATAGAGGACCCCGAAGGAAGCGACTCCTTGTTCGTGCATGTACCGCCCTTCAGGTCTGTCCTCGCTTACAATCACATCTCTTTCACTCCATTGCTGCAGCTGTATCGAAGAAGGAGAGCAACTCAAATTCATCCACAACCTTATCTGTCAAATTGCCACGAATCTCACGTCTTGATCATCTTTTTACCACATGGTGTTAGCATCCAGATCTACTCTTTGAGAGAGGCTTTATTTTACAGGGATGGTGACCAAGTGTACACTGGTGTAATAAACAACAGTCATCCTGCTCCGACATGTACCTTCTAGTAACTTGCTCCCACCATTCTCGTCACAAGGTAAATGATGAGCTATCCTGACGTCCATAGTTTCTTCGTCACTCGCCGCTGCTGCTGCTGCTGCTGCTGCTGCGGACAGTGAAACTATCAGAAAACCACATATTATTAGCTCATCCGTGTTGCTTTCACCTTGAGTCAACAAGGTGGGAGGTGTACTGCACGTTCTCCTCATCTTTGTACCAGTTTACTGTTGAGCAGATAGCTTCCTGCAAGGGCTAGATTTGCAAGTGAGCGAAATCTGAAAGTGCCATGTTTATCTACCGTTGGCTGCCATTGTAAGATCTTTTTCGCCTTTTCGTTGCTTATTGGTCCGAAGTCAACGGATACCAATTCGGTTTCCAATTCTGCAAGGCGAATAAGAACGACGGAATGACGAATCAAGGAGTGAAGAGTAGGGATTACCAGGATCTTGCTTGCATCCGACTCCCACTGCTTCAGCAACCATGTTCACATACTCTGGAATGGTAGGCTGCCATATAAAGAATAATTGAGCAGATACAAAGAATAGAATAGGCAAAGGACCTTCTCTGTACACGCGATATGAAAGACGTTCTTGAAAACATGGTTTCCTGAGAATATGTGAGGATTCTCAAAAGGATTTCTTTATGAATGCCTTTCAGCAGTAGGAGCAAGACAACTCTGGCTACGTCTGGAGCATAACACAGACTGATCTGATGCACATCTGGACTCACATCAGGAACTGCTCGTGTCCCAATTGTCTCATTTGCCAAAATCGCCTGAACACGATTTATGAACAGTGAGGATGATGGTAGAAAACGAATGGCAGACAAATACCTTCTGTAAGTTCATGAAAGATCCAAGATTGTCGAAGGGACCGATAACATCAGGCAATCTCAAGATGGTGTATCTGTCGAATCTATCGGAATTTTCTTGTAAGCAAAGCTCGCAATCTAGCTTTCCTCCTCCGTATTCATATTGATAATAGTTTCGTTCTTTTGCTTCTCTCTTTGACTTTTTGTTGTTGATTGGAAGAGCATGATCCTCTTCAAGGCCTGACTTCGACTGATAACTTTCAATCTTTGATCGTTCGCATGCCATGAAAACACTATCAGATGATATGAAAACGTAATGTTTGATGCACCCTGAGGCAGACAGAATGTCTTCAATGCCCTTCCGTCGAAAGCAAACAAAGTCGATGACGGCATGCCACTTGACCTTCGGAGACTCTGCAGGAACATCTTCGTCTTCCTTGCCATGTTGCAGAATTCTTCTAAATTTCTTCTGTTCATTCATTCGGTCGCATTTCAACACCTTCACTTGCTGCTGCTGAAACGGGTTTCTTGTCTTCCCTCGATTCAGTACCCAGACGTCAGCGCCCTGTTCGAGCAAAAATGAAACAGTGTGCCGACCCATGAATTGAGTTCCACCTGACAAGACGATGTTACAGACACGAAAAAAGGTCTGCTTCAGAATGTCGAAGACTTCGGAAGCAAGGAAGAAAGGAACAGATCTCGAGATACATAACTAAACTTCTACCCACTTTCTCATCTTCTATCTGCACCGTCGACACATCGTCTCCACCATCCTGCTCCACTCTCCTCCTCCTCCTCCTCCTCCTCCTCCTCCTCCTCCTCCTCCTCCTCCACCACCACCACCACCACCACCACCACCACCACCACCACCACCACCATCATCATCATTGTCTATCGTCTCCATCATCTCCATCATCACCTCCACCATCATGATCGGTATCCTCCTCACCTATCACGAGCACTTTCCGTCCTGCGAGCTGTTCTTCGCCCTTGGCCGAAGCCATACTCCCTCTTGCTTCAGGGTACCATCCTCGTACCAACGGGGTTATTCCAGTACGGGTGACAATTCGAATTATCACGGTGGGTAGTACATGACCCCTCCTTTGTATACTAATTCATTGTAATACTGTGGGGTACAATTGTAACTAGAAGGGGTAGTGGATGGAAATCAAAACTAAATTCCAGGTGGGGTAGTGAAATTTTGTTGTCTAGGAGGGAGGGGTACGGTGGAGGGGCAGGCGCGGGAAATGCGGAAGTTTGTGGTCACGGGGATCACAGGGAAGAAGAGGAGCAGGAGGAGCAGGAGGAGCAGGAGGAGCAGGAGGAGCAGGATGATGAGGACAACAGGATGATGATGATCAAGCAATGAACATGTAAGATTGTTGTGTCTTACACTCATGAGCATTGAAGGTTTTTCAACAGTTCACTATGGTGGAACTAGGATGCAAATCTTGAATGTATGACGTTGCCGTCTCGCGCAGCCAATCTGCTCCATCTCCTCTCGATGAAGATGCTGGTCCCTTCCATCATGACACTGTTGTGCTTGTTGCAATGTGTCCGGGGATCGCACGGTTTCTTGACCCTGAACAAGAGATCAGCCACGGCCAGAAGTTCTGTGGTGCTTCTTCATGGCCGTGGGAAAGAAACGGATCGAAAATCAGCGGGCATGAATGATCTTCATACGCTAGACACTCTGCCGCACTTGTTGGGGTTGAAAGGTGGGGGACCTGGTCTTGAATGGATAGAGCAGAGGTTCCAACAAGTTTTCAGCAGCATCTCACCTCGACCCACTGGGTCCAAGTCAAACAGGGACAAGGATGAGGATGGACACTCTAAAATTTTCAAGTCGGGTGTGATTCCTCCAAGGGAGCTGTTTGACAAGAAGTTTGAATCTTATGTTGAAGGTGCTAGCACACCTTCATGGGCAATGAAAAATAAGTTCTTGTCGAACGTGATGGGCAAGAATGAGACGGGACAGCAATCTCAAGCACCAGCTCAAGGATTAAAAACGATGAACAAGGAATGTGTGTCTCCTGAGACGGAGAGCATATCTTCGTTGGAATCAGCCTTCCAACATCAGCCTCAAGGCGACTTGAGTTTCATTCCCACATCGTGCGATACACAGAATGTGGTCTCTCATGTGCTGCCTAAACTTGAAGACTCTGTGTCGACCAATATTGATCTCGGACCAAGTTTGGGCGTGGAATCATTGATGCTTGAGAACTCCATAAAGGGTGAGAATTCTCTGAAACCACGCATCGAAATTCCTGGACTTGCTGCATGTGTCAGGGAGCCATGCATTGCCGAAAGAATGTTGTCATATGCTCTCGATCGCTTCCCTACAAGTCCTGATATTAATTGCATTTATGCAGATTTTCACTATTTTGTGAAGGAAAATAGCGATTTCGCGATAGAATTGTACAGGAAAGGGCTGCACCGTTCTCCAGATCACTTACCCAGCGTCAGTGGACTGGCAATAGCCATTGCTGAATCAATGTGCAACAAGCTTCAAATCAAAGCAAATGAATTCACAAATGCATCTTCCTATGAGGAGTTGAAATTTATTTGTGAAACTTGGTTGTGCTATCAGACCGATGATGCTTCTTCCATGTATGCATACAGTATGTGGCTTCAGTATGAATATTCTGATATTTCAACTTCGGAAAAGGTTTTGAGGAGGGTGATTGAGTTGTGTCACGACGAGGAGCACAATATGCATCCTCACTCTATCTGTGAAAGTACGAGAGAGTGGATTCTTTGTCGAGAATCGAAATGGGTTCTTGTACGAGCATTATGCGATCTCGCTGTTCTCGTCAATTCCACAGCTCATGATCTTTCTCAAGCAGAAACATTGATCAGGGATGCCCTTTTGATAGATTCGAATCACTCAAAAGCCCATTACCTGTTGGGTTGTTTGCTGCAATACGATGTATCTAGGAGCGAAGAAAGTGAGAGGTCCTTCAGAAATGCCATCCAAATTTGTCCGACCAATCATAGAGCTTTGTGCAATTTGGCAAATCTGGTTTATAGGTGGAAAGGTGATCAATATGAGGCGGAGCGACTCTTTTTATCGGCTCTTCGGCTTGATCCTGAAGATTCTGAATCATTACAATCTTATGCAATTTTATTGGATCAAGGAATTGGCGACTACAAGGGTGCGATGGAAATGTGTGAACGAGCGCTTGCCATTGATCCGTTTCATGTACCGACCTTGGCGTGCTATGCAAGAATATTGCAAGATGAAATGCAGGATCATGCCCGAGCTGAAAATATCTATAAGCAGATTTTAAGTGTCGACCTTCAATGTGTCGATGTATTGTACAATTATGGAAGGCTCTTGTTGGAGGTCAAAGGAGACTGGCCAGCAGCAGAGCGCATGTACAGAAGAGCGTTGCAGGCCAATCCAAGGCATATTCCTACCCTCTGCAATCTCGGACTTCTCCTGGAAGAGTATCACAGAGATTTTGAGGGCGCAGAGTTTCACTACAAGACTGCGCTTGAAGTGGATGCGAATGATCAAGCTGCTCTCTACAACTATGGAGTTCTGTTGCAAAATGTCAAGTGTGACTATGATGCAGCAGAAGAAATTTACAAACGTTTGTTACGTTTGGAACCCCAGGACAAACAAACTCTTCATGTTTATGCAAACCTTCTCTTTGATGTCAAGAAGAACATTCCAGAAGCCGAAGAGTTGTACACACGAGCGATCAAAATAAATGATACAGATCCAGCTTTATTATGCGACTATGGTAGACTACTACATTCTGTTGGCAGAAACCTTGAGGCTGAAGAAAAATACCGCAGGGTTTTGAGGATGGATGAGAATCATGAAATTGCTCTGAGAAATTATGCTTCGCTCCTTCATGATGATCTGCAAAACTATGATCAAGCCGAACTCCTTTACAAGAAAATTCTTTCGAATAGTCCCTCCACTACATCGAAGGCTTCAGCTTTCTGTAATCTGGCCAGGCTACTTCAAGATGTAAGGCGAGATTACGACTCGGCTGAATCTCTGTACCTGCAAGCGATAAAGTACGGAGTCATGGATTTCCGATCAATGCATTCGTATGCAGTCCTCCTAGATGACATCCGAGGCCGATATTCTGAAGCGACAATCTTTTACAGAAAGATGATGAGGCATAACCCTGAAGTCGGAGCCCGCGAACTGTATGCAATTGCCAGAAAGAAGAAAGAAACAGGAGATATTCAGACTGCCATTGAAGTCCTGAGTTTCATCTTAGAGGAAAAATCGTTCTTTGAGAACTCTCAAATTCTTCAAGAGATTGCAAATCTGACACTTCTCCGACATGATTACAAAGATGCTTCTCAATTCTACGTCCGTTCAATGCGAAAGGACCCAAGTGCGGTTGCAAGTGTATCTCGAGTTGCGCTTGATTTTCAGAATCAAAAGAACCACCTTGCTGCATTGGAGTTGTACAAAGGAATATTAGAAGTTAAACAGGACGATAGCCTTGTATGCTTGAGATTGGGACAAGTTTTGTTTGCTCTTCATGAAGAAGGTAGAGTTCCGGCAGATTCTTCTCATCTGGAATATACGAATTTCTTGCGACGAGCCTTAGAATTGGATCCCAACTTGTGTGACCATGTTTATATCTTGGGTGTAAAGCTTGAAGCGAAAGAAGATTTTTTGCAAGCAGTTGCTCTGTACAGAATGAATGCAATTGCTTCGGAGTATGCTCACTCAAAATCTCTCGTTCAAGCTGCTATGATCCTTCATCACAAACTGCATAGCAATGAAGAAGCTGGGTTCATGTATGAGAAGGCAGTCATGTCTGGAGTGCAAGAATCAAAGTTCTTCTTGTCATATGGAAAATACAACGAAAAGTTTGCGATGAACAACACCCTTGCGATGGAATGCTACCGTGCGGCAGAACTGATTGAACCAACAAATATTGATACTCTGATATCTATTGCAAGAATGGCTACACAAACGCACCCTTATGTCTCCCGTGAATACATTTCGAGGGCTATTGTACTTTACAGTGATGAGCGTCTATTGGAGACTGGAAGCGAATTCCACATGGACTCGTTTCTGGCACAACTCCTCATTGAACTTTCGAGAGTTTCCAAAATTTTGGGTGATATCGATCATGCCGAGGAAATCTTGCTGCAAGTGCTTGATGCGTACCCTTTGCACACAGAAGCCATGACTGAGATGGCCTTACTCCTAAGAGAAATGGGTCAAGATGCACACCTTCAGGAAATCCTTGTGTCTCGACTGGTTGAGTTGAATGTAAATAACTCTGCAGTGTGGTGCTTACACGGGAAGCTTTTGATGAACAAAGCTGTCTCCGAAAACAGTACACAAAATGGAATACGTGATGCGCTCTGCGCATTCAATCAAGCTTTGGATCTGAAACCCAATGACGTTGATGCTCTTTTTGAAGTTGCAGCGTTGTCCGCATGGGAAGGAAATCATGAAAAGGCAGTTACTTTATTGGAAAGAATACTGGTTGAAGATCCTCTACAACATAAGGCAATGGTAGCTTACACTTCAATGGTGACAGAAAATCATTGTGAACATGCCGCTTCAATAATCCAAGAAGCTCTGAAAAGGGACCGGCAGAACTATGACGCAAGGAAACTAAGTGCAAAGATTCTTCTTTTGCAGGGGAGACTTTTGCCAGCTTTCATTGAGGTTCAAGGTTTGATGACAGACAAACCAAGTGATATTGAGGTGGTGAACTTCTTCAAAGCCATTCAGATCGATTTTGCAAGAATTTTCTTGGCAGTGAAAGACTGTTTTATGAAGTTGTGCCTGCAGTATTGCTGCTGTCAAATCCTCTTCATGCAGCATTCCTTTGAGCCTCCGCATGATGGATTTTTGTCGTTGGACTTGCAGGTGGAAGATTCTACTATGGCATTTGTCAATGCTCAGGAGAGCCCGTGGAGGTTAAAGCAGAAGAATGACATATCCTTCATCCAGAGCTCCATGTTGGAAAGAAATGCCGACAGTTATCATTCCAGTCAGATAAAAAATTCTAGAAACGGAACGGGCTCGCACACTTCTCCGTGTCTGTTGCAAATCAATGCGATGGAGGGCTTTGAAGAACCTGCGTTGTTCGATTTGAACACGCCGTGTGACCTGAAGTCTCGGCCGTTCATCGTTGCCACACCTGTTGATGTTGACAGGGGCTTGCCAGAAGATGAAAAGTTACAGGAATGGCAGTCAGCACAATCTGATGCTTCTGTTGGCCAGGATTTGCAGGATGAAACAGTACCAGCAGACATGGTAGATGAACACTTGACACCAACACTTGGAGCCGAAATAGATTCTGATCAAGCTTTCAATTCTGAGAAAGATGAATCTGCTACCAGAAATAGTGACTCTATGTGGAAGGAATCAGAAGGGCAACAAGATCTCATCGCATCGTATAACCATGGAGGCTCAGAAAACACAATGAAAACCGACGAAACCACCCAGGCAATGTTTTCAGATGACGATTTCCAAACCATTTTGTGCTCCGACACCATCTCTTGCGCTGTCTCATCTCAGAATGTCCATCCCGCAACTCAACCGGACAAAGCAGATGCTTATGGGGATTCGTCCATCGAAACTCTGCACGTGGACAACGTGAATGCAGAGAACTCGTTCAAACCTGCTTCGTCTCACAAGAGCCCCATAACGATTCGCTGCATTCAAAATGGATTCATTGATGAATTTCGTAAGCCAAGAATGAAGGAGAATCCGACATCAAACACGTATTCCTTCTCATCTGAGAGCTTCGGATCACACTCTAGGCTGTCGGGTGAAACAGATTCCCCCTCTGATAGTAATTCTGATGATGGAGGGTCGATGTCTGTGTATGATGCTGACCAGGTCATGCCCCTAAGTAAGAGTCCCTCGGTCGCACCTGAAACTCCAAGATGGAAACTTGTTGCGCAGCAAAAGGCGTTTGAACGAGAGCAAAAGCGAAGTGAAGAGAAGGAGCTTTCTCCAGAATTGGACGGCATTTCCACTTTATTTCAATCACCACCAACTTGGAGTGCTAGACAATTCACAGAGATCACCGTTGCGAAAGCAGCGCATGGCAGCAGATCAAGTGCAAAGAAATCAAGGTTAATATCCCCTCGAAGACCTCGCCCTGTAACTGCATCCTTCGTCTCAACTCCTTTGATCAAAGATCACAACCAGAATGGTTTTGTGAATCGAATTCCTGCGAGCTGGAAGGCTGAAACTGCGCAGACCGAAGAGTTTTCACCTTCGGGAACTCAAGTGCAAGATGTTCCAATGAAACATTTGCAAATCATGGATTCAATGTTCACAGCATTGAGAGGAGTTGCTTTCCGTTCCAGGACTAGCAGAGCGGAGAAGTTCAAGATCTACGACTCCACGAATAGAGTCGTGGGGGTAAGACCGGGACAGTGCTTTCTTGCAAAGAAGTGCGAACAGCCAGGTTGGGTGCAAGTGACAGATTCCCGTTTTACAGATTTAGGAGCAGAGCTATTTCTCCCCGTTTCCACAGTTGTTGGGGAGGATCTTCTGCTTCAAATATCAGAGTCCGATAATAGAGCGTCAAGATGCTCAAATGAGATGCGAAAATCGATCCAGGATACAATCGATGCGAATCTTTATTACGAACATGTACAATCACCGAATAAGATCCCAGAGTATCTTTCAGTCCCACATTCTATTGGTGTGGACCCAAGCGGACTCTCTCAGGACCATGACTTTGGTCATCCCGATGATGCGGATGCTCCACCTGTAGTGGTTCGGAGATTCTCTCTGCAGGATACATTTATATGCGAAATGAAGTTCAGAGCTTCAGCATTTTATCCGACGTGCTACCCACGAGCGATCCAACTATGCTGTCTTCCTGACTAAGACACCAGTGTCAAAATCTTCTTGTATTTTTTTATTTGCCCCATCTAAACCATATTAAGGATCTTGTCGGGATATGAATTGAACCCCGGCCTGTGTAAAGTTCTAATCAGTATCGAACGTGTATTATGTCTCAACTTGACCTGCTTGGCGTATCTAGAGAGAGGCCCTTGCCTGCAGAGGTTGTTACAAACAGCATGGAGTATGCGTGCCAACCTTTCTAAAGTTTGTTCCTTTGAAACAGCAGAATTCTCCTTAGACGCATCCTGAATACATTCAGATTTCTTGTACGGCTGCAGTGATTTCTACCTTTTCTTCATTTGGTATGCTCATGCTTGCCGCAGTAGTTTTGTACATCCCAGCTGCCTTCCATGCGTATCTTCGCCTAGTGAGGAGCAGAAGACGGCATGAAAAGTATCACCTGTCGCCCAGTTGAGTTGTGGACGCTCCATTTTGCAGCACATTGTCTCCTGCGTTGAGAGCTACGGAGATTGTCTTGTTCCATGCATTTTGGTATACAGGCTAGACAGAAAAGTGAATGATTCCATGATGGTTACTAAAACTCACCGGGGGTTTCTGCGATACAAGCCGCTTCCCAAAATTTGAGTCGATGGGATGATACTGCACGAACTGTCAAGATGGGCTCTGCTTCTCTTCATGGGCCACCTCAGTCTCCATCGCTGATGAATCTCCGGACTTATTCAATGGCCCGAGCAACCCTCGAGCAAAATCGGTGTATGTGATGCTGGAAAAGCACAAGTTGAGGAGGAGCAATCACACTTAGCAACGCGACTCAACCTCCCCTTGGATCCAATGTCCAAGACGTCGAAGATGCAACTGATCTCGTCGTCCTGTATCCGATTCAGCAAGCAGAGAAACATGAAGGATCCGATCTACCTCAGCCTCGATGCTCAGATTCTTCCGGATGAGCTGTTGAAGCTCTGCCGCCATATATCACCACGTGCTGTAAAGGATCAAACTTTCTCACCGCCGAGTTCGATGCGCCCGGACCCATCCTTGTCAACAGATCGGAAGGCTCTCTACCGCTCTTGTCAGAGACAAGGGAGGCGGCAAAGATTTAATGCCTGCATAGAACCGTGTGTTGCTTGACTTGCTTTTCTCAGTAGCGACCAAATCTCTTCAGCTCTTACGAGCACATCCGGGCTGCTCGAAAGTGATCAGGCTTCATTGCGGGCGTTTGCAGGTCACCTGAAGTTGTTGGCAAGAAGTTGTGTCCTTGTTGCCTTCTGGGCCTTGCGGAGGTTCACTCCATACATGACGTGCTCTTCTTTCTTGCCGTCTTTCTTATCTTCCGCGATCGCGGGAGAGTGAGGTCCGTCGGGTGTTATTTCTTCTGCACTCAATGACTCAGCTCATGATTCTGATCGCCCTGGAAGACCTGCGTTGCCATTTCTGATGGTATGAATCTTTTTGACTTTGAAGGGCACGTCGATAGTCCGCACTTCGTCCGACGGCACTCGATCCACGTTGGAAACCCCCATGCCCAAAGTTCTGGCTTTCTTCTGGAACTTGTTCCTGTCATCAGGATCAGTTCAAATGCTCGCAACTCAGGCGCTTCAAACACCGTGCTTGTGCTGTTGGCCTGCCGGGATTGGCTGGATCTTGCCACTTTCGAGACACGTCAACATTGTTGAATGCAATGTCAGCTGTCTTTGAGCGCCAATTGATGTCATCTGAAGCGATCTCGTGGCTCGGTTCTTCTTCGAAGCTGTCCTCAAGCTCGCCATTTTCCTCTAGATGAAACTGATTCTTGAGATGACGATCGACTTGAGCTTTGACGGCAGACACATCATCAGCCTGGTTGTTTGATGGAAGTCACTGAACAAAAAAGAGTTTCAAAGGAAGGAAATTCAACCATCTGCAAACTTGGATCCAGGGCACCGAAACATCTCTCGAGCTCGAGGTAATCTGAAGCACTGTCAGTTGCCGGCTCCTCATGAAAGTCTTCAGACCGATTCCATTGTCCGTCTCAAGCAAGGAGCATAGCTCTTCTAAAGCTTTCTCTCCTCCTTCTGGACATAACTTGTGCAGGCGAAGCACCAGAATGAACTTTGGGAAACAGTCAGAGCAGGTGCAACGATAAAAATTGGCTCACATCCTCCTTCGGAATAACTCCGGCCTTGGTGGGATCATGTGTTGCAAGAGCAGTGCGAATCTCGTAGAATCGTCTGGAGTGGACGCAAGAAAGTGAGGGAGAGCGAGATCAAAGGGAGACAGGGAAAACAAGCAAAGGGATGAACTCGTGCAGCCATGCATACTTATCAAGCTTCTTTCGGAGGTTCTGAATGATGAAGGGTTTGCCCTTGACTACAAGACTCTCGTTCTTGGCGTAGAGAATGTTTGTACCAGAAGCCCACACGTCATACATCTTGGCTTGGTTGGTGCTGGCCTTGATCAGATCTCTTCGTGCCTGCACGCTGACTCACCGCAAGAATTGGCAGAGAGATGAGCTAACCTGTGCTGCCCTCGCTTCTGCCGTGTCAGAGACCGTGTCCGTCAACTCCACGTCAGGGTTTGTGATCGCAGCTGCAAACTCATCGAAGCTAAGCTCTCCGCTGCCGTCTTTGTCCATGGTCTTGAAGATGATGTCGAACGCCGCATCCGAGACAACGATGTACAGAACCTCTTCGATCAGCTTTCGGAGCTCCTCGCGTGATATCACACCTGTTGTGCATGTTTAATTGAAGTGAAGGTAATGTTGTTAATAAAATTTGAATCGGTGTGTGGCATGAATTTCGAACAGGCGTGCACAAATCCTCACCTGAGAAATCTTTGTCCACAAGCCTGAAGGCTGTTTGCACCTTCTTGAACTCCTCAAAGTTGTCCAAGATCAGCTTCCAAGCAGCCTTGGCCTCCTTCAGCTCCTTGCTGCACTGCTCGTCCAGCTCGTCCTGCAGGGACCGCATCCTCGGCTGCTTCATCCTCAGCTGGGGTTTGACCCGCAGACTCAACTGATGCTGGATGTCCTCCCACTCGGGAGTCCTCCACTGCGGCATGTGACCAAGGTAGCCTGGTATCGCTTTGAGCCCGAAGCGCACTTGAGGTTTCGTCATGGTAGAGGGCTTGGCCTTCGCCGTGTTCCCACGGGACTTGGTGGCGACTCGCTCAACCATGGGGTCGATGCGAGGAGTAAAGACAAGGTAGGGCAACTCCTTGCCGCCGTCAGCGCTGCTCTCCCCCGACAGCTCCATCATGCTAGTCTGCTGGCTCAGGACAGGGCGGAGCGTGCGCCCCTTGGAACCATCGCGGCTGGATCGGGCAGTCTGGGAGGAGGAAGGCTTCACCTGCTTGAGGGCATCGGCCAGGGAAAGTTCGCAGGCCTTCATGAAGTCAACGATGTTGAGCAGCCCGGCAGCATTGCAGCCAAGGCCCTTGATGAGAGCACGGAAGGAGGTGGGGGAGGGAGAAATCCCCATGAGCTCGCAGCCCTTGCGGAGGTTGGAGGGAGTGAGGTAGCCCTTCCTCTCAAGGTCCAGTTTCCTGAACGCTACCGAGGGAACCCGAAAGTGGCTCTCGACCTTGGAGTGAAACTCGATCCAGGTCGCGTTTGCCTCCGCAAACTCCTTCGCGCTCAGCTCGGGTACGAGGTCGTACTCCTCCTTGACCTCTTCCTCGGGGACCACCAAGGTGTCCGCGTCCCCACTCAGCTCCTTCATCAGCTTCTCGGCCGTCTCACTGAACGCCTGCCGTTGCTCTGTCATGTAGAAGATCTGGTCGACGCTGGTCCGTGCTAGCAGCCCCTTGTTGCGGGTCAGGTTCTTGAACGAGTACCCCGGCATGCAGTTCGATCGCACGTGGGGAACGTGACCACAGTACCCTGGCATGAGACCCTCGTCGCTCGAGATGAGGTTGGCGTCTAGGGGTTTCCCCCTCGACACAGGATCATGCTGGCGGGACTGCAAGGCATGCCCTCTGCTGCTGAGAGCGATCCAGACCTCTGGTTTGTCAGGGTTCTTGTACAGGGCATCATTCCTCGACGTTCGCAGAGTGTCCTTGTAGTTGAACCCAGGGGGGACGTTCTGTATGCCAGGGATGTAGCCCGAGTACCCGGGAGGAGGAGTGTACGAGAGGTGGCCAAAGTAGAGAGGAGGAACGACTGCTGTCGACATGATGATGAAAGATCTGGCAAAGAGATTGTAAGATTGAACATTACCGTCCCTTTCAGACCCCTGCTTTTTATCTCGCTAGGAACTCCCTTTCTCCCCACCGCGAACTGACCATGTCTACGATTCTATAGTTTGATCCCAGAGCGTCCTCCATTGTACACGGTCAACCCCTCTGATCTCTCCTGCCCTCTGATATCTTCCTCTATGTCCCAGTAACGCACAGGATTTTCATCTCCCAGTCCTGCCTTGCTGTTCCTCTTGGCTACCTGTCACCCATCCCTTGCTTCACCTCTACTCTCCTCACTAGTCTTGCTGATAGCTCCCTTGCTCGTCCTCCGCTCCTCTCGCCCTCCCCCTCTCCTCCACCTTCCTATCGCCTCTGTCCTCTCCTGCGCATCGCCACCATACTAACAGCCGTTCCGTTGCCCCCAACGGTACTCAGCAAGGGTGGGGGTGGGTCAAGAAAAGATGGTGGGGTGCAGTCAAAACCATTGCTGATGAGGGGTACTTGAAAGGCATCTAGGTGGTAGGGGTGGACAAGATTATCTTGACTACGGAGGGGGTGAGAGGCTGTAGGGGGTAGGGGTAGGACCTTTGCAGACCATCGGGTTGGGGTACTCTTGAAGCCGTTGACTCTGCTCGGTGGGTAGGGTCATATATAAACAGGGGTATGCGATCGGAAAATAGCTTCAAGAAGTTGACTTGAAAGGGGGTGGGTACCACAACGATGGGGGTCCTGACGGATTTGAGTGGGGTAAGGGGTCACTGAGTCGTGGCTCGTATGCACGACAAGAGGAGAGGAGAGGAGAGGAGAGGAGAGGAGAGGAGAGGAGGGGAGAGGAGGGGAGAGGAGAGGAAGGAGAGGGGAGGGGAGGGAGAGGAGAGGAGGGTGAGGAAGAGGAGAGGAGATGAAGGGGAAAGGGAGGGAGGGGAGAGGGGGGGAGGGGGCAAAGGCCATGAAGGTATTCGCAAGAGTTTTCATTGTGTTTACAATCCTCTTGCAAAGACTAACAAGGGAGAGAAGCATCGAAGCACTTGTACGACTGAGTAGCGTACAGCGAAAATCAATTGAAGGAACGTCGAGTACGAGAGAGAAAGGGGGGGGGGGGGGCAAGTGAGATGAAACATGGGAGGGAGGAAACACAGCAGGCAAGTAGCAAGAAGAAGAGCTGTATCGAGATAGGCGGTAGCGATGGAGGGAGGAGAGGGCACAGGAGAAGGAGGAGGAGCTCGGGTCAGTCAAGTTTGGGTGTCTTCCACAGACCGTCGTTGAGGTGATGCACAACATTCACCCCAATCCCCTTGTTGACCTGAACAAAGCGAATACAGCAGTCAACCAACCGACTGCGGCCACAAATAGACAAACAAGCATGGAAGGAGTGAAAGAGTTAACAAAGAACAAAACGAACACACGAACAAAGATTCAAGTTCTAAAAGATACACAGGATCATGGAGAGAACAGACACTAGAGCCCTGTGCCCAGCACAGGGCAAGACAACAAGAGGTGATCGCAGTGATCAAGGGAGGAGGTGTAGGAGCAACTCTCTACCTGTATGATGTCTTGACTACTCATCTGTGTATGTCCAATGGCAAGCGCATGCTCCTTGCCCTGAGTGAGAAACCATGAGACGGTCCCGATGTCATTCCGGAGGTCAGGGAGGTACCTCAGCAAGGATGGCGACTGGCGTGTTGTTGTCGACGGGCTTGTTCGCAAGCTCCTCAACAACATTCTGAGAGAGGATGGTAAGGGAGGAGCGAGCAGCCGAGGCAGCTGACCTTGTGGGTGAGACCTGGGCACATGATGTTCGCTCCGGACAGAACGAACTTGATAGCTCCCTTGTCCACTCGCATTGTAGGCATCATGAACGGGTACTGGTGGTGGACGCGGAGGGTCGGGTAGTAGGGCCCATCGCGTACCTGCAGAGAGGTCACAAGGAGCGTGTAGCAGAGCATGCGCTCACGTTGTAGAAGACTGGTTCTCCGTCGATCATGACAAGATTGATTTTGCCCTCGCACTTGGCGAGCTGTCGCTTCGACGATCAGCATAGAGAAGAGAGGTTGATGTGCAACGTCTCACCTGGATCTCTGACTTCTTTGGCATCACCTAAGGGACAAAGGTGAGCAGAATGGCAGGCAGAGTGAGGGAGAACGGAGGAGGTTATGCAATATTGTTGATGGAGCAGAAGATGACAACAGCGGAGGAAACTGAACATTCAGATATCACATTCTCGAAGTAAGGATCCAGCGACGGATACTGATCCCTGGAAAAACGTGCAGCATCAGTTTCATGTCATCTTATCAATAAGACACTCACTGGATGGCCTGGCGAATGGCTCGCTGCTGTGAAGATTTGATCTTACTCTTATCTTTAACCTGCAACCGAAAAATCCCATTAGACGGCTCCATGAGACAGCTTCTCTGTGTACTGCCCAAGATGCTTTCTTTCCCTGCTATCCAACCTTTTGCATCCCGAATAAAATTTCAACCCATTGTGCAGCTAAGAAGGAGGACTAAGAAAATCCACATCCTGTCTACCTTCTCTTCTTCCCCTCTCCTCTCCTCTGCTTCTACTTTCTTACGTCGCCACTTCGTCTTCTTTCACTGCACATCGCCTCCGCTTCTCCTCTCCTCTCCCTCCTCTCCTCATACCTCTTCGTTGCTGAACTTCTTGAACATTTTCGCACGAGAGCCGAACACCGGCTGGCCCTCATCCCCTATCGTGGCAACTCAAGTATAACAGCGTAACTTTATACATGGCCGTCTATAAAGGCAATTGCTAATACTTCTCAGTCGGGCATGCGGTATGGCAGGCCGGTTCGATTGCTGCTGTTTCTGTGGTTGACGGCGGGGGAGACGAAGGGAGGAGAGGAGGAGAACCATGCAGCTCTGAGCTGCTACAAGGAAATCGTCAAGCTACTTGCTAGCAGAGGCCTCTCCCCCCCTGTGGCGATGGAGCAATCGCAGGTTTTCAGATGCGACGGTCCTGGCTCCCTGAATATTGTTGGTAGATTGAAAGAACGAAGAGGCACTATGACCTGCATGCCAACGAAGTGATTCCAAGGAAGCATGCTCTGATAAAGAGGAGCCAGAGTCAGACTATCCAGTTGAAGAGGTTCCACAATGAAGTGAAGGTTAGTCTAGTGTATCATGGATGATTGCAATCTTGCTTCTCATCTGCATGGGTTGCCTTTGATCTGCCTCCATGAGATGATGGATGTATGCTTGAAATTTTATCTCATACTTTGCTCTTCAGAGATCCTTGATAGAATCGTTTGCGACTCGGGCTGATCACGTGTTGGACTTGGGATGCGGTCGTGGCGGTGATCTGTAAGGACAACGTGATTTTTTCTGCATGGCTGATCTGGAATTTCTCTTTTCAATCTTTCCTATGTTGAAAATCATTTGTCCGCCAGAAACAAGTGGTTTGATGCCAAGGTAATCATGGCGGGGTGGGGCAAAGTGTTGTTCACAATATTCTATCAGATTGCAAATGTAGTTGGAGTGGATCTTTCTCAGAAGGAGATACAAGAAGCCATCAAGCGCCTCCATGAACTACGTTCCAAGGCGCGAGGTGGTGTTATCAGGAACCGTTTGGTCGACACGTTCAACGCTAGGTTCCTACAGTCTGATAGTTTAGGTAGAACGGTGTCCTCTGAGAATGGTTGTTACTAATCAACTGCACGTTTCAAGGCATCTCTTCCCCGATCCTGTTTGCAAGTAATCGTCATGTAGAGTGTCTCAATACTCTGCTGCAGTGACTGATCAATTGCACGCAGCAATTCGACGCTGTCACGTGCATGTTTGCACTGCACTACTTCTTCGGAACCGAGCATTCTCTCAGGTGAATCAAAATCTTGAGATTTCATGCCGAGTCTCCCATGTGTTTGTGTCCCAATCAAGAGCTCTGATCGTTCTGTGCAGGAATCTTCTAACGACTGTCTCTGCGAACCTGAAGGTTGGAGGTTACTTCTTCGGAGTCTGTCCCGACGGTACTTCGGATCATTGGTCAAACAAAGTAGGAAGGATAAATGATGAACAGGAAGGAGAGTGAACGATCTTCTCAAGAAGCATAATGGGACCTTCACAGGGCTCGTCTTTTCCTGCCACATAGTACACGTTTGACTTTCCGGCCTCAGGAATGTCTTCTCCCTTCAGAAGAACGAGGATTTGCCAAGCTTGCAGTTCGTTTCCATGGAGAAAGACTCTCGGTTTGGAATGACGTACACATTCGCGCTCAAGGACACGGCAAGCGACGTCAGAGCGCGTGACATGTGCTGATTCGTATGCAGGTGACTGGTGAAGTTGAAGACAGTGACGGGAGCATTGAGTTCATGGTGTTTGAGGTTTCTTATATCATCTTCCTGATTCTCAGCTGAAACTTCTTCAGGATCTTCTGATAGAGATGGCGGCTGAAGTAGATCTCGTTCCTGTATGAAACAAGCCTTCTATCCTTTTATTCCCCTCTTCTCACACTCCCTGCCCCTGCCCCTGCCCTGCCCCTTCTCCTTCCCCTCCCCCTGCTGCATTACTGCTCCTGCCCCAACAGCTCCTGCTCCTGCTCTTGCTTGTAATCCTCCATCTGATCGTATTGGTGCGTCTTTCCCAGGTGCTAGAATACGACAGGTTGGCTTTCGGCAAGCTTCTCTCACTTGGTGAGCATGGCAAAGTGACTTGAGCATCTCACGTGGAGTGTAGAAGCAACCAAGTATGGGCTCTTCAAACATTTCATCCCCGTTTACGACAACGTCGAAGAACTTGAAACGGTCCGAACCATAGTTCTATGAACCTTCCCTTCTCCTTTTCCCTTCCTCCTCCTCCTTCACTCTCATCGTTCTCTCCCTCGCTCCCTTCCAGTTTCGTCCTCTCCAAAGCTTCAATCACTCTTAACTTGCAGGTCAGCAAACTCAACTGCGCGTTCACGTTCGTCAAGGTTGATCCCAACAATCAGAGCGACAGGCACACCATGGGGAAAAGGTGAGAAACGCCTCGTGATCCTTCTGTTTGGTGTACCTCGTGCCGCCGCTGCTCGGACATCACCACCTCGCATGATTGTCGCTTCCTCGTCCTCATTCTTTCTTCTCCTGCTCAGGCAGCTCGGATATGAGGAGCACGAGTTTCGCGGTGAAGTGAACGACACTGCATGAGGGCCGGGGCGCCGTGCGCGGCAGTTCACAGTCACCGGGAGTCCGAGCCGCGACCGTGAACAAGTGCCAAGCCTATCATCACTGAGGCACAAGGCCCAGTTAAGTTCAAAGTGTCGGGGACAGCAGTGGGCAGGATAAGGCTGATTGAATAATTTTCCGGGCCGGGCCCGGTGCCACGGTTGGTTCCCGGCGAGTCACTCACTGACCGTCTTTGAATGTGCGACAGACCGGTGTCAGGGTCCGATGGTCCGATCAGTCAACTTGGCAACGGTTGAGGGTCTCGGACTCCCGGATCCGAGAACGCTCGGAGGCTCTGACTGAGTCTACTCTCTTGACTCAGTGATCAGCCCGATGATCCGATCATTGATAGCCCGCCGCTAGTCACTGAGTATCCTGACTCGTGTGAGCCTGTACTGTCCGATCGGACGGTCCGGTCCGATCCGTCGGTACTACCGGCGCAGTCACTCGGACTTTTCACTTACGGGGGCCGTGGCTTTCAAGTTTGAGCCCGGTAAAGGCACGGTCGGACTTACCGGCGGGCCGTGGCTTTGAGCCTAAAGTTACGCGTATAGTATGGTTTGGGTTGACTCCGACCGTGATCCGATGCGGCAACTGACCCGTCGGCCGGACGGTTGGAGCGAGCCGAGTTCAAAGTATTGTCACACCCCGGTGATCATGCCTGGCCGCCCGGCCCAGCGGGGCCGACTCGAACAAACTACTATCACCGCCGCCGTACGGTAGCAGGCTTAAACTTGAAATGGGCCGTGCCGGGCGCGGCGGCCCGGCCCCGGGGGCCCAGGGTGCCGCTGTCACGGTCCGGGGCATCGGCGGCGGCCGCCCGACTCGGGCCAAGGCCGGGCCGGGGCGACTTCCGAGTTCAGAGACGGCGGCAGTGTGAGTGAAAGACCGTGAGAGACGCCGGCTGGTCGGACTGGCACGTGACCAATGACTGACGGTACAGGGGTGTAGCTTTGGTTGCTCTAATAAGAGGAAAGCTAGGGTGGGTACAACCTCGCAACTTGAAGTACAGTGAAAGGTGAGCTAGTAGGTAGGGGTGGTTGTTTGTGAATGGAGGGGGTTAAAATATGGGAGGGTGAGGAGGGGTGTTCCAGGTCAGGGTAGTCATTCTGCAGGGTGGCTGCAGGGTGGGTGTCACCAAGGGGCAAAAATATCAGCAGTCGCGGCAAGGGCACTCAAATATATATTATTTTCAATTATTCTGTCATTTTTCAAATTCTTCGAAGAAGGTCTAGGGCCAAAATCTAAATTGACACATTTTTTGAGCTGATGCAGCGAAGCTAGGACTGTCAGGGACAGTTCCGACCGGGGGCTGCTTGTAGTAAACTGACTACAAGAGTATCGATACTTTATACTGAAAATAAATCAATACAATTTTTGTACGAGCATCAATTCAGATTATCTTAATATATTGTAGTTTTATACTCTGAGATTAGAGATCTGATTGTGGCTCTGGTTCCTTTTAATTTCAACTCTAACAATGCACCACCATTTCAAAATGGAGGAAAAAATCTTATATTGCCTTTTAATCAGACTGCGAGGATCTCTCAATATATATTATAAAAAGTATAAATACATCAGCTTTGTACCAGCATACTCCTTTATGTGGTCTTGCGGCCGCCGAACTTCGGCGAGGGAATCACTTTCTTTATTGGGGTAGGGGTTATATTGAGTACCGGTACTATTCCTTTCATGAACTGGGGAACATCTGGGTTCCTGTTTTGTGGTACCCCTTGACGTATACAGGGGTACCCCTACGTCTAACGAATGGCCGCTACACTGGAGGGGTGCACTTGACTATAAGGTGAAAGGAGGGGTCAAATGAAGCTGCCCTCTATGGAGATGGTTCCTGGACTGGGGGTGGGGTGAGCGTTGGGTGTGGGGGATGATACTCTGAAAGTAGGGGTACTTTCAAGGGAAATGCTATGCCGCCTGAGGCGATAGTCCATATAGGTGGGGTAGTTTCTACTCAGGGTAGGGTGGTAGAATGTGGCCGCAGGGGTGTAGAGGGAGGCGCGCGAGGAGCAGCCCCCAAATGCTGAGATGCACGAGGGGATACGAGGGGGCTGAACCATGTCAGCATTGTCGGCACGCTCCTCCTCATGCTGCTGCTACTGCCGATGTCTCATCCCTCCCATCATCATCTCATCCTCGCAACATAATCTTCTCTTTCCTGTTATGGAAATCCTTTACGATGGCATACCCTCCCCTGTTCCTGGCTGAAGCGAGTGTGATAATCTTTTGGTGTTTTGTTGCATCGGATCCCTGCTTTGTTTACTCTATCTTGTTCAGTTTTGCTCATGAACTCATAGAATTGTGATTCTTCTGTTTCGTCTACCTTGGTTTGTTGGAGCAACTAAGGTTGTGAGGGGGGTTGTAAGTTCGAGACGTACAGTTTGTTTTTGACTATGAAGGAAATTCAAGCACTAGAATTGTTAACTTTATGTGAATAGTCGATCGAAGTGTTGGCTCTGATCAAATCTCGCATTGATACTATATCTGCGAACTTCGCTTTAACCCGAAAATGAAACATGACATCGATGGCGTTATTGCGAACAAAGGCTCAAAAATAATCATTTTGATGCAACAGATGCCTATCCAAGCTCTCTCGGCACGTGAAATCATCGATTCCCGTGGTAACCCCACCGTCGAAGTGGACCTCACCACCGACATTGGAACCTTCCGTGGAGCCGTTCCATCTGGTGCTTCCACCGGTATCTATGAGGCTTGTGAGCTTCGGTTAGTCCCTTCTTACCAAGTTGAAGCTGTTCATCTAACTCAAGTACAGTGATGGCGATAAGGCTCGCTTCATGGGCAAGGGAGTTCTCAAGGCTGTTGAGAATGTTACCAATGTCATCGCTCCCGCCATCATCGGCATGAACCCTGTGGAGCAGGAGGCCATCGACAACAAGATGATCGTATGCTGAATTGAACCTGTGTCGCATGGTACTCACCTTTTGCCTACAGGAGCTTGATGGCAAGCCCAACAAGGACAAGCTCGGCGCCAATGCCATCTTGGCTGTTTCCTTGGCTGTTTGCAAGGCTGGTGCTGCTCAGAAGGGAGTTCCCCTCTACCGCCACGTTGCTGATTTGGCTGGAACTGGCAAGCTGGTGCTTCCCGTGCCTTGGATGAACGTCATCAACGGAGGCTCCCATGCTGGCAACCGCCTTGCTATGCAGGTAAGCATAGCTCTTGCAAGAATTTTTCAACTCACTGGTATGCAATTTCAGGAGTTCATGATTGGACCTGTTGGTGCTACCTCCTTCAAGCAGGCCCTTCAGATGGGCTGCGAGGTCTACCACAACCTCAAGGCTGTCATCAAGAAGAAGTACGGCCAGGATGCCTGCAACGTTGGAGATGAGGGTGGTTTTGCCCCCAACATCCAGGAGAACGACGAAGGCCTCAAGCTCCTCGTCGAGGCCATCGAGAAGGCTGGATACACCGGCAAGATCAAGATCGGCATGGATGTGGCTGCCTCTGAGTTCTGCAAGGAGGGCAAGTACGATTTGGACTTCAAGAACGAGGAATCCAAGCCGGACACCTACTTGAGCGGTGAGCAGCTCAAGGACCTCTACAAGTCCTTCGTGCAGAACTACCCCGTGGTCACCATCGAGGACCCCTACGATCAGGACGACTGGGATTCCTACACCAAGTTCACCTCCGAGATGGACATTCAGGTCGTCGGAGACGATCTTTTGGTAACCAACCCTGCCCGCATCACCACTGCCCTCGAGAAGAAGGCTTGCAACGCTCTCTTGCTCAAGGTCAACCAGATCGGATCCGTGACTGAGTCCATCAAGGCTGCCAAGATGTCCATGGACAATAACTGGGGCGTTATGGTTTCTCACAGATCTGGTGAGACCGAGGATTGCTTCATCGCTGACCTCGTCGTCGGCCTCGGAACTGGTCAGATCAAGACTGGAGCTCCTTGCAGGTCCGAGAGAACTGCCAAGTACAACCAGCTCCTCCGTATCGAGGAAGAGCTCGGCAAGGATGCTGTTTATGCTGGAGAGAACTTCCGCACTCCTCAAAAGTGAACATCTTAGGTCATATCGTGTATTTATTTCCTCACGTGCAGCTCGATTCTATGCACATTCTTTGGTTTAATTGCTAGTTCCAAACTCACAGCAGCTATTTTGTGCTGAAGAGCTTTTGATGGTTTTGAGAATGAATTCAAAATAGCAGAACATATGGTTGTGTACCGTGACAGGCTTTTGGGTTTGGTTCTCGCTGCTCCTCGGACGACGGTACCGTACTATAAAGCCTCACCAGGCTGTCAGAAAAAGTCAGTCGCCACCGTACCGGGGCCCTGTCAACAGATTAATCAATGTCACTGGAAACTCAGTGACTCGGATAGTCACGCACCGTCACGCGGCCCGGCGTTGAGGGCCCGGGCCGGGCCTATTGGCCGGGCCGCAGTCCGGTTCCGACTCGTTCAGCCTGGCACTACGACAGTGCCACGACAGTACTATAAGTAGAGGTTAAGATAGTAGTCTTAGTACCAGTACCGTACGAGGAGTACTACATGAAACAGCAAACTATTATGAGAATTATTACAACTTGTTTTTATCTGTACGAAAATTAAATTTAAAAAATTAAAATCATTACTGAGTAAAATAAATAAATTTACAATAAGCATATACCAAGAAAAATTGAGTTTTTATAGTACCAGCGGTTTCTTTCCTGAGATGGATGAAGACAAAAAGAGGTATATTAATAGAACATTTGGAAAAGATAATATTTTAGATTTCGACATGATTTCATCAATATTTTTCAAAATACTCCAAAAGTTAAAATTTAATGGCAAAATATTAAATTGATTCCACATATATATAACTTTCATCCAGGTCTCTCCGTACTGCGTAACCTGTACCAGCATCTCAACAAGTTTTTATAAACCGCTTGAAGCGTTCGAACTGGCAGAGGACATGGCGAGAAGAGCGGAACTTGCAAGGGGGAGATGCAATGGATGGAGACGAGCAAGAGGAGCAGGAGGAGCAGGAGGAGCAGGAAGAGAAAGTAAATTATCAGAAGGATTCTGTACAACATCAAGAAGTTCTTTGTCAAGAGACTCTTCCAGCTGGATCACTTGCAACGAGAGAATGTGGGATCATAATGCTCAAGACAGAGCATCTAATATCTCAGTGGTCCTTGTGCTCTGTGGAAGCAAACATTACAATTCTGACCGGAGACATCTTGATCCGTTGATTCTGCCTACATGACATGTTTGTTATACATCGCAACTTGTAGATGAGGAATGAGGCACAAGCAATGTTGTAACTGGATGTAGTCCTATTCTCGAGTGCTGATTTGCAAAATGGGTCATGCTTGGCTCGTGAATGCTTCAGGAGGATATAGTGACAAGGGGAGGTTGTTTGTCTGTACAGAAACAACAGAAAGCAACCAATGAATGCGTCACATTTAAGTTGTCCTAGGATTTGTATGGATTCTTTTATCCAACCTCTTGTTTAGGCACAAAGTTTTGGTGACTGCATGACTTTGGAAAGGCGTGAAAATTCTGTGAAAATCCTGAAATGTCATGTATTTAGCGTTGGCCTTACTTAAACACCTTGATGTTCTTGTGAAGTTACTGCCCCCGGCCCACGACTTGCAGGCCAGAGGCATGAGGAAAGTTAGGTATTTCAGATGTATGAAGACAAAGATATTGATACAATATTTGTGTTATGAGCCGTCAGTTGACTCTTCCTTGGGTTTCAATAGTTTGGACGACTCGGATACTGGCCTTCGATATACATCCAAGATGACGAACTCCGAAGCAAAGCTTGACATGGACCTCGGTACCAAATTATTTCCTCCTCTCTTTGAATTTCAGTATGAACTCTGAGTCTGTTGCCACTTCTGGTACATCTGGAATTCTGATTCTTATTTTTTTTTCTTTCTTTCTTTTTTTCAAATCGTTGTTGCGACAACGATGCTTGACGCATGTTCAAAACGTTTGTGTCTGATTGATGCCTGCTTCATTGCACTCCTCCTCTCTAGAGCAAGAGCTCAATGACATGGTTCGTGGTGACAAGTATTGGTCAGCCGACGTCGTAAAGGCGGACAAAAAAGACGAAATGAAAAGCAAAAAGAGTCCGAAGGCAAAGGTGCTTCAATTGCTCACATGCCGGCAATTTAGGACTGACTGGAAGTCGCCGTTGAGAAGACGACCGGCGTAAAAGTAGGCACCAAGAAAGGAGTCAAAACCACCATCAAGAAGGACCCAGCTCTGCTCAAGGCTCAACAAGCTGCAAAGAAAGTTCGGCAACAACGTCAGGTTTCAAACGCTTCCACTCCTCTCCGATGGATTGCTATTCGACCTTCGTATACTGCGCTGTCTTCTGAGAAATATCTACTCCAATCAAAGATGGCACCGGCTATTAACATGATGCAAAGCATTTGGCTTGATGTGTTTCCATGAGGATCTATTGGCTCGATCAGGATAAACTTCTGACATCAATCTGATAATGACGCAGGCGCAGCTTGGGCAGAAAGCCACCAAAACCCCCCGACAGCAGCTGAGGAAGAATACCTCGACTAGTCTGCAGGGCGCTGTATCTGCACGCCGCAATCAGCAAGTACTTCCGATACGAAGACTGCAATCAATAATTGACAGTCGCTTGTCACTCTAGACGAAGCAGCGGGTCGCCAACACTGCACAAGCTCGCAAGAACAAGATTGCATCGAACAGGGGTCTTGCAAACAATCAGAACAATGCTGTCAGGAGAAACAACAATCAGAGACAGGCAAGATGAGAGCTCTTCTCGTTGAAAGCTTAGTTTGTCGACAGCAGCAGCCCTTTGTTTTTCGCGGCAACAATAAGGGATACAACAATTACCGATCGAACCAGGTACTCATTCGTAATCTACGATCCTTGTTATACATCCTTTGATTCTGATCTTCCTACCTTGCATGTCCTCTCCTTCAATGACATACCTCAGCAGCAGTATAGGGGCAACTCGAACGCGATTCCTCGAGGTGGCATGCGCGTTGTGGTCGTGAACAACAGAGGCAACAGGCGGGGACAGCAGAGGGTCCCGCAGCCAACTGTGCGTGTTCATCCCCCTCTTGGACTAGAACTGACACAGAGGCAGAGGATGCAGCAACAGGTGCAACAGCAGCGTCAGCGAGTACAGCAGGTCAAGCCTTGAGTTTGTTGCCTGGCTTGCATTCTTAGTCGCGTGTAGGGGCGCAATAATGTGATCAACCAACGTAGAGGATTCCAGCAGCAGCAGCAGCAGCAGCAGCAGCAGCAGGTGGTTGTCGGTCCTGATCCTTGTGTTCCTGTTCCCTAACCTTGAGTCGCGGCGGATAGAACTACAGGAACAACCAGGGATACAACCGCGGTTACAACAGAGGAGGAGGACGTGGAAGAGGGTAAACAGCCTTCCGAGCTATTTTGGTTTCTGACTCTTAATCAGTCGAGGCGGAGGAGGAGGAGGGCGCGGTGGAGGGCGCGGTCGCGGTGGGGGTGGGGGTGGAGGCGTTGTTCGCGTCGTTCGGAGATAAGAGACAGTCAATCTGGTATTGAGATGAGAGTCTCGTAGTTTTTGGTTTGTTAGATAGTCCAAACTCTTCAGTGGCGAGTGTTTGACTTGCAAAGTAACGCGATGTTGCCGATCATATTCTGGTATTGTGTTGTGCTCGTGGTAAAGGACTTTACATTTGTCATGACGATCGTCCGACCTCGGGCACGGACTGCCCAGCCCCAGTCCGAGGCTCCGATCGGAGCCTGTACTGATATTATCACCCCACCCCCATTAAATGGGTCATTTTTCAGTCGTCAGGTGGGGTCAAACATTTTACTTTTCGATTTTCAAAGTTCAGACCTCTTTCCCCCCTTTTTCGGTTTTGCATGTCATAAAGCTGCCGGTTCGATTTTTATGCTGGGTAGGGTGGTTGGAATCTCTCCCACTACGGGTGTAATGATTCTTAGAAGAGGGGGTTAAGAGGTACTTTTCGTGAAATGGGGGATGGTGGAACGGGTCAGGGTGGGGTCTGCTTTTCTCCTAGCGCAGGGGCATGACACGGAACTAAAAGGCCAGGAATGATCACCGGTTCGAGGAGAGGTACAGTGGTAGGTGGGGGTGAAAAATAATTGAAGGGACCCCTGCTTTCTACAAGGAAAGGACCCCTTCATTATGGGGACCCCACCCTGCGAGGAGGTGGGGGATCACTGTTCCTTTCTTTCTACTCTCTTTAAAACGTTATAATATTATATATATATATCATCCCGGGTAGAAACCGTTCCATTCAGAAACCTTCCCGGCCCCCACCCCACCCGTATGCGGTCCCCAGTGGACCACCTTCCCCACCCACCCACCCACCCACCCACCCACCGCATATCCCCTGACGTTGGGGGGCGCACTGCCGCACCCCTCTCACAGAAATTTTTCTCCAACACCCTCTTCAAGTGGTACCCGTAGAGTCGACTCTGTCCACCCCTCCTTTCACCTCTCGGAGTACCCCCAAGGCCACCGCTCCTCCGACTGACCGGCAGATCACTGATTTTTGAACCCCACCCTTCTCCCTGCCTTGATGACCTACCCCCACTCTTGCCATCTGTGTACTCTTGGGTCAAATGCTGAAAAAAAAAATCCCAAGGCCGTATCGACCACCCCTCCAAGGAAATCAGACCACCCCTGGTTGAGTCCTACCCCACCCCAAAGACACATAAACTTTCTAGCTAGCTGACCTACTTCCAAGTGCTGACAAGATCCACCACCCCCTGTTAGAGGCATCCCAGGTACGAAATTAACATTTGGGGTGATCACCCCCACCCTCCTTTCACTCCTTTGTAGCCCTACCTTGTCTGTACGATAGATGGGCGACCCCACCCCAGTGCTATCGCCGTGTAGGACCACCCACGGGTCCAACCGCCCCACCACCCCCAGAGGTCACCTCTGCATCCCCTGTAAGGCTTGACTGACCTTATCGCCAATGCTCAAAGGCGACCGAGCACAGGCGCAACATGTCGTTTCTGTCCCCGATGTCATCTCCATCATCACAACACCATAATGCACTGCCATGAGATTGTCACCCGTCATCCTTGCTCCTATCTCGGAGTATAATCGTAATTGATCTTTGTTTCTCATTCATGCGGAAATCATAATTGTAACCTCAAACAACGCCCCTTTAGGAATATTAAATGATTCTTCTCTCATGATGTAGATTCTTGTGAAACCAGTCGTCTGCTTCTGTCCGCTCGATAGTCATGTTACTGGATAGGAGAGTAACAACAGAGCGAAATGGATATTTCGAGAGTCAGGGAGGTAGACAGGGAAGGGAGGGCTCGTTTGCAAATCAAATCTTGCCTTTTACAAATTCTGATTGTAATTGTGCGCAGAATTTTTCATGCTGACAGCTTATCTGTCTTGATTGCTTTGACTCAAGATGAAATCTTCGACATATAGCAAGCGAAGCATATCACCGACACCTGCTGTAAGAGCCAATCTTCCGGAGAAGTGGAACATCCTCAAGTTAGAAGGCGTGTCAAGCGATAGAAGCGTATCACCATTCCAGAGCCGAGCAATGGCTGCTAGAGCGAGTGCAGAGTTCAACATCACCAAGACGAGGCAGCAAAGCAAACATGCGCAGGACAAGAGATCCCTCTCACCCGTCCCGCGTCGCGTTGATGAAAATGTCCTTGCGGGGAACCAAGGGAGCAAGAAGTTTGACTATCCTGCTGGACCAGGATCAGCGCGTATTTACAAGTTACATGAGAATCGCAAGGTTGAGACTAAGTCGGTCGTGAGGACAAGCACTTTCCGAAAGAGCCTGCGCAAGGTATTTTTGCGATCTGAGAAGAAGTTGTTGTCGGAACTTTTCTTTGAAAGGTTGGAACTTTCCGTCATGCTTTTGCATCTAAAAGATTGACCTGCTTCTTAGATGGATAGTGTTCATGGCGTCGCAATCTCAAGCAAGAATGAAAGAAAGTGCCTCAGCTTTTGTCTTGTCCATTCGATCACAATCAAATCAGCAAAGCCTCGAAGCATATTTCTTTCGGTACTCTTGACATCCAACTTGGTTGGTTGGTTCGTTACTGATGTTATTCCTCAGGTGGAGTCAACAGCTCTTGCAGTTCAAGGCGGAAGATTTGAAGTTGAGGATGAAGGCCTCGGACGAGGCATCAAGAGCCCTGGTCGAGGTTGTCAACGAGCGAACCAATATCATGAGTCAGAGTCAACATGACATCGAGGTGATCTCATTGTTCTCATGCTTGCCTTGTGATGACTCCTGCTTAGGTCTACGAATACCTCGTCGACAAGAAACTGCGATCAGAGCAAAACTTTCAGCACCTGATGGAGGTTTTCTACCACTGGAAGCAACTGCAGCAACTTGCAGGAAGGTTTTCCTGCAACTTAGTGAGCAGTGCTTTCAAACGTTGGAATGTGATTGTTCGTCACGAAAGGAATGAGAAGGTTGATGCGTTCGCTTTGCCATGGGACACACTAACTTCATTCTTCCTTAGAATCATTCCTTGGTTCAACATGGCAGTCGATTCATGCAAAGGATGTCTCATGGAGCTGAAGCATTGATCGTAAGGATTGTTCGCAAGCATCTTGTGCACTCTATCTTGGAATTTTGGCAACAACTTGCCATGAAAAACAAGTTCTACCAGAGAGTGCAGACGACAATCCAAAGTCGAAGCATTTTTCGACAAATGTTGTACGCATTCGAAGCGCTGAAATATCTTTGCCAAAGATCGCTGCGAGAGCGATATCTGACAAGATATCAAGAAATTATGTCCAAGAAGCAATTCTCAAGAATGCAGAAAAGCTTGATCAAGTACTGGCGAGCATTGGTGCTCAAGGCCAGATCGCAGAAGATGAAGTTGGAAGTAAGACAGTAGTGTTTATTTTGAGATTCTGATCGTACTGACTGCATCCAACTTCAGCGTGTTATGCAAGCATACAAGAGACGATCGATGTTTCGATCCATTACAGATTGGCAACATACATATAGTTTTGACAAGAATGCACGAGTTCAAATCGAAAGAAAACAACGAAATGTGTTGCGCAACGCATGGATGAGTTGGAAGATGGAATTTGAATCGACCCGGTAAAATGCTTTTGGGGCATTCTGTCAAATTTGTAACTGTGGATGCAGCGAAAATCAGCTCACTTGCAGGGGTTGGCAACGTGATATCATCTCTCACATGAGAAGAGAAATCCTGGTGCTATGGCGAATGTCCTGTGTGATAGGCAGGATTTTGGTAAGAAGGGCCAACGTTCTGAACAACAAGAGAAGGTCGACTTTGCAACGGGTGTGCATTGAAGAATGGACAAAGAGAACGAAGGAAGCGGCAAGTTGCGAGAAGAAAGTTCAACGACTGTTGTCATTGAAATTGATCAGTCAGGTGATTTTGCTTCACTCTTTTATTGCTTTCTGGTATTCTCACTAACTGAACATGCAGACACGCAACACATTTTTGTGCTGGTCACGCGCAGCTTTGAGGTCTTTCAAACTTCCGACGGGTCGGATCCACAAATGGGCTGTTCACATCAAGCGAAAGTTGGCACTGAGTGTACTGAACAGCTGGGAAGATTTGATTCAGAATGCAAGCAAGCAAAGGCAGTTGATTAGAGATCGAAGTTTGCTGATGTTCTACCGAACAAAAAACAACATGTTCAGGAGGTGGAAAGCTCTAGTTGACACATCAATCATCAAGTGCGAACATGCAAAGATCCTTGTGCGCAAGCAGGAGCGTTTGTTGGTGAAAGATCACTTCACTGTCTGGGTGAAGTGTCGTGAGGAGACGCGCAAGTCTCTTCACTCTCAACTCAGAGGTCGCCGATCGCTTTTGGCGTCCGCCGTGTTATGCTGGCGGAGGCGAATGAGGATGAAAGAGAAGAGAAGACGCGCTTGTCTTCTGTTCTACAGCAAGCTAAAGTTTTCTCGGTTCTTTTCAATCTTCAAGAGATGGTTCCGATGGAGCTTGTTGTCTCGGTCAAAGCTGCAATCGTGCATGAGAGCAGAGGCGAGAAAGAGAAATTTGCTCAAGTACAGAACGTTAATGAGGATGAAAATCGGGTTGATGAGCGCTCGGGCCCAGGATGACAATCAGGACGTGAGCAGCGACGAGCCAGCGGCGCAGGTCATGCTGCTTCCCCTGGAGGAACGGAAGAGGACTCGGAGGATATTTGAGGGATGGAGATGTCTTGCTGTCAGCTCGTCGTTTGCAGCTCGTAAAGTTGATGTCAAGTTGATGATCCGCCGAACGAAGCAGGTCGGTCGTGCTCTTGTAGGATGGATCCACTTGCGTTGGAGCTCCAAGAGAGTCCGGGACTTGTCTCTCAAGATCCGCACGAGAGAAGATCGCAGGAAGAGATCGTCCCTGTTCCTGCTGTGGCGCCAAGTGTGTGACAACAAGGTCAGGAAGAGGCTGATAGTTGGGCGGTGCATCGCGGCCAGGAGTTCGCAGTCCAAGAGGAGCATACTTGGCTGCTGGATGGACATTGTCTCCGACAAGAAGGTGTCAGAGTCACTGGGCCGCTCCTGCTACACCTTGAAGCGCAGAAAGATTCTACGGCAGCACGTGGCGGTATGGAGCGCGTTCTCTGCCAGGCAGCTGCGGTTGTTCCATCAGGAGAGGAGGATAGTGCGGAGGTCGCAGGCTGCTATGATCAGGAAATGCCTGCTCGTGTGGATCAGAAGCTCGGTTTCAAAACATCTCCAGCCTCTTGTGGAGAAGTTTGTGGGCAGGAAGTCTCAGCTCGTGCTCAAGTCCTCCTTCGATCGTGTTTGCAAGTATCACTTGCGTTGCAGAAGGATGCAATCAGTGGTGACAGGCTGCGGGCTCAGGCGATCCCATCGATTGCTTCACAGTGTCTTGCTACGATGGGCAAAGGAGACGACAAGGCAGGAGAGTCTCAACTACAAAGTGAAGAGCTTCTCAATGCTGCATGGATGGAGATTGACTTCCAAGTCCTTCAAGAGTTTGTTGGGCAACTCTCGAGATCGATCCAACTCGCCTCCTCAGTCAATGTCGCACACCTCCAGCATCTGGGACCAGTCTCTCGTCCATGTCTGCTCCCCTCTCCCCCGAACTCCCGATGTCTCCGCTCCTCCCGCCCTCCTCGCGCTGTCGCCGTCCTCCAGCCATGACGTGTCAAGTGCGCCATCGTATGCTCCTCATCTCAGCTCCCCTCACTCTCTGCCGCAGGCTGGGCGATCGGGCAGCTTTCGTTCCACATCATGAGGAGCGCGATGAGGGGATGGCGATGTGCGGTGGAGGAGGTAAGATGCCGATGATCGTTCTTGACAAGACATGACCGACGGACCAAACAGGCCAGACTTCTGAATGACTTCGCTGACATGTGGAACAACAACTGCGAGACGATCCTGGGCAAAGTGGTCGTCTGTTTCTACTCATGGCACAGGTATCTTCATGCTCCATTCCACCTCGTCCTCCCTCCCTCCCTCCCTCCCTCCCTCCCTCCCTCCCTTCTTGTTCCCACAGCAGCTCTCGTCCTCCTGATCGTGATATCCTCTCAGGATCTCCCTGTTCTCTCGCTATGAGACGGAAGAAGCGTCTTTTCACTCCACCAACGAGCTCCAGGTATCCTCCTGTCGTCCTTTCGCAGTCTCGTACTGACGCGCTGCTCCAGAAACGTCTTCTCCTCCTCCTAGACGTCAAGCGCAACTGCTCGAAACTCTTCCTGCAGCATCAGAGCCGAGGCTTCATCCATGAGGCTGCAGCAAGTGGGTCGGAGCATGAGGACGGCTGCCACCCTCTCTCATCCTCCTCCACCGCCTCCACTCTCTCGCAGCATCTCGAACATGCCAGTCACTATCCCCTCCATGCGTCGACCCACTCCGACTTGTCTCCAGGTGAAGACAGGCGTCTTGACTACTCTGTGACTGACTCGTTCCTTAGGCAGTTTCCCCTTCCACGACCTCTACGTCTCTTGCTTCCCCCGCAACGACGTAAACTATGTGAGACATCCTTGATGTTCTTCTCCTTGTCTTCGCCACTGCTAGTTTCCGTTCTTGATCCTCGTTGAGCAGGGGGCTGACGGCCAGGTGAAACACACCGTGTCGCTTCCTCGAGTCCTGTCCACCAGGTTGACTGTTGTCACCTCTTCCTCCTCCTCCTTCAGGCCTCCATCTTCCTCCTCTCCCTTCCTCCTCCTCCTCCTCCTCCTTCTCCTTGTTCTAACTACTTGGCTGCAGCCCGAGTCCTTCGACGTTTCCCCCACACTAAGTTGTAGAGTAGCGAGGTTATGTACACTAGACTTTGGTATAACATTATGTGTCAAGGTGTTGAATGACTAGTACGATGTCACCGTGCCAGGGGTTCTGCTCAGGCTCCTCAGTCAGGTTGTTTAACTAAGTTAAAACTCTTCCCGCCGCGCGGCCAGTGGCTCTGAGTCCCGGGTCCGAGGAGTCACGGGCCGGGCCAGCTTCAGCTCGCCCCGTGACCCGACTCATGATATGCCCGGCACTGAGTACTACTACTACTTCGGGCCATTCCGCCACTAACCCCCTCCCGGAGAGGCGAGGCTAGTACGGTCCGCCGGACCGTGGCTCGGACCGTGGAACCGGGCTCCTGACCGGGCCCAGTCCCCGCCACGGGCCTCAGTCAACGGTCGTGACAGCAGTTGGCGGGATGAGGGTTGTTCTCGCTATCTTTTCTTCTCGCCGTTTGGTCAGGGTCAAGCCTCCTCCCGGTAGTACTGCCGCAGTGGTCGGACTCTCCTAATGTCCTCGTGATAGTACCGTGACTTTTTAACTTAACTTAATTGGGTGAAAGGAAATCTTGGCCCAGATCTGCGTCGCTGATTGTGGTTGTTCTAGATTTTGTTCCAGATTGCCCAGATTACCATCAAGATTCGTCGCCATGGCCAGACTCCGGGTAAGCGAAGCGAAGGGGAGGAGGAGGAGGAGAAGCGCGGGGGGGAGGGGGTTGGGGGAGGGGGTTAGTGGCGAAAGTTAAGGAGGAGGAGACAAAGATAGGGTGGGAGAAAGGCTGCATCGCAGTGAAAACCTACTGGCTCCCCCGGTCTCGGAAGAATCTCGTTCGTCTTATGCCCGGGTCCGGTGGGAGCGAAGCACTAGACGAGGACGAGGGCGAAGACGAGGGCGAGAATAGGGGCAGGACACGGAAAGTTTGATAAATGGGGAGAATACGAACAGGTCAGCAGGAGGGGGTTAGGGAGAGTTAGGAGAGGGGAGGGAAGGAAGGAGACAAGAAGGGAGACAGGAGAAGAGATGATCGATCAAGTAACCGAAGAGAATCGATAGACTGCTGCTGTGGCTCTGTTGGGCTTCTCAGTGCTCAACATATTCCTCCTCCAGAGCATGCAAAGAACAGGTCAGTGGTACTTGCTGTTTCGCCCTTCTCACACTGCTTGCTAGACAACAACCCAGAGGTGGATATGCTTCTTTCCACGTTACATGTCTTGGCATGTCATGAGCATCCTACCTGCAGGAGTTGAAGAGATCTACACCAGCTCGCAGGAGATCGAACAATCAGGTGAGGATCGAACTTGCTTGCTGTCAATTTCTTGAAGAACACTGCAGTTCTGCGTTCAGAGATGTATCAAGGACATGCTACACATTCATGAATGCATACAGCAGAAGAGGAGTTGTAACGCTGACAAGTCAGCTAGTTGTGCTCACAGATGTTTGCTCTGACTCTCCGTTCAAGTTACAAGAGTTGTCTGTTGCGATGTGGAATACAGCAGGACGCCTACAGCCTCTTGGTTAGCGCGAGGTGCCCCCTTCTCCTGCTCCTGCTCCTGCTCCTGCTCCTGCTCCTCTCCCTGCTCCTGCTCCTGCTCCTGCTCCTGCGCCTCCTCCTCCTCCTCCTCCTCCTCCTCCTCGGCTCCATGCGTTTGCTCGCTTCCTCCTCTTTCTCAGACTTGATTGCAGGCACGGGAAGTTCATGGTGAACCTCAACGACATCTACATCGGCGCTTCTCTTCTCTTCTACGGCGAGTGGAGCGACGAGGAGGTTGAGACAGGAGGATTGTGGGGGGGGGGGGGGGGAGGGGGGGGCTGACGGGGAATGATCAGATTGATCTGATGAAGTTGAACCTGCCGGCTGATGGTGTTGTTGTCGATGTTGGAGGTGACTATTCACCTCCTCCCTCCTCCCTCAACTCCTTCTCTATCCTTCCTCTCTCTCTCCCTTTCGCTCCTCCGTTTTCTCTCGTACCTTCTCCTCCTCGTCCGATGTTGTCAGAATTATCTCGCTCGCTCCTCGTCCATGTTGACATCTCATCCTTTCAGCCAACATTGGGGCGATGACGGTTCCCCTGGCCAAGCATGTCAAGCAAGGGATGTAATCGTCTTCTTGTTTGTTTCTCCACTCTCCTCACTTGTTTCTTCTCATTATTTCTTCTTGTCTCCTCCTCTCGCATGTGTCAGGGTTGTGGCGTTTGAACCACAGAGAGTCATCAATCAGCTTCTTGGAGGTAGCGAACTCACCTTTTCCTCCCTCCGAACATTTCATGTTGCCCGTCCTTCCTCCTCTTCCTCTTTCCTTCTCTTTCCTCATTCTCCTTCCTTGGTCTTTTCTCATCTCTACATCCCTTCTTGCTGTTCCATGCTGCTCATATTACGCAGGAAATGTCCAACTAAATAGCCTTGCAAACGTGCATGTCAGACGAGCAGCATGCGGGCAGGAAAGTATTATGAGTACCATCTTATCTTCTCATTCTTGGCATCTCATCCTTTGTCCTCTTGTCGTTTCTTCTGCTCACCTTCACACAGAGGCAGGAAGCGGATGGCTCGGAGCGAGTGCATGTACCGGAGATATCTCCTTTTGTTATGCACAACTTTGGGGGATTGTCACTTGAAAGTAAGATCTTGCTCATTGCACCTTGCCCCTACTTTGCTGCTTTCTTCTTTTTTTTCACATGTACCGGTCGTCCAACTGTTCTCGAACTTCGCTCTCGCTTCTCTCGTTCACCTTTGCTCGTGTACTCTCTCGATCTTCCCTCTTCCCCATCCCTCCTGTCTCTCCCTTGTCGTCTCCTTTCTAACATCCACTCACTTTGCATCTTCAAGGCACCTCCGGTGGGTCCTCCCCCACGGCGCTCAACACCAGCAAAGTTCTTCCTCTTCCTCCTCCTCCTCCTGCCCAGCGCTGACACGAGGACGCAGGTACTGGAAATGGTCGGGTTAGAGTCTCTCGACGATCTTGACCTCGCAAGACTGGACCTGCTCAAGGTCTTGCTTCCTCTCCTCACGCCTGCTGACCCCACCAGCCAGATCGACGCGCAGGGGATGGAACAAGGCGTTCTGCTCGGGGCCAGGCATACCATCAGGAAGCACTTGGTAAGGACAGGAGCAGGAGCAGGAGCAGGAGCAGGAGCAGGAGCAGGAGCAGGAGCAGGAGCAGGAGCAGGGCAAAGGGAGTGAATTGTCTGCAGCCCGTCATCTACATGGAGTACGAGAGCAGCTCGCCCAAGTTGTTCAAGCTAATCAAATCGCTCGGAGGATACAAGTGCTACTCTCACGCGCCCCGGTATGACAACAACAGCAGGAGGCGCTTGCGATGAATTCGGCGCAGGTTGTACAAGGACAGCAACTTCAGAGGAGAAAAGATCAACATCTTCGGTCAGATCCGAAGCTTCAATGTCTACTGCGGTACTCCCTACACGCTCCTAGTCTTTCCTGACCCTGTGCAGTTGCAAAGTCATCGATGAAAGTTCCTGGTGAATTGTCAAGTTTTTGAGAAGACAACTGACAAATTCCGATTGCAAGATTGGTTGAGGAGCAATGATCTAGATTCAATATCGCTCCCGTCGATATCACACGTCAGAAGATAATGACATGAGAGGAAAAGAGATGTAGAGAATGTGTCTATGAAAAATGTTGAAAATGTTAAGAGGTTGTACACTAGTAATTTACTTGTTTACATGAAACCGTTCGTTTCAAATTAGATATTCGTTGTACAGTCAAAGGAGCCCTCTATTCATGTATGCGGAATACGCGTTTCAACAACCTTTTGTGACTTTCTTCAAGAGTCTTTTCCAGCTTCATCTCCACACATCTGATATCTCTTCTGACATATCTCATTACATCCCTTCTCATCTCATCTCATCTCATCTCATCCCTTCTCTTCTACTACTTCTTATTGCATCGGGTGGAGATTCTTTGACCGAGCAACCTTGCGTTCGCTATCCCGGCAGTGGATTCCTTAACTTCCACTCGAGACACTGTAAACCCAAGGTTCCCCCGCACGCTCCCGTTGACGATGTTGGCGTCGCTGCTCTGAGGATCAGAAGCCCCGACGTCCTCATCAGATGCGATGCCTGCGATCCTGCGGCAAGAGTCAGAGGAGAAAGAGGAGGGGGAGGAGAAGTTCTAGGGAGGAGGGAGGAAAGAGATGAGCGAAGGGGAGGCAAAGGCAAGGGTTTGAGGAGAGGCAAGAGGGGAGGGAGGAGGGAGGAGGGAGGGGTAGAGTGAAAGGAGGAAGCGAGGGGGCGGAGGGAGAAGAGAGGACAGGACAGGCAGGGAGGAGGAGGAGATAGGAGGGCAAGGCTTACCTCGACTCAATTCTTGACGCGGCGATTCGCTTCTCTTCGAGGCTATAGAAGTAGTCGCATGTCTCCATCGACTCCTGGGCTTGAAGGGTTGCCTCGCTCCTCGCCCCTTCCCCTCCATCCTCCAGTGTCTCTTCCGCTACTTGTAGCCCTTCCACATGCTGAAATGGCTTCTCCTCCTTCTCCTTCTCTTCTGTCTTCCCTCTATCCTCTCTCTTTCCTCTCTTCTCCTCCTCTTTCTCAAGCGGCAAGACTTCGATCTGCTCGCCCTTTCGGGACGTGACCTGCTGCTGAATCTCGTGCATGTCTCGGTCTCGGGCGGTCACGTCAGGCGAGTCACGGGAGGGCAGGCGGGGGATGTCGATGCTGATGCTGTCGCGAGAGTTCGAGGCCTCTCCGCGCACTCCCGAGCTGCTGTCGGTCCCCTCAGCAGGCAACGAGGAGCTGAGCTCAGACCCGTGGAGGTCCGGGCTTGTGATGATCTGCGAGGTAAGGCTGACGACCTGGTCTGGCCCCAACCAGAGGGTGGAGGAATCAGCCTCTGCGTTTCCGTGCAGCACCGGCGGGGGAGGGGCGGGGGGAGGGGGAGGGCCGGTCAGGCTCGCGTCTACTTTCAGCGACTTGGCCATGCCCTTCCTCCTGCGCAACACGAACGCGAGCCCGACGGAGAGGAGGAAGGCGCCGGAGATAGAGGATGCGATGATGATGGTGTTGGACGAAGATGACGATGGTGCAGAGGTCGCCTGCGCGGAAGTTTGCTGTGGGGATGACACTTCCTGGTAGTTTGAGATGCCGACGAACCCGTTCTGCTTGATCTTGTCGTTGAGCGATGAGAACGACAACGCAGACGCGAAGTTTGCGATGCTGAAGTCTATCAGGTACGAGTGACTCGCCCTCCGTTTCAGCAGCATGATCTTAGACATGATGACGTCATCCGCCTTCACCCCAGCTGTTTCAGCGACTGACTGCCGGAAGGTCAACTGGTCAGAAACGCTCAAGTAGCTGTTGGTGGTGAGCTGGACCCGGTAGCTGGACACAAACCCCTTCACGCACTGTCCCTGACTCACTCCGTTACACCCGCTCCAGTAGTATCCGTCTCCGCAGGCTTTGACCGCACAGGCAGAGCAGCTGGCGTCCGCCATCTGCGAGCAAGGAGCGGACTGATACTCCGTCAGAGAGCAGGTGGAGCAGCTCCTGCACTCTCCTGTCGACCCAGAGCCGCATCCTGTCCTGTACTGCCCCGAGCTGCAGGAGAGCGAGCTGCAGCTCGAGCACTTGGCGTCGCTCTTCCACGAGCAGTTCTGCAGGGCAAACTCGTCGGCCTTACACCTGCGGCAGGCCCTGCAGTCGCCCTGGTAGGACGGGGAGCAGGCAGACAAGAAGCTCGAGGCGTTACATCGCTTGCATTGCACGCAGTCGCTCAAGGAGGAGGAGCCTTGCGTGGAGTTGCGATACGCCGGACATTCAAGGCACGTCCCTCTCGCCTGATCCTCGTACGTACCAGCAGGGCAGGCCTGACAGCCGTTGCTGGTGCTCTCGACATACCCGGGCATGCAGACGCAGCTCGTGCTGGAGGAGCTTGCTGCCGGCGACGTCGAGTGAGCGGGGCAGGCACTGCAGGAGCTTGACTCGTAGGAGGAGGAGTAGGTCCCAGCAGCACACGCCAGACACGCCTCGTTCGCCCTCTTGTAGCCGGGAAGGCACTGACAGGACGTCTGACCCGTCTGAGTGGTCGTAGAGTTTTGCGGGCAGGAGGAGCAGAGGGAGTTTCCTCGTCCTGCCTTGTACTTGCCTGCGCTACATGCGCTGCACTCAGTGATGGAACTTCGCTCGTAGCCCTCGTTGCAGGTACACTGCGATATCATCAAGCTCTTAGCAGGTGAGGTCGAGTGAGCTGGGCAGGCAGCACAGCTCGTGCCGGAGGTGTAGGAGCCCGCAAGATACTCGTCGGCAGCGCAGGTCGAGCAGTCCGTCTTCGTCTGATCGCAGTGACAGTCGTAGCTGCTGACCGAGCCGGGGGCTGAGGTGAAGTTGACAGGGCATACTTCGCAGCTCGTCTGGTTGAGGCGACTGTTGAAGGTGCCGCTGGGGCAGAGCTGGCAGGTACCGTTGAGGAGGAAGGACCCAGTCATGCACACACAGTCTGCACTAGAGGCGCTTCCCTTCCCTGCCGTCGTCCTTCCGCTCGGGCATTTCTTACAGCTGACGGCCCCGTCGGCATCCGCGTACTCCCCCACCGGACATTGGCTGCACTCCTTGGCTCCCTTCACGTCAGAGAAGCTCCCGAGGCCGCACGGGGCGCAGGCGGACTGGCCGAGCGAAGACGCGAAGGTCCCTGACGGGCAGCTCTCGCACGTGCGACCGTTGTCGGAGAAGCTTCCCTGACCGCAGGGGCTGCAGCCGACGTCAGAGTGCAGTCCGCAGGCTGTGGAGATGAAATGGCCGGCGGAGCAGTTGGAGCAGGCTCTGCAGGAGGCTGTAAGGCTGCCGCTGCATGCGAAGTAGCTGGAGGAGTTGTAGTAGACCCTGCAGTCCGAGCTCAGGCTTGACGTGATGTTGCACCCGTCGAGGTAGTATCCACTCCGACAGTCATACCATCGCACGCAGCTCGTCATGCTCTGATCCTGCCCCACGAAGACTCCGATGCTGCTTGAGCTGCTGGCTTGAAGGAGTCTGCGACCGGAGGAAGACTTGTTGCACTGGCATATGACGTAACCGTTGTCAAACTCAGAAGCATTCATCTGACAAGCCATCTCTCCACCTGCGACCGTCGCACACAGCAGTTGTGTCTTCATGAGAGCGCGCTCGTAGTCGTTCTGGGGGAGTGAGATGGGGATGTAGAGGCTGACGGGCGTTGAGAGGGGCATGGCTCCCCACGCGTTGGAGTGGAGGGACAGCTGGACGAGGTGAGAACGAGACAGCAGGCTCTCGTTCATCTTCGCTCCCTCGAAGTGCATCAGGTTGGTCGAGATGAAGTAGTACGGGCCAGCCCCTGCAACCCCTTGAGGGAACTCAACCCGCATGGTGCTCTGCTCCCTTGCGCTCGCCTGGTCTGAAGGTAAGGGGACCGTCATCGCAGACGGAGAGTCCGACTGGTACGCTCGAATGCCCGACGAGACCAGTCCGGACTGAAAGTTCTTCTGCAGTCCGGGGATCATCGACTTGGCAAAAAGGCCGAGGTTGAGGTTGAGGTTGGTGCTGATGCTCGCGGCGCGCGCGTGGAGGTCAGCCCCGGTCTCGTTGAGCTCGAAGCTCATGCTCAAGCACGCGCTGGAGATGTCTGTCACAGACTGCACTGTGGAGCTCTTCTGAATGCTCCCCTGGTACTGGGCGATGAGGTCGGTGAGGAGAGATGAGATGTTGCCGGGGATGCTGACCCTTGCAGTTGGGATGATGCTGGAGACGGCGAGGAGGGTGTTCAAGACCTGGGAGTAGTAGCTCTCCGAGGGCAGCAACTTGTCTTTCTCTCCCAGCAGGGTGTCCAGCATAAAGTTGACGGCAGCGTCGCGGTTGGCTTGCGAAGAAGCTTCAATGGCTGCGGCAGAGATCATCTGATTCGCCCCGAACGAGTTCCCCTTGTCCACAGCGCTGGAGATCGACGCCTGCACCTGATCCCACACCTCCATGAAGCTCTGACCCAACATGCGGCGGCGCCCCCACCCGACGGAGAGGACGTCGCTCACGTTGTGCGACTGAGACCCGAGGCTGTCGGTGACGAGCGCCAGGACTCGAATATTGCCTGACGGGAGCTGCATCTCGATAGAGCTGAGAAGAGAGGGAGGGAACCAGTGGACCTGCCCAGCTGCTGGGTCGAAGAAGCCGAAGGAGTAGCTCAGGGGCACGTTCACGTCAGACCAGCCGCTGCAGGTCATGACGAAGGTGTCGATGAGAGGCTTACCGGCCTTGAGACATTCGCTGGAGGAGGAGGAGGAGGAGGAGGAGGAGGAGGAGGAGGAGGAGGAGAAAGATGGTTTGAGGCAGACTTGACAAGTTCCTCCTGAGGGTGGCGAGTTGATCTTTGTGCTCACCATGGCCTGCCCGACATAGGAGTTGAGAATACAGGAGAAGGTGATGTTGTAAGTGATTTCAGCAGTGAAAGCTGAGCCCTGCGCTATGAAACTGAAGCTCGTCCATCCCAGAGGAAACTCGTTTACGTTGGTGCTATCGGCAGAGAGCCGCGGGCTGATCTGCCATGAAGGAACGCTGGAGGGGTTGTCGCAGGATCCTTGCAGAGCCAGCTGGTCGGTAGAGCTCATGGTGATGAGGGAGTCTGACTGATCCAGGTTGCCGAAGGAGGCGATGGAAGCGACGGGCACGTAGGTACTCGAGACATTGACTGTGATGCTGCTGCTGGAAGGGGTCAGCCCGGCCTTGAGGACAGTGAGGGTCATGAGGTAGGGGGAGAAGAGCGAGCCTCCTATCAGCGACGTGTTGAGGGAGATGGAGGGCCCCGACGGCATCGCAAACGCGTTTCCACTGTTGTCAGTGCAAGGGGAGGAGGCGCCGGACACCATGTAGGAGCAGGTCCAGACGTACTGCAGGTTTTGATTGACGTTGGACGGCACGTTGGGATCGCGAGACTGGCTGCCGTCAAGGGTGAGAGCTGAAGACTGAGGGATGGAGACGTAGGAGCCTCCGCTGATCGAGGCGACGAGGGGGAGAGCGGAGGTGACCACCTGATAGGAGAAGGAGGTCGAGGACGCCAAGCCCTGCTGGGAGACCGTCAAGGTGAAGGTGTAAGTCTGCGCGGACTGCAGGGCCGACCAAGGGACCCACAAGATGCTGGAGGCTTGCGTGAGGTACTTGGACTGTATGGCCGGCCCTTGCGCTTGCGACCACAGGAAGGTCATGCTAGTCTGAGCGGTGGAGCACTTGGAGTACTCGGCGCTGACGGTGACAAGCACGTCTTGATTGGGCTGAAGTTGCATGGGAGACGAGGGAGTCATCTTGATCTGCGGGATGGGACTCTGAACGCGCTCTACGGAGATGACTTGCTGGGTGCTGGAGATACCCATGAAGTCCGTGACCACCAGCGCGATCATGTACGTGACGCCTGTCTTGAGGCTCGTCGAGCTCGGGTCAAAGGTGACTATACTAGCTGAGGTGGGGAGGAGGGAGAGGGTGGCGTTCAATGAGTTGTCGTTGAGGCAGCTCCACTGGTAGGTCAGGGGCCGGGAGCTCGCACTTGACGTCTGGATGACGAGCTGAGAACAAGCATCGATCTTCTGAGGAGCGTAGAGCTCTACCGCTGGTGGGGTGGGAACATTCGGAACGCTGATGACGGCCTGAGAGTTTGACTTGTGGGAGATGCCGTTGAGGGTTCTGACGTTGACGACTCGTATGGAGTTACCAGGAATGACTGTGGCTCCTTGACCGAGCAGAATCGAAACCTGCGAGCTCGAGATCCATGTGCAGCTGGGCGGGCTCGCGGCTCCCAACCCCAGCAGAGACGGCAGGATGGCTGAGCACGAGGAGGAGGTTCCCATCCCTCCCTGATCGGTCGGCTGGTCAAAGGTCAAACTAATCACGTTGCCGCTCCCTTGAAACCTGGCGCTGGTGACGCTGGGCGGGGACCAGTAGGAGAAGTCGGTCGAGGTCGAGATGGAGCTGTCTTGCAAGGAGGCAACCACAAGGCTCACCACCGCACTTCCATCTTCAAGGGAGCAGGATGCGCACGTGTAGTCCGGCGGAACGACCAGCATGTACACCACGTTTGACTGCATGGAGATGAAGGTCACTTGCTTGGCTGGCAGACCTCCGACGGTGACTTGTAGGTCAGACTGGGCAGAGGCCAAGGACGTGTAGGGCATCCCCTTGGCAGAGACGTTGAGCGCTTGACCGCCGGTCGTTGGAGACATGCAGCCTGTGCCGAGGCATCGGACGTACTTGGAGTCGTCGACGATGGCGATGGAGAAGCTCAGCTGGTTCTGCCCTACCTGAGGGCTCAAGGTGAGATCTATGCCCCCACCCCAGATGCCCAACAGGTTCCTAGGCACGCCTATCTGAAAGCTGACCCGGTTCGCATCCAAGCTCTTGATCTCCGCTACCCCTCCGACAGTTCGCCCTTGAGATCCATCGAAGTTGAAGGTCGCGAGGGCAGGGCTGACCAGCTGTCCCTGCTCCACCTTCACCCTCTGAATCCACGAGTAGAGGTTGTCTACCACCACCTCCACCACGTTGTCTGAGCTCTGATCCAACAGGGCAGATGTCGGGACGTAGCCTAGCGGTGGCTTGTCGTCCAAGCAGTGATCCCTCACTATACAGGCCCCTCGCACTCGCGAGCATGATCGACAGAAGCGAGTTGAAGTCACCGAAGGGTTGGGTTGGTAGTATGCGAGTGTTGTCGAGGCGCTTGCGGAGTAGCTGCCGCACGTGCTGGGGAGCAGGGGAGAGGAGGAGGAGCTGGTGTATCCTATCGCGACCTTGACTTGTCCGGTGTAGACGCTGCCGAAGAGAGACTTGGAGGGGGGAGTCACCACCTCAACCTGCGTCCCTGAGGCAGCGCTGCTGACCTTGTGCACGCCACAAGCGATGGGGCATAAAGAAAATACGGTACAGTTGCACAAGTGATTGTTGAAGAGGAGCTTCACGCTGCCGACGGAAGTCAGAGGGAAGTGACTGAGGGTGAAGGTCATGCGGTAGGCCGCAGGTCCTCCCTCGGACAAGCTCGTCCTGCCGTCCACAGAGATCTGCTTCACGCTCTGCGCCAGCACCAGGGGGGTCCCGAAGACCTCAAGATAGAAGGTCAGAGGCCCGTTGACGCCCACGACGATCCCAGCAGCATCCAACGGAGGGACCAGCAGGTTGACCTCGACATAGTTGACCGACGCGGAGGAAGTTCGGCTGACGATGGTGAACTTGTCAGTTGTTTTCGGACCCAAGGTGAAGGTGGAGCCCTGCAGCTCGCCTGTCTGCGGGTCCAGCAGCCCCCAGGCCTTGATGGTCACGTTCCCTCCTGTGGTGGGGAGACTGCAGGGAGAGACAAGAGACAGACGAGGAGTGAAGGTGTAGGTGAAGTTGACCGAGACTCCTCCTGCCTCCGCTGTCACGATGTACTTCTGAGCCGTTGCCTTACACTGAACATCCAAAGTGAGCTGTAAGTTCGCACCAGCAGCAACAGAGCTGGAGACAGAGTAGGAAAGCCCGTTCATCTTCGGACTGGAGGTGGTTGGGAAGTTTCGAAGAACGACAGTGACTTTTTGAGAATCAGCCGATGAGCCGCAGACAAGTTGAGTGTTGGGACTGACGGCCAGGATCTTGGGAGTGTTTGTTGCCAAGAGGTCAATGGGGAAGGATAACAAGTTGCTTCCTGCCTGTATGCGGCAAGTCACAGACCCGACAAAGTCGTCAGGCCTAGAAATCGCTGAGATCAGACTGTAACTGCGGCAGCGACCGGCCCCGCTGCAGATTGAGTTGACGGTGCTGATGGAGGCGCTGACGTTGCTGTCTGAGCAGGAGACATTAAAGGAGGAGGACGCGAGTCCACTCGGCAGGTTCTGGGCGGTAAGGAAGACTTGAAGGCTCAGGTCCGAGCTTGTCATGGGGTACTGCGTCGAGATTGAAGGAGGAGGATCCTTCAAGACTCGGACGGGGAACTCAGCAGAGAGCAGTCTTTGGATTTGGTCGTGACAGGGAGATGGGATATCATACCATTGACACATCCACTTCTGAGCTGTGAACCCTATCGTTACAGACAAGTTGCCAATGCTCCAGGACCCTGACGGGGGGGAGACGCTGAGCCAAACTTTTGTACTGGCGATGGTGGAGGACTGAATGGTAACGGTCGAGAAGACGCTCTGAGACCCGTCGGAGACATTAGCTGATGCCGCTGAGGTGAAGTTGGACTTTGGGAATCTGGAGATGTTCTTGACGTCAAGGTGAAGTTTCAAGGCATCAGACTCGTGGATGTAAGCGGTAGATATGTAGGTGATAGCGATGGGGCCAACAAGCTTCGGCAGGACCTCTAGCGTGAAGTTTGCTGACTGTATCAGCGCTGTCTGGCTTGCGCCTCCCACATTCATGCTGACGGTTCCTGTGGCTATCCCTGCAAACCCGCTGCCCGACACCGTCAGGTTCAACACGCCGCTCGAGAGCTGGAGGCTGCTGCCGACAGCCGCAGTGTAAGATGACACTTGCAGCTGGAGCTGAGCTGAGCTGATTGACAACTGAAAGTCTGCTATGGTCAGGGCTGGAAAGTTTTGAACCCAAAGCTGAATAGTCTTGGCAGCTGCGAGGTTAGTCTGCGAGGGATACACGCTCGTGATCTGAGCGGGGGGGATCTGATAGGCAGATACACAGAACTTGTCTTGGCAGGAGATCGGAGCTGACTGATTGATCTGCAGGTAGTCCGGGTAGTTGAGCCCGCAAAAGACGTCGAAGTTGCAGGGAGGCTGCATTTGCAAGCTAGCGTTGAGGATGGACGTGGAGGGATCCTTGTGAGTGAAGATCTTGAGAGTTCGATTTCCATTCACTGTCGTCGGAGGGATCAGCAACGTGACCTGAGATCGGCTACATCCCGCACCCTGTGAGCAAGTTGTGGTGTCGACAACAGACAAGACCTTGCAAGAGACTTGCTGCCCAAAGTCGATCTTTGCGCTCACTTGGTCAGGGCTCAGTCCTTTAGGAAAGTTTGTGATCAACAGAGTCACTTGAGTCTGAAGCTGGAGATTTCTTCCTGCCACTGTTGTGGATATTGGAGCAGCAGAAGGCTGGATGGAGAAGAGAAGGACCTTGGTGTCCTCGTAGAACTGAAAGTTGAACGACAAGGAATGGTATTGCCCAGAAGCATAGACATCAACAGTTATCGTGACCCGACCAGCAGATGCTTGTGAGGGGATCGTGTACAAAATCAAAGAAGTTGTTCCTGAGTAGATAGAAACTGAGCTGACCTGCAATATTGAAGTCTTGCTAGACTGCATGGAGACGTTCAACCAACTGTGATTGGAAGAGTAATATTCCTGCGGGAAATTCTTAATGAACAATGTTGCTTGCGTTGCTGACCCGGTGAATGCGCTGGTCTGGGTGGGAGGAATTTCCTTCATCGGGGGAATGTCATGGAGAGTGAAGTCGATAGATTGTGTGTGATAGCAAGGACTCGAGCAATTAGCTGGCAAAATCAAGATCTTCGCATGTTGTCCTTGCACAGATGGCGTGCAAAGCGAAAGGTATAAGTCCGTCGCTGTTGATATCGACTGAAGGTTGAACGAGCCATTCACTGACGTGCATCCTCCGTTACTGGAACGAGGCGACAGACTGACAGCGCCGAACTGAACAGCAAGACAAGAAGACTGGTCGGAGAGACACGTCTGTATCGACAAGGGGACTCGAAAGTACCTCAAGTGTATCATCACCTTCTGAAACCCGGAGTTCAACCCCTGTGTTGGAAGAGCTGAGACAATCAGGGGCGGGCTATGAACAAAGACAAAATGAAACATGACAAGTTTGCTGATCGTGACGTTCACGAACTTGGTATTTGCTTGTTGCCCTAGGTTGTAACTTGGAAGTTGAAGGGTTATCAGAGCTGTCTTGGAGCTCTGTTGCTGGCTAACCACCTGAACAGCAATAGCACCAGGAAAGATGGATGCGTTGGCGTTCAGAGATGGCGGGAAGTTTTGGATTTGCACTTGAATTTGCTCCCCTCCGAAATCAGACCCCTGCGTGGAAGAGAGGTAGGTGACGCGGGGCAGGTTGTCGTTGTAATACGTCACAGTGAACCACCACTGAGTGCAGGAGAGACAGCAGGTGGAGGGGCACTGCAACTGATCCGCTCCGATCAAGATGGTGCCGCAAGACAAGGTCTGATTGCTGTCAGTCGAGACATCGATTGAAAGCACGGTCTCATTTGTGCTGCTCATGTACTGGACGGATTTGACGGGCAACAGCTGGCCATCAAGACAGACAGACAAAGGACGACGAGAGGAGGTTCGCGAGAGCGTCAAGAAGAGAGTCAGGGATCGCGACAGCGGTAGAGAAATGGCCTGCTGCCCAGCACTCGAGGAAGAGACTTGGCCTTGATCAGAAGTGATCTTAGCGATCTTGGGTGCTGACGGGTCCGTGATGATCAACGACTGAAAGCTAGCAACAGGATCAGTCGCGTTCACATAGTCATACACGATCAGATCCACATGCCCAACCGAAAAGGAGGATGACACGTCCACCTCAACCGTCAGTGTCCCTAGACTGTACATGGCCACGTCCTTGTGGCATCGCGGCGATCGCACGTTGATTACTCTGTCCCACCACCGGAACTGAACAGTGATAGAGGAGCAGGTGATGGGCTGAATGTCAACCGACGGCGAGGACGTCACGAGTCGCATTCCCGGCATGTTGCTGATGTTGAAGCTGATGGTCTCCGAGAACGTGGTGGTCGCTATGCTGGTCGACGGTGAGATGGAGGAGGGAGGGATGTATGGCGATCGCGTCGCAAAGTATCGAAACCCGCGATAAGTGCAGTGCACCAGCTGACCGTCGACCTTGCAGGAACTTGACGGCAGCACCGGCGATGACATGTTAATGAAGACATGCACGTCCACTGTGAACGCCTCTATCACCGCAGGCATACGAAATGAAACTGATACAGCGCTCACGCACAAGGAGCAGGGAACGCCGCCAACTATGGCAAGGTGGGACACAAGAGCGTAGCTCAGGTTGCCTCCGTCCTCATCCGTCAATCTGACAGTCACGTCCCCGGGCAGCAGCGTCGCCGGGGCGTTAGTGAGGGTGATGTTGGCGTCTTGCTGGCAGAGCACGTGGCCCGACGTTGGGCTCATGTCGGTCATGGTCATGGGGAACAGCTTGAGGATGTGGATAGGCACTCTCACTTCTCGCTTGCACCCGGTCACGTTATCCCCGCACAGCGACACGACAAGATCGTACGCTCCTCCCGCATCCATCGGGTAGGCCACGCGAACGAGGATGGTGAGCACGCGACTGATGACGTCCAAGGACCATCCGGGCAGGAGCTTGACACTCAAGGGCGAAGAGGACAAGACTGTAGGATCCAGAGGGTCTGTCTGCTCCGTAACAATCGATATCCGGACAACCCCGCTTTGATAGAAGGAGATAAATGAAGTAGCCGTGGCATTGGTCGATTCCAGTGAAGGATAGTTGTAGCAAGTTCCTTGTCCTTGGCTTCCACACCCGTGTCGATATTGACCAGGGGCGCACGTCAGCTGCGAGCAATTCATGCAGACTGTGTCGCTCCTCTCGGTACAGTCTGTCGCTGCATATTGAGAGGCAGAACAGGAGGAGCAGGGCGTACACTCGCCGCCCCGTCCGAAGCCACAATTGCTGAGGAAGAACCCCGCTGTACAAGTGCGCTCCCAACAGGAAGCACACTCCCAGGCGAGCTGAGAGCTGTTGGTCTTCGTCCAGTATTGATGGGCATCGCACTCTGTCTGGTTGCACCTCTCCCCTCCCCATCCGTTGTAGCACTGGCACCTACCGTCTCCCCCGCACGTCCCATGACCATAGCAAGTCACTTCGGCCTGGCAATACGTCGAACACTGGGTCCGTAGAGAGGCGGCTGACATTGAATGTCGCAGACTTCCCCAGCCCAGCCTTGGAAGCATTTGCAGCTCCCGTCCCCTTGACAGATCCCGTTCCCGTTACATGTTTCTTTGTTTGAGCAATATCGATCGCAATGCAGCCCATACAGATCTGTCGCACAAGACAAACACGTGGGACCTGCTGAGTGTGATGTACATTCACAGATTCCCTTCTGTGTGCAAGTAGAGTTAACGCTGATCGCTGCCTGACACTCCGAGTCCGTCGAGCATTCGTGTTGATACAAAGTTTTTTCGACATCGCAATTTGTGCCAGCCCAGCCTTGGAAGCATTTGCAGCTCCCGTCCCCTTGACAGATCCCGTTCCCGTTACATGTTGCTTCGTTTGAGCAATATCGATCGCAATGCAGCCCATACAGATCTGTCGCACAAGACAAACACGTGGGACCTGCTGAGTGTGATGTACATTCACAGATTCCCTTCTGTGTGCAAGTAGAGTTAACGCTGATCGCTGCCTGACACTCCGAGTCCGTCGAGCATTCGTGTTGATACAAAGTTTTTTCGACATCGCAATTTGTGCCAGCCCAGCCTTGGAAGCATTGACAACTGCCATCTCCTTGGCAATATCCGTGTCCGCTACATGTTGCTTCGTTTGAGCAATGTTGGGTGCAATCAGCACCGTAAAAGTCTAGAGAGCAAGATTTGCCGATCACATCGACTGACATGCAACTACAGGAGCAGAGGAGCAGCAGCAGGGCTGGAAGGAGCATACATCTCTTGATTGTTAGCTTCTTCCCCATCTCCGAGCCTTCACTTCGCTCCACCCATAGGTTTCAGCAACCTCCTATCCGCATCTAAAAACCATGATTTTACATTTAAAACCTTATATAGTCCAGCTCGATTTCACTACAAGAACTTTTATAACTCTACAAGTGAGAGAAAGCTGGTACAATCACCCTAGCACAACTTTATATGCTATTGAATAATATACTTTGTACCCGGGGACAGGTACAGTGAGTTCGACAAGGCGTTGCTACCAGCTGATGTTCTAGTTATTAGTTGACCGTGATGGCTTTTCGGATCAACCACCCTTACCCCCATTTTACATCTACAAAGGGAGGGTATAATGAAGGAAAAGGTTGATTTTAAAAAGATCTAGTACTGAAGAGAAAGTACCAGCTTGAGTAGACTGAAATTTTGAGGGTCGTGACGGTACCTCCGACGTTAAAACCTGCGATCTTATCTGTATGCCTTTTCGCCGCGTGCAGTCGCACAGCCTCTACTACTGCACTACTACTACATCTTTTACTCAACTAAGAAACCTAAACTTCTGCTATCACCGGGGTTTAGGCGATTGAAGTAATAAATTTAAAAATATCGCGCCCCCCCCCCCCCCCCGGGGTCCACCCGGCCCTGGGCAAGGGATTTGGGGCAAGGGATTTGGCAACCGTTGAACGGGGGGGGCCGGAATCCCCCCCGTTGCCGACTCGGTACTCAGCCCGGCCGCGAGACCTGGGCGCATGACGGTTACTACGGTCCCCCCGGGGCCCCCCGGCCCCCCCGGGGCCCCCCGGCCCACCCCCCGCCCCCACGGACCAACCATCAACAGCCCGCCCCAGAGCCCGCCCGCTCAGGCCCCAGCGAGAGTCAATTGTCAGAGTAACATATACTTCGGAAAGTGGCAGCAGCAGATAAAAGTCTGTCAGATGACAACGGTTTCTTGATGTTTTCTCTTCACTTTATGCATGACGGTATAGGTGAGAGGTTACATTCTCAGGTACGAGTTAAGGATCTCAAAGCCGTGCAAAGCTTTCAGCTGCAAGACAGTCAGGGGCAAGTAGACGAGGCAGCAGCTTGCCTGCGACAGGTTTGCTTCAAGTTTCACAACCCGAGCTAGTGCAAGAGCAGCGTTCTGAAGAAGCGTCAGGCCTCAAGCTCCTCTACTCTCAGCTCTTGCCTTCTGTGCGGGTCCTCGCTGATAGTGCACGACGTCGAGAAGAGCTTTCACACATCCGGCTCTTCCCAGTGCCGCCTACATCCAACGTCAGTCCCTCCCCCTGTACCCCTGCTGGCCCTACAAGATTCGCCTCCTCGTTGGCCAGCACTTGGATAACAAGCGCAGCATTGCCCACCGCATGCTCGCGGCTGCAAGAGAGGACGGCGAGGAGCGCCTGGAAAGGAGAGTCATTCTAGCGCGTCTCACAGGGAGGGAGCTCTTGCCTCCAGCACTCCTTCCTCCTGCATCAGCCGCCTCCCCGCGCTCGCTCCCGTCACCTTGAGACATTGCGCAACTCCCCGCACACAGTGATCGAGGTCGTCAGCAGGAGTCTCCCTGAGCCTCTTAAGCTTCTCTAGGAACATGTCAAACACCCCGACTCGTATGGCGTCGTCGGCTGCCGCCGCATGCCGAGCGATCCGAGCAGCAGCGGCGAGAGCCCTGGACGTGCATCCCGGGGTAGCGGAGACCGTCAGACTGTCTTTCAGGAGGCCCATGGCTCCATGCTGCTGCAGCTGCTCGATGAAATGCTCGTCTAGAGTCAGGTTGATCACAACCCCCAGCACGCTCTCCAGCTCAGCCGGCGCGATCTGGTCTTTGGCCCTGATGCGTCCAAGGCAGGAGGCGATGCCCTCACTGATCATCTGGCACATCATGTTCTGCTTTCTGATCCAACTTCGAATCCCTGGGTGTGTTGTTGCGTTTAGGAACAATCTCCACACCTTGAGGTGAGTGCTCGAGTTGGTCTCAGCCAACACACTGCGGATTTTTCTCATCACATCTCCGCCTTCTCTCTGCGTCAAAGTGAGCAAGACCAAGAGACATCATCCACGTCACCTCAACAAACTCCAGGAAGTTCGTCTTTCCCTTGTCATCAAACAAGATGTTCGCTAAACACCCCATCCCCGCATGCAGCAGCCGCGAGTTTCTCAGCTCGATCGACCTCATCGCTGCATTCAACATCGAGACCCTGTGCGCTTCCTCTTCTCCGGGGAGTGTCAAGTTCCATTGCTTCTTGGCCAGGAACGATCGCAAGCTCGCATGCTCCGTTCCGATCTCCAGCAGCTGGAGGCAACGCTCTCCCACCTCCTCCTCGTACATGACGCCCTGGGCCCAGGAGATGATGTGGACAAGTGTCGTTGCTCTGGCACTTTCCAGCAGCTCCTCAGCTGATTTCTTGTGCTGGATCATGTTGGAGAGGACGAGAAGCGTGTGCGCTAGGATGCTCTTGTTCTCCAGGTGAGAATGCTCGTTGATAACCCTGCTCAGAGTTTCTATGCATCCCTGATCGCGCAGGAGAGTGCAGACGTCTTCGTCCTGGGTCATCCTGGCGAGGGAGAGGAGCTCGCGCTCTGCCTTCTCCTCGAATTCCTGTGTTTCCTTCCCCTCCCGCTGCTTCAGCGTCCGCACAAACCCCTTGACGTCCTCCAGCGCCTTCACTGCGACCTTCAGGCGCTCTTGGGGAGACAGCGTCCTCTGCAGGAGAACGTTACAAGACAAGACATAGAGGCCAAGGAGTGTGATAGAAAGTTGCAAAGAGAAAACAACCAACAGAGAGCCGATGGTTCAGAAATGGACGAGGAATGAAACGAAACAGCAGAGTTGTAGGTGATTCAAGGGTAGGTGGAAAATGTTCATCACAAACTCCCTCCTTCACATCTCACCTCCTTCTCTTCCTTCTTCAGAATCTTCTCGTCCAAAACCTTCTGCAAAGATTCTTCCAGCCCTCTCAACGCCGGATCTTTGTTAACGGCCTCCTCAAACTGTTTGCAAGGCGTCACAGAAAGATGTCAAAGTGCTCTGATCTCTCTCTTGCCTTCTTTGGATCTCTATCCGCCATCAGAGACTGCAATTTGTTCCAGGTCTCCTTGTCCTTCAAGACCTTCTCAAGCGCTGGATCTTTGAGCAGCATGTCCACTTGCTCCTTTTGCAGCCCAAAGTCCTGGCGCTGCTGCTCCATCGTCTGTTGCAGCTTCTGAACGTCTGCTGTTTTGCTCATCCGCTCCATCATGGAGTAAAGATGTTTCACTTCGTCTGCAGCAGCTCAGTCAGCAACGGAGCACGACAACATGCCTCGCTCACCTCGATCGCCGTACTTGCTCAGGATCTCTTCGTCTGATAGAACTTTCCCCCCCGACAAGATTTCATCGACGAATGTCTTGAGATTCGGATCTTTCATCAGCTTGAACATGTCTTGTTTGAAATCTTCATCAACGCGATCTGATCCTTGACTTGTCTTTGCACTTGTTTTTGCTGCAGAGTTCGAGTTTTCAAGGACCTTTTTTGAGCCTGTCAATTTACCGTCCTCGTCCTCGTCCTCGTCCTCATCCTCATCCTCAACAACGACTACTTTCCGCATTGACGTCTTGTCAACAGGCTTCGACTGCTTGTCAACTACCTTCTCCAATCTTCGGTCCTCATCGACACCTTTTCTGTCTTCTCCTTTCGTCTTTTCATTCGCAGATGCTCCACCTTCATCCTGCCCTTCACCGTCGGCACAAATCCTCGCTAATCTTGCAGCAGAGACTCTATCCCGATCGCTCCCATCGTCACAAACGATATCATAACTCCCATCCTCGTTGTCAAAGGCGATTACTCCTTCCACGGTCTGCGAGGTTTCTGTCTTGAGCACTACCTTCTCCCCCACTACAAACTTGCGGTGTTCGGATCTCTCCTCCATGTTCTCTTCAGTTTCTTTTCTCGATTTCACCTCGACCGGTTCTGATCTTGGTTGCACCAGTCCCGGGACTGTCTCCTCTTCCTGAATCTCTCGTATCTTTGGGCAGGAATCAATCTGTTGCTTGACTTCGACAGCCTTCGAAACTTCTTGAACTCCCTTTCCACCCGCGATCCCCTCTCGCCCCTGCTCCTGCTCCTGCTCCTGCTCCTGCTCCTGCTCCTGCTCCTGCTCCTTCTCCTTCTGTTCATCAACATCTTCATTGTTATGCAGACCAGCAGCTTCGCGCATCTCCTTCAGCCTTTCTTTCTCCTTCATCTCTTCTTGGTACTTCTCCTTGAGGGAAATGAGCTCTTGTTTCTCAGACGTTGACAAGAACTTGATTTCTTCCAGCGCCTTCTCCATGTCTTGAATCGCCTCCTGCAGCCTGTTGGTTTTGCAGAAAGCCTCTGCTCTTCGCATGTACGCTTTCATCTGAGATTGTTTGATCCCCGGCCCCTTGTTGTCATGCAGAAATTCACAGATGTCAAGAACTTTGGTGCAGTCATCGATCGCCTGTCAAGCGTTCACCATCACAAGGAGGCAGTCCAGCATGCATGACCTGCGTGAAGCTCTCTACTTCGATTTCTTCCCCCAGCTTCTCAATCTTCATCTTCTTGTTGTTCAGTTTCAGGGAGCACAGCGCACGGTTGGTCAGCAGAGCTCTAGAGGACTTGTCCTCTTGAATTCCCTTCGTGTACAGCTTGAAGGCCTTTACCAGCTCTCCCTCCTGCATGGCCTCGTTCCCCTTCGACGGCCATGTTAGCACCGACTGAGAGCATGCGCTCCGTACCTTCAGCTTCCACGTCTCTCCCTTCCTCTGCCTCTCCCCCTTGGCCTTGGCTCGGTCCTCAATGTCCTTCTCCATCGCGCGAAACTCCGGAGTGTCGGGAGGAGGAGCAGGAGGAAGATCGTCCTGCAGAAAGAGAGCGGGAGGGGTCAGCCATAGCAAGCGGCCACCCAACAGACCTCCTCGTCGTCGCTGGGAAGCCATTTGTCCCATCGCTCGTAACATTCCTCCCACTCAACTCCTGCCCTCTTGTACTTCTGCGTGGACTTCCACTTGTTCCATCGGTCTCGCGCAAGAGCTTTCTTGACCCTCTCCTGCTTCAGCTCCTCCACCTGCATGCTCGCTCAGACATGAGCTGGTGAGGGCAAGTTGAGACAACCTTGTTCTGCAGCTCGTTCCGCCGCTCCTCGGGAGAGAGCAGCAGCACGGGAGGCTCAACGTCTTTGCATTGCGTTGAGAAGCATGTCGAAGGAACTTCAGCAGGCCATGCTGACTCATCCGGGCCGTACACGTCTTCTAGTATCTTGTACTCGTCCTTCTTGCATCTAGGACACCACCGCCCGGCAAACCCCCACTTCTTTCGCTCCTGATTCCTCTCCATTCTCTTTGCAAGCTTGCGTTGCTCTTCTTGCTTCTTCTTCTTCTTCTCTTCAGTTTCTTGCTGCTTTCGCTTGATTTCTTGCTCTTTCTTATCCATTGAATCAACATCGATCTTGCCATCGAGCAATGCTTTGATGGTTTTCTCTGCGACGAATTCGTCTTAGATAAAAACACGAAACCCGGACGGAGTCAAAAGGAGGAGAGAGGAAGGGAGGATAGGTGGTAGAGGATGAAATTTCAAGTGATTCAAAGCAAGGAAGGGAGCAGCAGGGTAAAGGGCGATGTGCACAAAAACTTACCAACTTCATCGACACGGTCAACGAAATCTTCAAACTCCTCGTCTTCGACCTTCATCGTTGAAATACGTTATCTCTTTTCTCTTCTGCTCTTGCTCTCCTCTTCTCCCTTCTCCTTACTTCTCTTCTCCCTCCTCTTACTTCTCCTCTCGCTCGCGTTCCCCTGAGTGACCTGCCCCGTTCCCGAAGGTCTTGGTGCGTTGGAAAACTTTGAAACTTTGGATATGGCGTTTTGAAAGTTTGCTCGACAATTTTTTATAAGCAAACTTTCTCCCACATGGGTGGGTAGAGACGATTTGAGCTTGTACGATGGGGTAGGGGTGGGGTAGGGACATTCCGGTTTGAAATGGCGTGTTCGCGGTTAGCGGTAGCGGTCGACCGGCTCGACCATGTCCGGTTCGAGCGAAGACATGGAAGGGAGGCGATGAAGGTTAAGCTATGAGCTTGTCTGCTGCCTGCTCTTGTGCATGTTTGTCCTCCTTCTTGATGAGACAACACTCCAGGTTCTGCGCATGAACGAAGAGGACGTCTCCCGAGACCTCGCAGTTGCAGAAAGTGCCTTGCAGAAGGACGGGAGTCGATTCAAGGATATCATACAGAGCCTGAGAAAATTTAGCACGAATAACCAGGTGCTTTCACTACTCTGTCTTCCCAAGACCTTGTTAATTGAAAACCTTACCAAGAAGGTCGATGCCCTGGAAACTGACCTAGAACAAATGTTTGGAGAAATAGCAGAATTGAGAGCTCAGATCAGAGAGGTGTCTCAAAAATACTCGTATCAATCTTTTGCCAAGATAATCTGTCTATCACAGGTCGAGAAGGACTCTTTCATCAAGACGAGAGTTGATGAGAATGTGTTCACATACAAAGAAGAAGTCGCCAAGAGCGAGGACACTTTGAAGGACTTGGTGAATATCACTTTGCACTTTGTTGTTAATGCCTATTACACTTGACGACTTTCTTCTGGTTAGAAACGAAAGCTCGAAGTGATGAACAGCGAGCACGATCTTCTTCAGGAAGAATTCAACAACAGCAGGTTGATTTCATTCTGGAATTCAACCTGCCATAAGGCTCTTGCTAGGAAAAGGCAAGCGATGAAACAACAAAGTGCAGAGAACGTCGGAGGAGAAGTCGATGAAGCGTTGAAGTATATCTAAAACAATTACCTTGCGGGGTTCTTGACTGCTTGCTGTGCAGTTTGAACGCTAGGTTGCGAGCCATAGAAGGGAAGCTTGTAGATTGCCAGGTGAATCAAACGTTTTCCTCCCATCTCCTTGCTATGATTTATCTCTCTGCAGCTTCAGGAGGCTGATGTAGAACAGAAGCATGAGCTTGCAAAGAAGCAGCTTCAGATGGTATCTCCTGTCTGAAGTCGCTCCACGTGACCAGTCTTGAAAGGCACAACACAAGACCGTAGTTGCTGAGGAAGAGCTGGGGAGGATCAGGAACGCGATTGAAGAGAAGCAGAACCAGGAATTCTATTGTTCCTGTCAACATGATTGAATGACAATCACTGGTGCAGGACAAGATCGCTCTGCAGTCAGACCCCAAGTGCAGGTGAAAAGATTCCAGTGAGTGTAAGTTGTCAGCTAAACGAATATCCCAGGGAACTTGTCAACGAGATGTCCAAGCTCGAGAAGGATCTCTCAGACTCGAAGCAACGGCTTGAGAAGCATCAGGAGGACGTGCAGCTTCTTGCCCAAGGCCTTCTCCAGTACTCCCGCATGCTCTTCCTCTTCCCTAACTTCCTCCTTCCACTATGACTCCCGCTCCGTTCCTCCCTCTCTGCTGTCCTCATGCGCTCTCATTCCTTGACCCCGCCCTCTCTCTACTCTCTCCCAGTCCCCTGACCTGGACGGTTCAGCATATCTGCAGTCATGGCGCGAGAGGGTCATCCTCAGGCTATCACCCTCGATATGTTGCGAGAAGCTGGCAAGTGTCTTCCCCTCCAGCAGCTCAAGGACTTGGTCTCTGCCAAATTGACTTCCTCCAACAAACTCAAGGCTTCCGACTCCGTCCATCAGAAGGTTTGACCTGCTTGTCTGCATGCCCGCCTCTGATGAGCCGCTAAAGGTCTTAGAGGCTGTATACTCCCTCGTATCCGCCTCGCTCATCAGCATCAATCGCACGTGCCCGCTCCAGAACGTCACCCTCATGATATAGGGGAAATCACTGTGATATGATCGTGAAGACCTTTTCATTGGATAATGACATGATTGACGTAAAAGAGGAAAAAGCAACTGTTATGATGGAAAAAAGAGGAACATTTCTTAAGAATCTCGAGCGTGTGAAAGATTTGAAGCATCGAGCATCATCTTCTCATACTCTGCGTCGGCATATCGACCGACTGATTCATCTGAAGAATCAAATCGTCATTGACTCCTCTCTCTCTTGGGTTGCCTTCTCACCTTGGGAGAAACTGGTCCTTATGGGACTCTGTCTGGCGAAAGCTGCATCTCTGCAGAGAGTGTGAATGCGAAAAACAAAGTAAATTTCAAAAACCGATGAATCCATAGAGTCTGAACTTCGTTGCTGTCTTTTGGGAGGACCTCAAACATCATGACGGCATGGCTCTTCTTCGTGTTGATGTACTGAACAAGCTCTCTGATCTGCATGGCGTTGGCCTTGGAACCATCGATGCCCACAATGTAGTCGCCCTGACGTAGACCTCCGAGGTCGGAAGCAGATCCAGGTATTACCTTGATCATGATCAGGAGGAAGCGAGGCAGGGATGGTGAGATCAATCACCTTGTCGACAACAAACTTGAATCCGCGCATGGGCTGTTCAGACAGGACGAGGCCGAAGGGAGGAGTCACGCTGGGAACCGGAGTGCTGTCATGAGCTTTCATGCTTCGATCCATCGTGTGAATGCTCTGCTCCAAAGCTTGCATTGTGTGCGCATGCAGCTCCTCCAGCTTAGTCACTCGATTGATTTGGTTGCTTGTGACTGACTCCATTCTGCCAGTGATTCCCTCCAAAGATCGTACTTCCATCTCCTACAATGGATTCAGCTGCTCTCCCCTGTTCGAGGCATCATGACTTGCCTGTCTCTTCACGTCCTCCTGCAGCTGTTGAATTTGATCGATCAGGACAAGTTGCTGCTTCGTGCTTTCCTTCTGACTTTCCACCAGTCCGTGCATGGAAAGCACCTAGCGCATTTCGTCACGACAGCTGCTGGGCGGGAGAGTCTCTTCTCACCAAGAGCTGGACTTGCTCTGTCAGTTTTGTTATGCCTCCACGGCGGAGCTCCTTCTCGAGAGCTTCTTTCTCGTCAAGGATGACTTGCACGTCGGACTACAGCATCAATCAGACCGTAACCGGCAGCAATCATCAGCCGTCACCTGAGACCACGTCGGCTCTTTCACTTGCGGCTGTTCCTGCAGATGATCGCCGTTCATCTCGACGGGATTCGAGTTGAGAGTTCCATCAGCATTTCGAGCAGGATTGAATTTTGTGCTTCCGAGTTGTTCCTGTGGTGATGTAAGTGTAAACACTCTCACGCGCAAGCATGTCTGACCAAGAAGTCTTCCTCAGGGGCATCACACAAAGTTCTACAGTCGTTGTAGACAACCTGAACCAGAGCCGGCTGGTTGAAATCCACCTCATCCTCACCAAAGGGATCTGACATACCATTTGCAACCTGAACAGATGCTGTTAAATAATGCTATAAATGCCTTCCATTCAAGTACCTCAACCAAGCCCAAGAGCAAGAAAGTCACAAGAGGGAAGGCAAAACAAGACCAGAGACTTCCTTTCCCTCCGTTGATGAACAAGAATGCGTATGCAAGCAGAACAAGCTCAATTTTCATGCAGAAATTGACAATGTGATAGTATTGGAAGGGCATGGGAAACAGAAGAGAGTTGTCAATCTTTCCGATAGCTGCTCTCATATCTACAATCTCCTCCTTGATGTTCGTGATCAACGAAGTCTGTTCATACTCAGATATCAACATTGGGTTTCCCTTCTCTCCTTCAGGAACTGGTGTCTGCATGATTCGCTGTCGAGAAGCGTCAGATGCTGGGCAGATCTCTTTCCATCGGGCTTACCTTCAGCGACACAATGCTCCACGAAAACAGAAGTTTATGTACATTTCCAGAATACGTTTGAAGGGTCTTGGCTTCTTGACGCAAGAGGAGACCCTTCTTTATCAGCGCCCTTTCGATCAAATCCTCAAAGCTCCCGGGATTTGAGCCGACGAATTGAGATTTCTTCCAATCATAGTAGCGCTTTCGTATGGACCAATAAAAAATCTCGTGAGAAGCGAGCAAGTATCTCAAGACGCTCCCTGGACACGAGAGATGCGTCAGCTCAGAAGCAGCTTCTGTATAAAAGAAACTTACATCTGTGTGTCGGGTATGTATAATAAGTTCGTAAGTACAGAGATATATTGTGAAGTTTGCCTTGGATGGCCAGGCACTCGCCATAAATGAGCGAGTATCTTGCAAAGCAATGTCCGGTGTAAAACACCACCAGGAAAGTACAAAGTGAAGTAATCACGCCGAGATCGTTGATGGAGAGAGGATAGTCTGCAAGCATCTGCTCTAGCCCCCTACACTTCGGGTCTGCAGTCTGATTGCAAGTATCATACTTCCTCGCGATGTAAAGCGCCCAATGCGAGATGCACAACAGCCAGAAGCTGGGGGCCTGTGCGACGATGACAACGGCAGTTCCCTGTAGATGAAAGAGGTTGATAGTTGACTTGACCTCATCGTACTGCTGGGTGATCACAAGGTTTTGCTTGACCCCCTTTGGAAGTTTTAGGAGAGTCATTTTGCCCAATCACGAAATGTCTATCAATCCATAGCTGCACAAACTGTCAATGCAACAAAGTGCAAACGAACCAACGGTCTATCAAACATTCAGCCTTGCTCAACTGGTTCTGACAGGCACAGACCAGATTTTACAGTCAATCCGTCTTACTTTCATGATAAAACTCTAGCCTCTACTTTCAACCCTACATAACTCACTCTTCTCAATTTCATGATACTCCTATCCTTGAAAAATCTTATTTCTTAGTCATCGCATATGCGTCATACTCGACCCCCTCATTTTTGTCTTTAACACCAATCCTATTCTCCTCCTCCTCCTCCTCCTCCTCCTCCTCCTCCTCCTCTCACCTCTTTCTCTGCTCCTCCCGCCCCCCTTCTCTTCTCAAATCCCGCCCTCCACCTTTTGCTCCTCTCTTTCTTCTCCATTTGTCTGCTTCTCTCTCCTTCTCCAAGCTACCTCCGCAACCACCATCTCCCAAGCGCCTTTCTCCGATCCCATCGCTGCACCTCTTGCGCAATTTCGATCTCCCACCCTACCCTTCGTGTCACTGATACCACCCCTACCTCCAGGTGATACTTGCGTAGGTACCCCCACCCTCTAGTTATACAATGATCCTTCTCGTAAAGTACCCCGTGGTCTATTATTTGTTTCGAATATCTCCTGCCAAGACCCATGTCACTACCACCCTACCAGAGAGCGCAGGAGTTGTACTTGACCACCCCCACCCTTCTCATTAATCTCTACCAAACGGAGCCATTTTTTGTACACCCCTACTTCCTCCTACCCCCCTCGTTCCTCCCACCCCCTTTTTAACTCCTAATCCTATTCCGACCAGTACCCCCTACGACAAACCATACTACCCCACCAGTACTACCCCACCCACATTGGCCCTTCATCACCCCAATGGCTCACAATAGTTACCCCCACCCCACCCCATTTTCCTAAAAGATTAGGACTTATTATTTTCCGGCCTAGTAGGGGTCGGAACGCTCAAAGTGGGGTACAATCATGGCTGAGAGCAGGTCATGGGAGGGGTAGGGGTGTGCGGTACCCCACCCTACCAACATTCAAGGGGAACGGACGGGTTGTCGGTGGACAAAAGACATCTCCTCAAATTTGATAAACTTTCAAAGTTTCAAAGTTCCAAAGTTTCCCATCGCAACCTTTCACAACATGGCATCGACCGGTGCGAAGCACTACATGTCGATACTTCGGCATGCCCTAGCTCCCCTTCCCTACCAATCCTCACTTCTTCTCCCCATGTATGTTGGATCGCCATGTTGTCCCCTCTCAGTCAATGCTCTCTGCTTCGCCGCTGGGATCTCCAATGAGACCCAGCATTTGAATCTTCTCGATCCTTGTGAATCTTCTCGATCCTCGTGAATCTTCTCCCTCCATATATCCTTGCTGTGTCTTAGTTTCATATCTCTTTTCCTCCTCCTCTCCTTCCTTGTCGTGCCTTCGAACGAGTGATTCTTTTGGGTGTGCAGAAAACCATTTCTTGCAAGAGATGGAGGAAGAGATAGAAGGAGTCAGAAACAGGTCCCTGACAGATACCCTGCTTGCTGCATCCTGTGACGAGACTGCAGGATATCCTTCTTGTCCCAGCCTCATGGTTATCAATCCCTCGATGAGGAGGGGAGGAAGTCACGATCGTCAGTGGCCTACCATGAACTGCCGGACACGCCCTTCGACAGCTTGTTCTTAACAGCATACTTCCTCCAGATCTACATTGGACAGTTCATCCTCCAGGCAAGCTCTGGCATGCCATTGGATGATGTTATTTCTGAATGTCAAGGCCGCAGGTCATCGTAGTGATATGGTCATTCACCTTGTAAGGACGTGGCGGGAGGGAGACGCGGTGCTGACGCCATGGCTTCAGGGAAGGCGACATTGAACCTAAAGTCCTCCTTTCCTTGGATTGTTTCGCTGTTGCCCTGCTGGTACGTCTCTGCCCTCCCGCTCGACCCCCCAGGTGACGCGACGCAGGTTGTGGAGGTAAGCTCGGGGCTGATATCCAAGGGTTGGAGATTCTTCGATGATCTGGGAGGGAAGATTGGTGATAAAACTTCTTATCCTGCACAGATATGTCCTCTTCGTCATCTTCTTCATCCTCTTCATCCTCTTCATCCTCTTCATCCTCTACTTCTTTCACTTTCTCTTTCTCTCCGACTGTCTCTGCTTTTCCAGTTCCCTTCCTCTTCCTCTCTCGCTACCTCGTCCTCGTTCTCTTTGTTGTCTCTGCCTCTCCTTCGCTCCCACATTTGTCCATGCTTGACTATATTGCAGATTTCGCCATCGTCGTGATTTCCCTTCTAGCAATCGGACTCTACTTTGGCTTCACTGCTGGTGATGCAAATTGATAGATATGTCGGTGTAATGTGGTTTGCAGACAAAGACCAGGACATGTGGCGGGTTGACAGTTGTTTGTTTGCGCTGTTAGTTTGATTGATCGATCTGTGCAGAGCGGAAAGCTGGAGGACAGGTCGTCTGAGGTTGGTTTGACGTTTTCTCATTCTTTGAAGTTAATCCGGTAAGATGAGTTGGGATGTAATTGTGGTTTTGGAGATGATAGAGTGAAGATGATAGAGTCGATCATGAGGAGTGAGGGGATTGTGATGGTGATGACGACTATAGAGCTGGAGAAAGTTTTGTTGTTCATGGTGATGAATAATGATGTTGATGACAACGATGGATATGATGTTGTACACTCACGGTCTCTAAATGTTGTCACCGCTACAGCGATCTTATTCGATTTATTCGTCTTCCTCTCTTCTTCCGCAATGTGGCGGCGGTCTGGCGTTACCATCAAGGTTTTCTCCCTCTGCCTCTCCTTTCATCCTGCTCATGTCTTTTCAGCTTTGCAGAGAAGAGAAAAAGAGAGAAATGCAAGATAATGTGGGAGAAGAATTTTTCATTGTCCTCTTCTTCCTGTTCTGCTGTTAGCTCCTCATCTCTCCCCCTTCCCTTGCTCTAGTTCAAGAAGATCTCTAAGCCATAGGCTATTTCTCTCTCCATTTGATCTAGGTACTGATCTTTATACGTTTTATTTTCGCTATTTGCTATTCACTGAAAGAAAGAAATATAACAAGTGAAGAAGGAGGATGTGCTAATGAGAAGAACAGAGAACGGGAGAGAATGAAAATAAAGGGGGAAGGAAGAGGAGGAGGAGAAGTGGGAAAGGAAACTCCTTTCCTCTCTGGTACGAGGAGCAGAAGAAAGATTGTTCTGCTCATTGTCCCCTGCTCTAATCGCACGATGCAACTAGTCGGACTTGAGGGATGTCGACGTCTTTTAGCCCCCATCCCTCGTCGTTGTATCGGTGCCACTCTACCAGCTTCTCTCACATGCCGCAGACAACAATCTGCTCGCTCACCTAACGCTTCTTCCACGCGCTGATGGCGCTCCTCAAGCACAACCTAGCATGCCTTCAATCCCCTCCTTCAGCCCTCTTTCTCCACATTCCTCCCCCCTCCTCCCTTTCCCTCCCATCCCCTCCTCCCCCTACATTCTCAGGCCTGTGATTGGCCTCCTCCTTTGCGTCCAGCAGTTGCTGTGTAATCCTTTCACGCCAAGCAGAAGCAGCAACAAGAGAGGCAAGAGGGGTCTCTTCGGGCTGATTGGACAGGCGCACACGTTGAGAGAGAAAGCAGAGAAAGGAAGGAGGAGAGGGGAGAAGGGGCGAAAGAGAAGTAGAAGAGAGAAGGAGAGGGGAGGGGACGGGAGGGAAGGTGAAGAGAAGGGAGAGGACGAGAAAGAGGAGGAGAACGTGGGCAAGGGGGAAGAAGGAGAGGAGGGGAAAAGGTATGGGCCAGAGGCATTAGGGTCTAGGAGGACTCGCCTGCGCAAGGCTCTCGTAGGCTTGCAGGCTGATCATACTCCCCTTGGTGTTGTATGAACGAGGATGAGGCTGATGGAAGATGACGCAGGGGCCCGAGAAGAGGAGCTGGCAACCAAAAGCTCACTCCTCTTTCTCCTTCTCCTTCTCCCTTATCCTCTCGCTCCTTCTACTCTCATGTTCCTTTCACTCCTGCTGCTCCTCTGACTCCTGCTTCTCCTGCTCCTCTTTATCCGATTTTCCTCTTGCCTCTCAGTTTGTCACACCTGCCCGAAGCCATGAGCCGCGGCTGCATGGATAGCGGTGCCATCGATCATGATGTTGGTCGGGATTTCAGGATATCCTCTAATCTTATGCACCTGCTCTCCATTGTCAGAAACTTCTCCTCCTCCTCCTCCTCCTCCTTCTCCTCCTCCTCCTTCTCGCTCCTCACTGCTCCCAGCCTTCGCTCAACTATTTTCCCAACTCCATAGTCCTCGTCCTCTCCTCGTCCTCCCTTCTTCACAGTCTCTTTCGTCGCACCATCGTTCGGGGCATGAGGAGAAAATCTCCTGCCGCAGAGTCGTGGAAGAAGCCGTAGAGCTCAGACCTCATCGGCTCCTCGTCATTTTCATCCTATTGCGATGTGAGACAGTGATGGTGATGGTGATGGTGATGGTGGTAGGGGTGGTGGTGGTGATGATGAGGAGGAGGAGGATGGTGATGGTGATGGTGATAGTGATGATAGTTGAGAGGATGGGTGACCGGCAAGCAGGCAGCTTTCCTCCATCTCCCGGCAACATGAGCGACGCTGAGAGGATGAAACTCGGAAGACTCTGAGTTGGTCTCGACGAATCTTCTCATGGAAGCAGCCGATGCCCGCTCTGATAATCGTCGTCGTCATCATCCTCATCCTCATCCTCATCCTCATCCTCATCCTCCTCGTTGTCATTGTCATCGTCATCATCCTGACCACCACCGCTGCCGCCGTCGCCACCGCCATCACCACATCACCATCACCATCACCATCACATCATTTCCATCTTCTTCCTCTTACCATTCACCGGCACATGATGCATAACAAAACCCCTGAATGTTCCGTAGAAGACATCTTCGCGAAGTTTCTTGTCGAATGCATCAGGAAATGGAAATGAAGGGCAGTGGGAGAAAGGAAATGCAGAAAGTGAGGAGGAGGGAAGAAGTAGGAGGACGAGAGAAAGATAGAAATGGGGGGGGGGGGGGGGGGGAGAGAAAAAAAGAGAGAGAGAGAGAGAGAGAGAGAGAGAGAGAGAGAGAGAGAGAGAGAGAGAGAGAGAGAGAGAGAGAGAATAAAAGGTAAGAGTAGGGAGCAGGGAGGAAAGCAGGGAGAGGGAGCAGAAGATGGAGATGGAAACTATGTATTACCTTCCTTGCGATCTGGTTAACAATGGCATGACTCCAGACATCGTCCGGGTTAGCAAACAACAAGAATTTCCCCCTCGCTCGCCTGCAACATGGTTATTTTTTGCATCATGTCGAAATGTCACCGAGGAGAAAAACACCTTGCAGCTACGTTCTTTCCGATGAACTCCATAAGATCGAAATCATAAGGGTTGTAGAGGGAATCGTGAACCTGCATTGGAGTACTCATCATGTCAAAACATCTTCAGAATTCTAGCTCAAACCTCCTCAGAAACAAAAAGAATCCTTATGACAAGTTTTGTCTGTTAACAATTCAGGGGCAACCCAAAACAGTATTCTCTCATCTTAACCTGACGAGCCTCCACAAGGTCTTTCACCATTTCCTCAACACTGAGATATCTGCAGCGAACATGATTAAAAGTGCAACAGAAGATGAAAGATTGCATTTTACCTCTCTCCTCTATCATCACAAGCACCTTCCTCTTTCTTGCTGTTTACATAGCAAGGGTTCCACTCAACCAGGATGAGCTGGAATGGTGCACGTAGTCATGGCGGAATACAAGAGGATAGGAGGAGGTAGGAGCTCACTTCGGCATCGTCATCTAGATTTGTCTCTTTTAGCAAGGACACAAGGACAGAGATAGAAGCTCGAAATCGATCCAGACAAGCATCTTTAGGGACCTGGAAAAGAAGCGAAAAGACATACGAGAAGTGAAGTGAAAGAAGAAGAATGTGTGAAGAACAGCACAGCAGCGACAATGATAACGTGGGCACCTGACAAAACTGTGTGTTGTCATGACGTGTGACCATGATGACGCTGAGATACATGCTTGAGGTGTTGACGATTTTTGAAATCTCGACGTCCTCGATCGACTGTCTTGAAGGGCAGGATTCGTCAGCTCCAGCTTCGCAGGTCCCGAGTGATCTCCATGTGCAGCTCCTGCGGTCTCGTTCCTGCAAGGCCAAGAGCTCAACCTCTCTGACCCTCGACTGCAGCTGCGTGACGCCATGCTCGACCACGAGGCCGTAGCGGCTACCAGCAGCCTCAAAATCACCTTCAGCCTCCATCAACCGTGCCAGGTGAAAGTTTGCCGCGTCATTGTCAGGCCAGAGGGAGAGGAAGTGGAACAGACAGTGTCTCATTTCCTCCCACTTGGAGGATCCGAAGCCTGCACGCGCTTGGAGAGCTTCTGCACGCTGAATGCCCATGGCTTCACAGGTAATGTTGTTCAACCCGCGATGCTCAACATTGGCGATCATCACGAAGATGCTCTCCTTGTACAGCTGCGTTCCCCTGCTGTCAAGACCTCTTATCTCGATCTTCACAATACCAGGCGACGAAATCCCTTCAGTCTGCAAGGAGATGGATGCTTCCTCTGTCCTCAGTGCCTCCACCCCTCCCACGACCACCACCTTAGTCACTCGCTCTGTCTCCCCTTCAGCCATGACGCGCGCATGCAGGGAGATGCCCTCTAATGGCGGCTCCATGAAAGAAGATCCGTTCGATGGCGACAAGAACTCGACATGCTGGCAGCCAACAAGAGAAGAGGCGAGGGCGAAGATAAGAAACGCCAACAAGGCTTTCATGGCGGCCGTCGTTAACGATGTGTCAAGGATCCTTCCTGATGCGAACAGAGGAGAGATGGAAGAAGCTGCAGCTGCAGCTCGATCACCTGCCTCTTCCACGTTCGTTAGCACGACGAAGCTCCTATGTCGGCCAAAAACCCTGCTGCCATTTTTTGCCGCCCCGCCTGCGCAAACTTTTTTTACTCAACAGAACTGTGGGGGGCGAGCTACCCGGGGCGACAGCAATGCTGCCGCTGCTGGTTACGCTAATGGCCGCAGAAGGGGCGATGGGAGGAGGAGGAGGGAGAGAACTGAAAGCAGGAGCATGTTTCTTGTCCTTTCATCCCCTTGCACAGTCACGCCGGTGCTCAGTTTCAAGATGCATAAGGAACCGCCAAGCAGCGGTCTCTATGAAGGAGGACGGTAGCGCGAGCTCGATTTTCTCTGATCTCCTCTTCTCCATCACTCCTCCCACCATGCTGATGTCTTGCTTTGTCGATGACTTCGTTGCCTCACGCAGACGAGGACTTCTTCTCTCAGTTCAAAGACTACAAGGTTGCAAAGATACAGTATGGGGTCGAACTGAAAGTTTCTCAGCAGGGGCCAGGAGGCGAAAGCTTCTCCCTAGGGAGGCCCAAAGGCAGTCCCGCCAACTTCTTCACGTCGTTAGGCCGACCGCAGCCGCCACCTGACTTGGACAAGAGCGAGATGACTGAGGTGATTTGTGCGGGAACGTCACCAGAGGCACTGAGGAGTTGGGACAGGAACTGAAGCAGAGGGTCCTGCGGGTGATGTATGACGCATTTGACAATTACGCTCCTCAAGAGGTCTCTGCCTGTTCCTGATCATAGAGAAGCTGCGAGTAGGTGTGATGAGGACGTTCAGGTGGAGAGGTTGTTGGATCTGCTGTGGAAGAACGGGCCGGATTGCGGGCCTGACGGGAATTCGTTGAGATACTTGGTACGCGAACTGACAACAGTGTGAGGACTGAGCTCGAGCAATCATCAAGTAGATGGAGAGGAGACGTAGAAGGAACTGGAGCCATCATGGATAGAGAATTGTCAAGATTGGGGAGAGTGCCGAGGGGGCAAAGACAAATGGAATTCATCGATACATTGAGTTTTGCTTGCATTGACGTGAGATGACAGGTCGGTCTAACTAGTGAGGTGGAGAATCTAGCTGTGGAATTCCAGTCAAGATCAAGTTGTAACCACCATCACTCTCATTCCTCCTGGCTCCCACATCTCTCCTTCAAATCCAACCTCGCAATGCTCAGACAATTTTTTCTTGCTTGCAACCTTTCTGACCTTCGTCATCGTCTCCCAGCACGTTCAAGAGAAGATATGTGGGACTCTCTCAGAGTGGCAAGGTTGTACTCCATGCAGATCATCTTCAGATCTCACAGCTTGCAGGTCACGAGTGCGCATGTACGGCAAGGATGCTGAGATGTACGACCCGAACAGGTCATTCTGACACTCTTTCAACCCACCTTGCCCACCTCATGGTTGAATTGCAGCTTGATGGGCTTCTTGAAACAGCTCAACGATGGGATATGACGATATGATAGTCTTTAATCGGCTGGCTAGCTATGAAAGGTGCTCTCAAAAAATGTCAAGCATGAAAGGAACTGGTTTCTTAGTTGGCACCTTCTCCCAAGTCCTGTCGAGATACCGATCGCGTCCACAAAGATAGCGATAGAACTTGTACTTCTTGTCATTCTTCAGATAGTAGTCCTGATGATAATCCTCTGCCGGCCAAAACTTGTCATATTTCACAGACTCGACCACAATTGGAGCCCCAAACTTGTTTGAAGCCTCCCACTGCTTCTTTGAAGCTTCGAAAGATTGTTTCTGTTGCTCGTCGTGGTAGAAGACAATGGTTCGATATTGCTTCCCCGAGTCGCAGAACTGACGATCCTTAGTCGTGGGGTCGATGTTATGCCAGAAAGTGTCCAACAGTCTGTCGTAACTGACTTTCTTGGGATCGTACAAGACTTGCATGCTCTCGGCATGGTGAGTGAGGCCGAGTGAGACCTGATTGTAGTTAGGATAAGCCTCATCTCCTCCACAGTATCCCGAGGTTGTAGAGATCACTCCTTCGATGGCGTCGAACGGCGGCTCCATGCACCAGAAGCAGCCTCCCGAGAACGTAGCCACCTCGAGCCCTGGTGGGATTTGTTTCGAGAGAAAGTCTCGTTGGAACTCATCGTATCCTTCTAACCCTGCCGGGCGAATGACCTTTGCTTGTGAGGATCTAGGGAGAGTTGAGACAGCAACAGCAGCGGCACCTTGAAGGAAGGATCGAAGAACCTCCCTCCTTCTGTTGCTGCTGCCACTGTGTTCCTCCCCCTGCATCATGATCCCTCCTCTGCAACTGAGCTGTCTGCGGCATGTCCTGCTGGCAACCATCTCTTGTGATTGATGTAGAGAAGCTGCATGGTGGAAGCAAACTCCATGCGGTGCCATCATGGCAGTCACTATCGCCACAGACACAACACGCCTCGACCATGTCGCTAGCATAGTCTTTTAAGTTGAGTAATCATGTTAACTCAACTCTGTCGGTGTTATATGGACCCCCGGGCCGGCCGGGCCAAGTCCCGAGAAAGTGACGTGCCGGCCAAGAACCATTTGTGCGTGCACAAGGTTACGAGCCCTCCTCGTTTCGGGAGCATGGCGGACGCCGGACCGCCAAGCGGAGACGACGAGGAAGTGAAGGCGAAGACGGTCGAGAGCGCCAGGACAGAAGAAGAGGTGAAGGAGCAGGACAGCGTCAGCACAAGGGGCGAGGTCAAAGAGCAGGGGTCAGAGAAGAGGCTGCGGAGTGAGGACGAAGGGGAGGCAAGGCATGAGGAGTGCGGCGAGCGGGTAAGTTTTTCGGTTCTCTTGCGATCCAGCTCACGTTGTAGCAGGCAGCGAAGAAGGCGATGGTACCACCCGTGAAGAATCAGTACCTACAAGAGCTTCTTGATGAACAGACCAAGCTTCAGCCCTTTGCGATCTCTCTGCCGCATTGTGCTAGACTCCTGCAGGTGTAGAACTTGGGTCGAAGGCTGTGTGAGAGGTTCTTACCATTTTTCTTGTGGTTTTCAAGATTGAGATCGACAAGCTGCAAGGCCAGAACTCTTCAGGAAAGGACACCTCAGCAAGCGAAACTCCCAACTCGTCATCTTACACCAACGGGCTACCCGCCACTCCACATGCAGCCGAGGTCAAGAAAACGTCTTCCCGGCTACCTCCTGTTTATGACAACGGGTGTGGAGGAATACTGACAGGAAATATAGTCTCTGAGCAAGAAGTTCCCGGGGGGCTGCTGAAGTCGATCTTGAAAGTTGTTGTGCCTGTGGAGAAATTTCCTGGTTATAACTTCGTCGGCCGGCTCCTCGGGCCGCGAGGCAACACCTTGAAGGAGCTGCAGAAGGAGAGCGGATGCAAGCTGCTGATACGAGGGAAGGGATCTGTGAAGTTCAGAGACGGGGAGAGCGAGCATCAAATGCAGGAGATTCATCCTCATTTGCGGGAGCCCCTTCATGTGCTCATAGACTATGAAGGGTATGCGGTGAAACGGGACCCCACGTTCTACCGAGTGCTAGAGCTGCTCTCTCCACTCCTCACTCCACCGAGATCCGACGCAGACGATCTTGTAAGAATCGCTCTCTGCTTGACCTCACTCCCCTTCCCTTGAGCCCCCCACCTCATGACTCCTTGTGCAGATAAAACAGGAGCAGCTCCGTCAACTGGCGCTGCTGAACGGATCTTACTTCAAGGACCCCTCCCACGAGGATGCGGAGCCTTATCACACGAACCAGGTTCGCAGTCTCTCTCCCTCCTCCTCGCGCTCTCACGTTGCCGACTTTAGGGACAGTTCCATGGAGGAGGAGGATCCAGCTCTGGCAACTTCAACTTCTCGACAGTGTATCGCTCTCCAGGGCGTTTTGAAGGATCTTTTTCGAGCGGGAACAATTTTCAAGCGAGGAGCGGCAATTTCTCAGGGGGCTATCAGGGCGACGAAAGGAATGTTTTTCGACAGGGGAGCGGAGGAAATTTTCAGCAAGGGGGGATTTATCCTCAGCAAAATGTGAACAATTATCAGGCATATCCAAGCTTTCAGACCAGTATGAATCAGCAGGGCTACGACAACGTGTACGGAAGATACAACTCGTAGACGATGATTGCTTCTGATCGAAGTTGACAAGTATGGGCACCATACCGCATGAAATACATCTTAACGACTAACTCGTTCTCCTCCCTTCTTCGATCATTGGAATCAGGCCTGCCTGCCTGCCTGCCTGCCTGCCTGCCTGCCCCTGCCCCCCCCCATTATTATCCTTCCCTCATTATTCTGGTCAGTGAAATCCGGGGGGTCGCAATGCAATCGGGGAGAAAAATTAATTTGGAGGGGAGGCGAGGGAGAGTAGCAGTGGAGGGCAGCAGGAGAGGGGGAAGGAGGGAGGGAGGGCAGGAGGATAACTACTCAAGTCAGAGCAGAGAAACGACTTTTCCCGATGCCATTGACACCTGCTCTAGATAGCTGATCTGCCGTAAAATGCCGCCCTGCAGCGCTTTGCGTCGTACATGGAGGACGAGGAGATAAGGGCAGACTCCTCGGAGCGTCCTCCGTTTCACCTGCGCGTCTCTGATGGAAAATATTGCGACTCTCTCTTCAGCCTGTGCGACTTGCGGCTGAGGCCGGGGATCGGTCGATCCCGTAGGAACCAGGTTTGCCTGCTAGCAGACGACCAGGTTGATCCTCCTCCTCCCCCTCCCCCTCCCTCTCCTCCTCCTCCTCCTCCTCCTCTTCCACTAGCACCTTCAGCAACACCATCAGCACCTCTCCCTTTCCCTCTCCCTCCCTCTCCCCCCTCCTCTTGATCAACATCAACCTCGCCGCCACCAGAGCTTGTCTTCCTCCTCCTCTCCTTCTGCTGCATTGAAGCCTTGTGTAGGTGAGCCGCTTCCATGCCTACTTTGAGAGGGACGAGCGCGGGTTCGTCATGCTCAAGGATGGGAGCTTTGAATCTGGTGACGGCTCAGCTGGCATGCTCGTGAGGTTGACTTGCTTTTCAGGAACCTGTTCGACCAACGGAACGTTTGTCAACAGCAACTGCGTCCGCATAGATCAGAACGGATATCGGCTGCACTTTGGAGATAGGATTACCATCGGATCTTCAGAGTTGATTGTTGGTAATCAGTGTAATCCTTAGTCTGCATCCCTCCTCACCCGCGCCCTTCCTGTTCAGAACGCGGAGCTCTGGAAACTTCCGTCAAGACTGAGCCGGAGCCGCAGGTAAGAATTTGATGATGATGATGATGATGATGATGATGATGATGATGATGATGATGATGATGATGATGATGATGATGATGTGGATACAGATACAGATTCAAGGAGCGTGGAATAGAACTGACAATGAAAACCCATGGAAGCGGCGCATGGAGCGGGTGAAAAGGAGGCTTCTTTAAAAACATGTTCATGAGTTTCTGTTTTCAATCAGGGGGATTTATCTACATCAAGAAGAAGATTTTTGAATGTGCAAGAGAAGATAGCATTTCTCATGGGTACACATGCAAGATTGGGAAGCAATTCGTTTGTACAAGTCCTTACTGAGACTGCCATGCTTTCTTTGATCTTAGAAAAGTGATGATAACTTAGAAACTGCTGTATGCTCACTGTTTTATCCTTCAGTTCCGCTCGGACAATCATAAGACGTCCAGCTCCTCCTTTTCCAACAATCTCCAGCGAATTTTCTTCCAAGTTGTCGTCGACAGAAACGAATATCGACGTCTCAGCAAGGTGCTTCCCAGGCAAGAGCATAGTCACCGCCTTTCCTTCCCACGTGTATTCAAGTCTTTAAGCAGGAGGCAAGACTCTTGAAGAGTTCATGAACGATGGATTGCACTGGGATCTTCCTGGCGTGTACGGCAGCAGAGGGGGGAAAGTTTGTGTTGGGTTCAAGTGCGTCAATCTCCGTCACTTCTGTTCTTTCATGTTGCTCTAACTCAAGGCGGCAGGGTGAAGCGAATTTCACGCATTTACAACAACTCATTGTGGAGGCCGTACCAATGGCGAAAGCAGTGTATATCAGAGTGAGTGTCAGATTGTTCGGAGTACAGAGGTTGATTGTTTCTAAAGATTCCTGCCGGACATGCAATCGATGGCTTCATCGGAGTACATCACGAGGATGAACTTTGCCCGTGCGTTATGTCTTATAACCGAGTCTTGCATCAAGTTTGAACTTCCTCATCAGAACTCTTGGATCCTTCCTGTAATGAAGTGTACGCGTTTCATGGTCAGGTAGATTCCAGAAGTCTCCTCCCTCTTCTTCTCTTACACTTCACAGGACCAAGCGAGCATCGAGATGGCGAAAGACGCGGGGCTGAGCCAGGTTTCATTCCTTTCTTGCTCCATTGGGAGGAGTCGGAAACAACTTGTGAATTTGAACTCATTTAGAGAACTGATCATTCTCCCTCCTCCCTCCTCCCTCCTCCCTCCTCCCTCCTCCCTAGAATGTTTTGTCGCAATCATTGATGAGGAATTGGACAGGAATTGAGATTTTGCCCGAAGCATTTTGGAGGAGGTATTTACCTCTCCCCTTCTGCATTCTGCGCGAACATGGCGATCCCGTAAACTTGCTGTAAAGTCTGAGATCTCGCTGAGATGATTTCAAGTTGTCCTTCCTGCCACCAAGGGTGCATCGGTCTGGATGTGTGCAGATGCAAGAGTGTGCACGTCGACAAAGGCCGATCGGAGGAGCACGTGATGATGCTTGCAAGAGTGGTGATGACAGCGAATCGCATCTCATGCACCTCTCAAGCTTCTTTCTCGCTCTGTCCCTTCCAGCACGCTTCTGTTAACTTCTAATACTGCGTGTTTGCAAAGGTTCTGGGAGACGCTCATGTTGCAATCAACTATGACGAGGACGAGTATCGAGGCCTTCACCTGCTTCTCGAACTTGTCGAACCCTGACATATCCTTTCAGGTCCAATCTACAGGCCAAGAAGAAGCCCTCCTTTCAGCCAGCAGGTCTCACTGTCTTAGTTCAATCATGCTGTTCTCAACTTGCGCTAGACTGGGTTCGCAAGCGATAGCATCATCTCGGAGAGCAGATCCTGCGGAGGAAGGTGACATGGTCATACCTTGAGCATGCAACGGGCTGATATCTTCTCCCCCTGCCCCTGCCCCTCTCCCTGTCCCTGTCTGTCCCTGTCCCATATCATTCATGTCTCGCTCCTGCTTCCTCTTCTCTTTCCTCTCTTTTGCTCGTTTGTCTGCCTTTTCCTCTTTCCTTTCTTTCTCCCTCCTGCCTCTTCCTCTTCTTCAGTCATTTCCGCTATCGTTCCATCGTCGTCTACGACAGATTTCAGTATTCCTGTGTAACAACTCAGGCTCAGTGAGCTGTAACGGTTTGACAACAGGTGTTACCCTGAGTATGCGATCTACTATGAGCGGAGATATGAGGAGAACGAGTATGTTGCTGCGAGAAAGTTTGATCTTTTCTCTTGATGACTTGCGACGTGTAGGCAACAGCACAATCAGCAGAAGGAGAAGCAGCAAGAGAAGGAGCAGCAGCGACGTACGTCTAGTTCATATCAAGCTTCTTGTCATTATTCTTTGCCATCCTGACCGTAACATCCAAACAAGTGAATCAACTGTCTTTGAACACATACTGAATACCAGGCACGGTGATGCTATTCAATATGATGTCCGACCCGGCACATGCCATCATGAGTAGCTGTAGCGGCCCGTGCGGCCCGGCCGGGCCGGGCAATCACTGCCGTTGAAATCACTACTGTCAACGGTTTGACTGCGTACCTGACAAGCCATGACTTGAGAGGGCGACTCCGAGGAAACTTGAGGAGCTCTTGTCAGCACGTCACGCCAGCCAATCATGACAGTTTCCCTTTTAAATGTTCCTGCACATCACTTGCTCACCCCTCCAGTCTGCTCCTGTTTCCCCTTGTAGCTCGCGAACCAACCAGCCTCGTGATGGCGAGGACCTTCGCCATCACTATCTCTCATCTCTCCTTCTTCCATCCTTCCCCGACACCCAGCAAGATCGTTTACCGCCCCCCCCTCCTCCGGCCTCGCCCTTCCCCTGACCAAACATCGAAGCCCGCCCAACGGTCTTCGCTGCCTCAAGATGCATGTCTCCGAAGCATCCTCGATGCTCGCCGGCTCGCTTCCAAGCCTCCAGCAATCAACACCAAGACCCTGGTCCGCAGCCACTCCTCCGAGGACGTCACGCGGGGTGCCATCATGCTCCTGAGCGGCAGCCTGGAGGACTGTACGGGGAGGCACACACACAATGGCGTAGGCGGGCCAGGGAGGAGGCAGGAGGAGGCAGGGGTATGTCGCGCGAGGTACTCTGACAAGAAGTAGTAAACCCTCCGTCATTGGACCTTTGCCTCACTCACTCGCCATGTAAGCCTCTGCCGGCTGCGCTCGCAGCTGCCGAGGCGGATCTCAGCGTTGCCGTCTCCTGGCCCTGGCGAGGAGCTCCCTTGCTCTGCATGAGGAGTCGTGCCGCTGCGAGGGGTCGCATGGATCAGGTTTACTCAGTCATACCCTAGCTCTCACACCCATATCGCTATCACACTCGCCTCCTCTCTCCTTCCTGTCTGTCTTGCCCGCAGCCTCCCGTCGCTGTCCTCATGGTCCTGCCGCCTTGATCACGCCTGCTCCTCCAGCAGTACCAGCGCACTGGCAGTCACGTCCGTCATCGACGAGCTCCGCACGAGCCCTCTGATCTTTGTCTCCCGCTTGCTTGGACCGATCCCGCTGCCGCGCTCCCTCGCCTCCATGATACTCCGCAAGCAGGCGTCCTCCGCCACGGGAGAGGAGGGAGGCCGGGGCTCGGAAGAGACTGCGGATTGCTGGGCCATGTAGGCTTGCTGCAGGGGGTTGAGGGGGAAGGCTTTCCGACGGTGCAGGGGCTGGGGGAGGAGGACAAGAGAGGACGGGGAGGGCATGGAAACAGTGAGGAAGGGAGGCATCGGGGAGAGGCTGAGAAGCTTGGAGGAGAGAGGCAGACGGGGGGGAGGAGGGGGGGTGGATATGAGGGGAGAATGGATGAAAGCAAGGGAGGGGGAGGGGGGGAGACTACAATGACACGAGCAGGAGGCAAGGTACAAGGCAGGGAGGGAGGAGATGTGAAGGAGAAGTAGGGGAGGAGTAGGGGGAATGTATCAGGGAAGAAGGCAAAACATTTTGCAGGGGAAAAATCTGGAGAGTTTTTATTTTAAGACCAATCTCGGGAACGTGTCTGAATCGTTGCTCTTTTTCGACTGTTTGGACCGTGACTGATGACCGACCCACCCCTTAGGACCCATGAAGAGATTTCTGACTCCCTACAACCTCCTCCGGAGTTCGCTTCCCCTCCCTCTATTGGGGAGTAGGAGGGGGGTGAATGTGAGGGGAGGATGGATGAAGGCAGGGGAGGGGGTGGGGAGGAGACCAGACTGGCGATCGGACTGGAGGAGGAGCGCGAGTAGGCAACGTATAAGGTAGCGATGCGGGGATATCGGAAGAGGAGACGAAAAGATGCTTGTTCTCAGTTTGATGACATCGATGTTTACGAATAGTCGCAAAGAAATCTCTAGACGATATCCCTCCACCTCCTTGTCTCCCCGATCATGGTTCTTTACTACTCAGCCGGTGTGGGAAATGTTTTCAGGAAAAGGGCAAAACAGACCGAGGGGAAATCTTGAGATCCAAGAAGTCAATGGGTGGTGGGAGGGGGCAAAATCCCTCACAAACCCCTTAAGAGAGCAGAGATTTGACTCCCTACAACCCCCTCCGGAGTTCGCCCCTCCCCATCTACTGCCCGCGCCTCCGCCTTCCCTCCTTCGTCACGAACTTCGGGTCGAAGCGCATCTCTCGTGATGGCGAGGACCTTCGCCATCACTATCTCTCATCTCTCCTTCTTCCATCCTTCCCCGACACCCAGCAAGATCGTTTACCGCCCCCCCCTCCTCCGGCCTCGCCCTTCCCCTGACCACACATCGAAGCCCGCCCAACGGTCTTCGTTGCCTCAAGATGCATGTCTCCGAAGCATCCTCGATGCTCGCCGGCTCGCTTCCAAGCCTCCAGCAATCAACACCAAGACCCTGGTCCGCAGCGACTCCTCCGAGGACGTCACGCGGGGTGCCATCATGCTCCTGAGCGGCAGCCTGGAGGACTGTACGGGGAGGCACACACACAATGGCGTAAGCGGGCCAGGGAGGAGGCAGGAGGAGGCAGGCCAGGGAGGAGGAGGCAGGGGTATGTCGCGCGAGGTACTCTGACAAGAAGTAGTAAACCCTCCGTCATTGGACCTTTGCCTCACTCACTCGCCATGTAAGCCTCTGCCGGCTGCGCTCGCAGCTGCCTAGGCGGATCTCAGCGTTGCCGTCTCCTGGCCCTGGCGAGGAGCTCCCTTGCTCTGCATGAGGAGTGGTGCCGCTGCGAGGGGTCGCATGGATCAGGTTTACTCAGTCATACCCTAGCTCTCACACCCATATCGCTATCACACTCGCCTCCTCTCTCCTTCCTGTCTGTCTTGCCCGCAGCCTCCCGTCGCTGTCCTCATGGTCCTGCCGCCTGCTCCTCCAGCAGACTCCGCACAAGCCCTCGCCGAGTGCTTGGACCGAGCCTGCTGCCGCGCTCCCTTGCCTCCATGATACTCCGCAAGCAGGCGTCCTCCGCCACGGGAGAGGAGGGAAGCCGGGGCTCGGAAGAGCCCGCGGAGAACTGGGGCATGTACTACCGGCTTGCTGCAGGGGGTTGAGGGGGAAGGCTTTCCGACGGTCACCGCAGGGGCTGCCGGGGCCGTCCGGGGGAGGAGGACAAGAGAGGATGGGGAGGGCATGGGAACACTGACAGTGACTCAGTGAGCCTCCGGGAGGGTCGAAGGCATCGGGGATAGGCTGAGGAGCTTGGAGGAGAGAGGCAGACTGGCTTTTTGAAATGGCGTGTACTGAGGGGAAATGCGCCTACTCGCCACTTTCATTTCGGTGGTGACGGCGAGAGCGAGGGAACCGCGACAAGGGAAGCGTGAAGATCCGCTCTCACTTCCATCATCACTGTGAGACATCATGGCGCGGCACAAGCGGCCTGCCATCCTCCGTCATCACAGTTCTGTTGTTGATCCTCTACTGACTGGCACGCCGGGCTCGTCGTCCCACTTTCCTCATACAGGCCTTGTGTCCCAAGAGAGCTCCTCTGACTCTGAGCCCCGCTCACAGCAGGAACCCCTACGGACTCCTGACATGCTGGAAGGGCAATCTCGTTCTGCAGCGTCTCCTCCGCAGGATGACTTTGCCTCCTCCGCCGCTGGATCTGGAGGAGGTTCGGGGAACCAAAGACCTCGGAAGCAGGCAAGATTTCGCCGATCCATCTCCCAGAGGACACCCACCGATCAGCCTACGGTCAATCCTACACCCCCACCGCCCCCTCCTCAACCGGCAAATCTTTTCCCAGAAGACCCTGGCACGCAATCTAGCGCAGCGGCTTACTTTCATAATCTGCGTCCGCAAGACATGCCTTGTGGTACGTCGAATTGGCACAGAGCCCTCCCTCTCTTTGCTCAACAGGGACCACATAAGCTTCCGGCACTCCTGGCTCGTAATCCTTCCATTACAACCATCAAACACCCCAATCGCCAGACGATTGATAAATGGAAGAGTGCGCTACAGTTTACGTTAGACCTGCTACAAGGTTACCCTGACTTGCATTGCGAGGAAGCTAAGATTATCCGGAGCTTGTGGCATTGTCTCCCACTGCTCCTGCTGAGAGTGAATCCAGTTCTTGCAATCTCGCGACAAAACCGAGATGTGAGCTACCGTATCCACCATTTCCTCCAAGGGCGTTGGGAGACATTGCTGAAACTAGAAGAGGGTGTTTCTTTTGACCAAGACGGCCCAGCGGTTGGCAGCGGTGGAGATCCGCAGGATGTCACGCAGCAGCCCACGGCGGGACTAACTGGGTCGGGACGAGGCACGAGACCGCGGGCACCGCAAGGTAGGCGCCAACAACCTAACCGTCAAAATGCAGGTCGCCCACAAGGACCTGACCGTGCGAGAGCGGGCGTGCAGCAGCCAGTGATGGAGAGCGAGCAGTTGGAGAAAAAGAAAATCCTCTCGGCTGTTGAGCATTACCAAAATCGGGATATGAAGAAAGCTCGACAGGCGCTTGTGGGCCATGGCCTCTCCCCAGATCCATTTGAGCAGCTATGGCAGCAAACTCGTGAGAAATTTCCGACGAGACTGGAACCCATTCCTCCAACGCTCCTAGACGCAGTCGGCTCCTCAAGGCAAATGCTAAGTGCTCAGCTCGACGATGCCATCGCCGATGAACCGGCCTCATTGCTTGACAAGATTTTAGATCAGCGAGAGGTAGGGAAATTCCTGCGGCGATTCACTGCTTCCTCGGCCCCTGATCAATTTGGTTGGCGACCGTTCCAGCACCTGCGACACATTCTCAGACTGCATGATGATCACAAACAGCGATACATTAACCTCATATTGAAGCCGATCGCGCTGGGAATCCCTTCGGGCGCTTTCCTCGAGGAATACACCAGAGGGGGGCGATTCATTCCTGCTGCCAAGTCAGTGGAAAAGAGCGGAATCCGACCTATTGTGATAGGGGACCTGGAGCGAAGGATTGTGTCTAGCATCTTCTGTCGTTTCTACCGAAAATCTTTGGAGAGCCACTTCACCCTCAGTCACTCTCGGGTCCTGCAATTTTGCGTGGGTCTGGAGGAAGGTTGTCTCAAATTCTGCAAGACCATCGAATGCCTGTTAGGACCCCATTCTTTTGCCAACCCATTCACAGACCAGGGCGAAGGTGAGTCTGATAATTTTGATCCCACGGTAATCATCATGATCGACGCAAGAAATGCCTTCAATGAGATCTCTCGCCAACGGCTATTTGACATCCTCCTTGCTCCCGAGCATCGTTGTGAGAACTTTTCCCAAGGAGTCCTTCCGTATGTTCATCAATATTATGGCCAGGCAGGTAAGTTATTTCTGAAACATCAGCGAGAGACTCGGGCTTTTTCGGCCACCACGGGAGTTTCTCAGGGGGACCCCTTGGCGATGGCTCTCTTTGCGCACACCACCTTCCCTTCCCTGGTCAAAGTCGCAGAGACCTTTCCCGACTGTGTCTTCCCGGCCTATGCGGATAACATGGCTGTTATTGGAAAGCTCTCAGTTGCCGCACAGGCTACTGCATCGCTGGTTGATACTTTAAAACAAGAGCTAGGATTGGAGATTCAACCCAGGGATTCGCAGATATTCTCCTCGTCCTGGTGTGAACTTCAATCTAGTCAGCAACAAGCCATCCAAGAGCATATTTGCAGTAGGTACCCGGGCTTGCAGCAGTTTGCCTTCCGCGGCCAGGGGATCATCCTGGGAGGTATCCCGATAGGATCTCAGTCCTTCCAGCAAGAGTTTATCACTGCCAAGGTGAATGCCCTCAATGCTGAATTGACCCAGTTGGAACAATTTCCCATTGCGTTGGGTCTCAAGCAGCTCTTGAAAACGACCCACGTTCCCACCCTCCAATATTTCTTGCGTGGAATCTCCCCGGCCTTGACCGCTGCCCAGTGCAAGTGCTTTGACGTCGCGAATCTCCGTCTCCTGGCGAAGGTGTTTCAGTGGCCACAGAACCAGGCACAGGAGGGTTCATCTGTCCTGCAACCTGCCCCTGGCACCCCTCCATCTGACCTTCAGTTCGCCTACTTCAAACGTCAGTTGCCTTATAGTGCTGGAGGAGATGGGTTCACCCCGCAGGAGGGCGTGGCCTACACCGCATTCTGGTCGGCGACTGCCAAGTTTCTCAAATGGGCGGGTGAAATTGCCATCTTCCAGCATTGGACTTTCCCTACACCGCCACTCTTCCACCGGATCAATTCTGACACTGAGCTTCGAATCCGCCAACCGCAGCAAGCGGACGCTGGGGATGTTGTCCCCATGCTTGCTGCCTTCTTGGACACTCACAGGCACTTGATGGAGCAGGGCATCTCGGCGTACACCTCCTTGGCGGAGCTTCCTCAGGCGTGCGACAATGGCTGGATCCCCTCGCCTGAATTATTTGGGACGTCGGGCAGTGCGCTTTTCATCCCCGCCCAGCGGGAGCTCACGGCTCAGTTCCTCTCGGAGTTTCCCCGGTTCCGCAGTATTCGGGCTCACCTTTCAGAGCGCCAGAGATCTTTGTTGGCACACCACTCCAGCTTCTCTACTCCCCTTCGAGTACCAGGCCACCCGGTTGATGAACTTCTGTCTCAGTTTACCCCTCAGCGCACGATTTGGCACTCGACTATGGAAAGTACAAACCTTGGGATCTTTGAGCAGCAGCCCATCAGCTTGGTGGCTGCCGCTGACAAGTTTCTTCATGGATTGCCGGTTGACCTCCCGCCGCACTGCGATCGATGCCATCATCTTCTTCGTCATCCTGGGGGGACCACACACATGGCAACCTGCAGGCACCGCAGCCAGTTATGGACTGATGCGCATGAGAAGTGCAATGCCGTCCTCAGTACCCTCATCAAAGATTCCGGAGTGAGATGCCGCGTCCACGTGCAAGGCGTACCCGGCACCAGGCAGAACGTTTCCCAACATGGCCCTGAAGATCATCATGTAGGGGACTTTGAACTTCCACAACTGATGGCTACTGGCGGCGGATGGCATGGGTTAATCCTGGACTTCAGCATGTCACATGTTTTTGACAATGATGGAATACCGGACCTCGCTCGGAGCAAACTGCAAGCGGCAGCACAGCGGAAGATCCGAGGGCATCGTAATGCATATGCTCAGCACGTCCCGCCAAAGGCCTTTCTTCCCATCATCGCCAGCACTGATGGCCTCTTGCAGGACGATGCGTTGCGCTTTCTGTGGTGGCTGGCGGATCGCTCGGCGAACAAGGAAACGGCAGCGCTGGATGGTCTCTCGGCCTCGCAAGACGTCTCAGGTGATCCGACTTGCAAACGCATTCGGTCCAGGGTCTTCCGTCAGCTCAAGGCCTCCCTGTCCTACGCTGCCATCATCGCGGGTGCATCCCGGTATGCGTCTCATTCCTTCGGCGGCGGCCACCGCGACATCGCTGGCATGGCCGCGCGGGGGACTTGTCCTGCGCGCCGTTAAGTGAAGGTATCAGTTAAGTTTGGGGGACAGCAGTCGGCAGGTTTAGGTTTGGTTCTCGCTGTCTTTTCTCTTCTCGCCGTTTGGCCTGTGCGACAGTGTCAGGGTCAAGCCTCCTCGACTCTCCTGATTGTCCTCGTACTGATCTTTAACTTAACTTTGAGTAAAAGTTTTTTGTCGGGGGGGGTTAGGACTGAGGGGGGTGGATATGACCCGGCCCGGGACCGTGCCAGACTGAGACTCGCCGTCGGAGGCCGCCGCTGCCGGGCCGGACCGCCCGGCCGGGCGCCGCCCGGCCGCCGCGTGACTGCCAGTTTGACTCACTCGGAGGCCTGACTCACTGAGTCACTGGAGTAACTTGAAGGGAGTCGGACCACTGGCCGGGCCGGATTCGCATACGCCGGGCAGTGATAATAGTCATACTAATCGGACTCAGTCGGATGATTCAATGCCGCGGGCCGAAATTGAATTCGCCGCGCGGCCCCGGCGCCGGCCTGGTGGCGCCGTCACAGTCACCGGCCCGCGGCCGGCCAGGGCCAGGCGGGCCGCCGCGCCGCCGTCGCCTCATCAGTGTCGCCGTCACGCGGCCCGGCCCGCGGCTCAGAGTCGGGTACGCGGGCCCGGACTCAGTTCAACGCCCGGCCCCCACGCCGTTCGGGCCGGGCCGGGCCGCGGTACCTCAGTCGCGTACGGTACGGTACTCCCGGAGCCTCGGAGTCCGGCGGCGCCTCAGTACAGTCCTCAGAGTGTCAGAGCTGCGCCAGGTCCGGCCCAGTCGCCGGAGGATCATCGGATCATGGGGGTGGGGTACCGTCCGAAACACACTGTTGGGACGGTACCACAAATTTGAATTGCGAGTATCACCGTACTGACGGTAGACAGCCGGGGGTGGGGTATCTGCCGGCCAACTCAGTACTTTAAGGGGGAGGTGCCATCGTTCTTGATTGAAGTTAGGGGTAGGGTACCTCGGACGTGACCCCGGGGTACCGCAGAGCAGTAAAGTGCTAGGGAAACTGAGGGGTGGTAATGGCGTTTTCAAGTGTTGTGGACTGGACTCCCTGGCCAAGGTAACCATTGAGAGGGGTAGGGTCCGGGCCGGGGTGGGGTCATTTCCGAGGCTGGCGACATGTGAAGGTGATAAATTGTAGAAGAAAGTTTCGTTGGTGGTGGGGGGGCGGGGGTGTTGATAGGAGGGGTAGTATTTTGAAAGATAGGGTTCGGAAAAGGGTAGTCGGTAGCAGGCCAACCGTAGTTTTGTGGGGTACAGTTGACTCGGTAGGGTCCGTCTTGTGTGTGGGGCAAGGGGTAGCTAGTTCATATCGTTGGTATATTTCGGAGGGGTAGGTAGGGTGAGCCAGGAAGGTGCTATCGGCATGGCTTGAACCAGGCCCAGCATTGCGCGATGCAGAGAAGCAAGAGAGGGTAGAGATGAAGGGACATGTAGCATTGATGAAAGGGACTATGGATGAAGATGTTTATCCAGGTTTTGAATGATAGGCAGGGCGCAGTCGTTGATATTTGGGGATGTTGAAATCTGGCGATTGAAAAGGTGCAGCAACCTTTGGCAAAATGTGAAATGAAAAGCTCTGAGAAGAAAGTTTGAAATCTAGATATTAGACACTTGCACAATCACTTCGTTTTCCTTACCTTATTCTTGTTTGGCAGTTCCCATTCAAATCGAAACAGCCATGTATCTTCATTCACCTATTAAAAGTTTTGAACGACAATGAAAGCACACTTGGAGAGAGCTCAGAATCAGTCTCACTGTCGGCTGGCATAGGACTTTTTAGCGATTGTATCATGATACCCAGCACTCAAGGAGCTTCTTCATTCACGAGGTTTCAAGACTCTAGGACCGTCACATCCAGCGAGATGCCCAATTACATGACGTTGCAACGCAGCTCTATGGGGATTAGGATCATCCAGGACGGCAATGAGGTTGTAAAAGAGGAATCAGGTTCTTCTTTTTGACGATGCATCTTCACACGTTGAAAGACAACAGCAGGCCTGAAACAAATTATGAAAGACATTCGGGAGCAGTTGGAAAAATCAACCCATGTGGTCAATCAGGCCTCCACTAGGGATTCGGATCGAGTGGATTCAGAAACAATGAATTCATACCCTGAAGTGAAACCTTACGACATACAGTCGTTGCGATCAAGATTCGTAAGTAATTTGAAATATCTCTGCAAATTTTGACAAGGAGGTGCAGGAAAGGGAAGTCTCGAGTACTGAGCGCATGTCATGGAAACGAGAGTCTAATCCTGGATTTAGAGATCTTGGAAATGATAGATCATTCAGAGATCTCGGAAATGATAGGTCATTCAAAAATCTTGGAAATGATAGATCGCCCAGAGAATTTGGGAATGATAGGTCAGTCAGGGATTATGGCAATGATAGGTCAGTCAGGGATTATGGGAATGATAGGTCATTCGGCGATTATGGGAATGATAGGTCATACTTTGTCCCAGAGGTCTATGTAGAACCAAAGATGAGGTGGCAGATACATGCTCCTGTTACTCCTGACAACACGAGCAACTCTGCTCATCGCCGTCCGCCTGTCGAGCTGGCAATGAGGCCGCCCTCTCAACCGGCAACGCAAGTCAGTCAATCAGAGCCAGCATCAAGTAACAGCTCAGTGACTCGGAAGTCTGCTTTTGAGCTGCAACAACATTCAAATCAAACCTTCTATCCGTTCAACCATGCTTCCGCACAGAGGAATGTGCATTTACCGCCACCGATCAACTATCAACCAGATTTCCAGACGGGTATGCTGGAAAGGGAAAGATTCCATGAATTTCACCCAGGTTGTTTGTAATGTCATTCCTCGACATTCAAGCTGATGATGTGTTGCAGGTCTTCCGCGGGGCTGGGAGATGAAAGTCGACTCGCCTTCAGGGAAGGTTTTCTATGTCAACCATTCTTTGCGAGCAATCTCATGGGAAAGACCCAAACTCGAAACGCCTTTGAGCTCAGAGAGAGAGATGAGTCAGTTGCCGCCTCAAAGACCTGTGGAAGACAAGCCGACGCCTGTAGTGGAACCCGTGGAAGAGAAGCGAACGCCGCCTCAGAGAATTGTTGAAGAGACACCAGCACCAACTCAGAAGCTTGACAATCCTTTTGACGGGTCCGAGATTTTGAATAGAATATCCTCCAACGTGCAGAACATCCTCATGAAACTGTCAAATGCTTCGAGCGGCTCAGAAAACGATGCTGCAAACAATCTTCGTGACGATTCGAACAAGGAGCAGCAAGATTACAACTTGAAATGGCGACTTGAGGAATTCAAGATCAAAACCTCCATCAAGGAGAGAATCAGCGCTGAGAGCGCGCTGCTTGATGGGAAGATCGACCTCAGGCGATCGTACAACTTCGCGACTTCCAATACGTTTACAAGGTTTGGTGTTCATTAATGACGAAATTCTCGTGATGATATGTACTGTAGCTTTGAAGATATCGATTTTGCCCCGAAGTCAAGGAAATGGCAAAATGATGGGCATGAGAACGACAATCATGTTCGAACAAGACCGATAACCAACATGCCAACCACACAGCTGTTGCGGTCTAGTCTGGATTCGTCCAAGTTCGCAGAGTTTCAGGTTTGGAAGTTCTGAAACACATCCATGCATTTGAAGGTTTTGCAGGCTAGTTTCATGACACACTCGTCGTCGTCCAACCTTCCTCAGGTGCACAGTCAGGAGAAGAAGAAGGAAAGCCCACACATGGACACACTGACGTTACTTCTCGATGCGAGAGAAAAACTTCGTGAACACCACAAGTCGAGCCTGACAGCAGAGCTTTCCGATGAACCCTTGCGGCCCACGTACACGGGAAGGAGCTTCGAACAGGAGATGGAATACTCGCGGTGGGTGAAGCAAGAATTGTTGGAGATCCCCATCGACGAGGATGAGGTTGGCAACGCGACTCGGAGTGACATGGAGACAACATTGGATGCTCACACTGCGACTTCGAAGGACACGACGAAGAAAAATTCGGACATGCCGTCAAGCTCAGAGACAAGCAGCAGCACATCCCACATGCTCATGTGGCAAGTGTGATGTCCTCCTTGTCCTTCAGTGTTTGTTTATAAATCAACCCTTCTTCTTTGACATCAGGCGAGATCGCCCGGATTCACGAAACTTTCGAATCAGAGGGTTCCCGGAGTCGGGCCAGGCGACGAAGCTCGGAGTAGCAAAGCGATGAGTGAGGGAGGTTGAGGCATGGGCGATGGGTACCCAGGTCTCCTTCTGTGAGAGCAGCATCATCCACCCGCACGCAACGCTTGCAGTCGTCTCACCGTGCAGGCTGAGTAGGAGGAGCGACCCCCATGTGCGTAGGTGGGGGCCCAGAGCCCACGGTTGAAGCTCCTTCGCTGCTCTACTTGGACCTTGCCGATTTGATCGGTTCCTTGCGGCCGCAGCGCTAGAAGGATGTGAGCGAGAAAGAGAGGAGGAGAGAGGAAGGAGGACGGGAGGAGAGGATGGAGACGAGGACAAAGGAAGGACTCAGGGAAGGAGAGTGGGGGAAGGGCAGGGACACTGACCATCGGGGTTGGTCTTGATGATGTTGTCTGCTAGAGGATGGAAGTCTTGTGGATTCTCTTCTGTCGGCGACATGGGGTGAATCCTCTGCGGTACCTGGCGGAGGGGATGAGGGGCAGGAGGGCCAGGAGGCTCATAACCTTCTTAGAGTCATAGTTGATGCGTGGCCAGGAGGCGTTTCTGGTGAGCGGAGAGAAGTTTCAGTGAAGATAGTCGCTGGGCACAAAATGAATGCATGACAGAGATGTGATGGTTGTGGATCAACATGGAATCATGCACTGAGAAGAGGCGAGTAGTGCTGATGACAACCTTTCTGCAGTCTTGGAAAAGGGCAGGATGAACTCAAGTTCTCTCGAGTCGTTTCCAGTTCCTTTTGCCTGTTTGAATGAGTCAGCGGCAGCCAAGGAGGCGAGATCTGGGTCACATTCTTAGGAGCTGTTGAAAAGTTGATCTCGAATGAGTTCTGCGAGATATGATCGTTACATAAGATCATGAAGTGAGGCGAGGAAGAGGAAGGGACGAAGGGTGAGAGTAGAAGAGGGGAGGCAGAGGGAGCGGAGGCAAGAAAGAAAGTTGAGGGAGAGGGGGAAAAATGCAGGAAAATCAAAGCAAAGCGGCAGGAAGAAGAAAGAGATGCTGTGGAAGGGAGGATAGAAAGGAATGGAGGCAGGGGGGAGAGGGGGGGGATGTTAGAAGGATTCAACGAACTTTTGTCAGGTCCATATTGTACTGCTGGGCTCTCTTGAAAAACGAATCGTCTTCTTCATTTGGCATGTACGAGGATCGAAAACTCTCTCGGCTACTGTCTCGGTGAGTTAAACATTTTCTTACGGGCGGTCTGTGTAGTATCTGCAAGATCGTCAGCAAATGAGTGAGACGTACATGTGCTATTACTGGATGCCTGACGGCCATGCCATGTCGAATCTCAAGGTTGCCTTTGGAAGATCTCATCGGCGAGATTGCTTCCTCTTCTTCTCCCTCTCCTGTCAATCATCATCATCATCATCATCATCGCCCTACTGATCAGTTCCTCCTCCCCCTCCCTCTCCTGTAATCCCCTTCCCCTTCTTCCTCCTCCTCCTCCTCCTCCTCCTTCCTTTTCCTCCTCCATCTCTACATCTGAACAGTGCAAGAGCTGCAATGAGAGTTTTACCTTCATCAAAACTTTTCCGTGGCGATTCAAATCTGGACCAAATTCCCTGGAAAGAGTCAGACCTCAAAACTTTCAACACAGAAGAAAAGGGAGAGGAAAAGAAAAAGAGTCGAGATTCACTTGCATTCAAACAACAAACACCGACATGAAAGAGCCCAAGGGGCAGGAACAGTGGCAAAAACATGAGGAATGGAATAATGATGATGGAGGAGGAGGAGGAGGAGGAGATTGAGGTTGTTGTTGCTGTTGTTGTTGAGGAGGAGGAGGAGGAGGAGAAGGATAAGGGTAAGGGTAAGGAGAAGGAGAAGGAGAAGGAGAAGGAGAAGGAGAAGATGATAAGGCGGAAGGGGAGATGAGGAGCAGGAAGAAGGAAGAAGGAAGAGGAAGGAAGAGGAAGAGGAGCTGTACCGAGGGATTCGGTCGGTAATAATTCTCTCTGTAAGTTGCGGGACGAGATTCTGTTTGAAGAAAAATGTCAAAAAGGAGGATACTAGAATGAACAATTCGTAGGAAGAGAAGCGGAGGGGAGGAGAAGGGAAACGGAGGTTGTGGCAAGGACAAGACAGGATGAGGAAAAGAGAAGCGAAGGAGCGGGAGGGGCAGGGGAGAGTATCCAAATGAGAATGCTAAGTACAGCAGAGCACCTTGAGACATGTTCCAGGCAACATCGTCCATGACATTCTGCATCCTTTTCAGTCACAGCCTTTCATCATGCAGGGAAACAAGAATGCATGCACACAGAGGTGAATACAAGAACAGGACACAACAATAAAAAGCACACAGTGAAACAAACATCTTCAATCACATTACATATCGATCAGACAGTTGACCTGCATTGGCTTCCAAGGCAGACCCGGAACCTTTTTCTTCTCATCCAAGTTGTACGTCTTAGTCTGGATCGACCCCTTGTACCAGTAGGTGGAAGAATCTACAACAAAACAATAACGAAGATATCAAAATCGATGATGGCGTCTCTTGCCAGAAGTCTTCTTTGACATTTCTACTTCTTCACTGCTCTGGCACGTCTGGAATGAAAATCAACGCCATGTCATTTGTGTGAATATCTTTCTGACCTCTTTGCTCTTATCGCTCTTGCTGCTCTCATATCTTCGAAGTTTTCTACCGTCATCATCAGTCATCTTAATCGCCATCGCCATCGTCATCGTCATCATCATCATCGTCATCGTCATCGTCATCGTCATCGTCATCGTCATCATCGTCGTCATCATCTAATTGCATCTCATATTTTTGTCACATTTCTTCCGATCTCCATCCAGGTCTCCATCCTGCAGGTAACCAAGGTCACATCAAATCACATGTTCAGAAACTGTCAACCATTGCTTGTAATGCGAAAGACGCTTGTCGGACTTGCGGCCTCTGATGGAGATTGCTGTGAATACAGATCAGATTGCCATGGCTACGTTTCTCAAACTGCAACCTCGTCTTCTAAATTCACATCAGGAGAAATGATTTCTTCTGTTTCCACTGCATTCTTCGCTCGCGGAGATCGTCTGGAGGATGAGAAATAATGGAGAGGGGAGGAGGAGCGAGGCGAGGCGAGGCGAAGGGAAGTAAAGAGAGGAGAGGAAAAGGAACCCAGTCAAACACGATGTCAGCAAAGAAAAAGAGATATCTCGCTGCAATCATAACGGACCACCTGACTTCATCCTTTGTGGCCTTTGACTCACTGCTCGTTGTTCGTTAGCTACATGCAAGCAAAGGCCATCAAACGTTTCCTCACATTGCAAGGAGCTTCTGCAGTTGTGACGTCTCCAACCCGACATTCTGCAGCATCGAGATCAAATAGGGAAGTCGCCTGAGCAATTTCACCTGCGCAAACAGCACTCTGGAAAACGTCTCAAAGCTGACCATCCCTTGTTTCTTGTCATCCAACTTCTCCTTCCAATCAATCTCTTCCATTACACGTAGGAGGTTTTCCTCACCTTTCTCCACACCAGATCCACCACCTTCTCACCAACATCGGAGAAGCTCTTGAGAGACTCGCTATTTGGTTCTGTCGACATTTTCGGTCTACATGAAGAATGTCATAACTCTTGTTTTCTTTCCGTGTTCTTCACCCAATGGACTTCTTCAGTGCTACTCCGTTTACAGTTCGCGCTGGCATGCCGCAAGCGATCGATGTGGTTCTGATCACTCCCAATTTGAGCAAAAGATTCTCTGCAAGCATGTAAGCCGGGAGGAACAGGAGGAGGAGGAGGAGGAAGAGGCAGAAGGGATTTTGGGGGAGCGATGGAGGAGGAGGAGGAGGAGGAGGAGGAGGAGGAGGAGGAGGAGGAGGAGGAGAAATCCTACTGAAATCCCTTCTTGTCATGTATCCATTGCCTTGTTGAGCTCCCATCAAGAACCTACACATTTCCATAACCAGGAACATTCACCAGACACTCTTTTCTTTACGCTTTCTTCGCATTGATGGCCTTCCGCAGAAGCCCCATCATCACCAGAGAAAGAGCTGCATCCTCCCCCACCTCATGCTCTCCCTCCTCCTCTTCCTTAGCCGCAGTCTCTCCCTCTCCTTCGATCAACTGCTGCGAGACCTGTCGAGGAGAGCACGTGGCCGAGACCGTCCTCGCCGTTCTGACTGCCATGGGGAAGTCGAAGCTCATCATGACGCCTTGTGACATAGTCTGCGACTGTCTCACTGTGCTACTCATCAGCTCGTTCACCACGTCGCTCCCGACGACATGGCGCAGCGCAAATTTTCCTGCCATGGGAAGGCGTCGGCCAACTGCCGGAAGAAAGTGATGTTGAGTAAAGATTAAGTGACCTTTATGTTAATTTAACTAGAAGATCAGTTAATTTAGATAGAATCTAGCTAAATCTATCTGCTGGTTATCCGACCGTTACAACAATGAACTCTATTACCGTTGCATTACCGTTTCACTGTAGTAAGGTCAGGTTGGCCCAGGCCCGGGCCGGGCCGGCGGTGACTGAAGGTGAAGAGACTGAAGGACTCAACTTACGTTGGGGCCAGCAATAATGGCGAGAAGGGCCGGCGACACGGAGAGAGGGACTGAGAGGACATGCAGGAAACTTAGACGGCAGTGGGGCCTGACGGCACTCTTGTGCCTCCCAGATGAGCATCATCGGATGTGCTATCGTTGTTGGGAGTCAAGAAGATTCTGATGTAGATCAACGAGGACCTTGTGACCTGATGTCTGACAACCAAGTTGACGTAATTGGCGGCTCATCGAGTTTCATCGCAACGACACGAAGTTTCGCTACCTGCCATGGCGCAGCCAGACATACAAGTGAAGAGAAATGAGCTCAAGATCGAATGTGCTTCAACACATCCCATCCATCCACGGAGACGGTCGACCGACACACCGGCAAGGTCGCAAGTCAACCTCAGAGCAGCTCGACGCCTTCTTCTCAGAGGTCGAGAAACAGTCCAGCCTCTTGCCCCCCATCTCATCCTCGTCGTGTCAGCCGCTCGCTCACACCAACGACGTGGGCAGGTCGATGATGACAGTTTAGACTTGCATGGTGTAACTGGTCTCACAGAAGTTTGCAAGAGCATCGTCATAAGGTTGGTTCTTCAAGACATGTACAACCTACTGCGCTCAAGCATTCTGACTGGCTGCACGTAGGGAAGTCCAAAACTGAATGCCAATAGAGCTGTATGCAATGGTAGTCTTAGACGCATCCAATATGTCTTGGCACTGACTGTTGGCAGAGTCCTGCTACTGGTGCCGTCGACAGAACAGTTGGTGCGGGTGGTGCAGGGTGAGTCCGAACAGATCAGAGGTAGTGGATCATGTCAGGTAAGAGTTGAGATGTTCAGTCTTGGTTGAGTGCAAGAAGTTTGACTCGATCAAAGATCGCGGAGCTCACTGCAAAGAAGTTCGTCTGAGAAGCAGAAGATCAAACGTTCTGCCTCGCAACTCAGTCAGGTGTCCAAGAGATTGTTCGCCATAAAGTCTGGGTCAACACTGGCAGCATCTGCAGTTGGCAATGGCGCGGATCCGAAAGATGCTGTTGAACTGAGTTATGATCATTCACGAATGACTGAGATCGACAAGCTCCTTGAGCTAGCAACGTTTGCGCTCTCAGCCATCTTGAGCAAGGAGCAGCTGAAGGCTCTGACCAGCAGGGTACACGGTTGCCTTCCAACCAGTGCGAACTGACTCGTGCCCGTCAGGTGCAGCTCAGAAGTTTTGGGGAGAATGAGATTGTGTTCAGAAGCGGCGAGGTGTGTTCTCCTCAAGTCTACACGGTCAGGGTTGAAGATGGTTTGCCCAAGTTGGCGATGCGACCAAGTTTTTACATCGTTCACTCGGGAGAGTTTCATGCCTACAACAGACGAGACCCGACAAGATTGAAGCCGTTTGAGTGCCTGCGAAGAGGATCGGTCTTCGGCGAGCTGTCTTTCTTCTTGCAAGACCAACGCCATTGCACTGTCGTGGCGGGTTGTGAGAGTGTCGCGATTGAGGTTCTTCTCTCCGAAATGCTGCAGATCCTCGTGCCGGAGGAGAAGCTGGCGGATGCGAGAGAGTCGGAGGTGAAGGAGGAAGAAAGCTCCGCTAGTCATCAGGACAGATACCTCGCTCTGCTCAAGGGAAACAGATCAAAGAAGGTGAGGCTGCCAGTTGTTCGTAACCTTGTGAGGAGTGATGATGTGATCGTAGGATAAGATGTACCATTTCTACCGGAGAAAGGCTGAGATTGAGGTGTTTGGCCTCCCGCTCAACGAGGACTCGAGGAAGAGAGAATGGAGGACGGGAGCCTACGCGCGGAAACTCAAGAGAATCCTCAACTTCGAGCTCACCATCTACTACGTGGTGAAAATTCAGTTTCTCGTCCGTCGGTTCCTGCGCAGGTTGAGGCTGAAGGCGCAGAAGGCGAGGGAGAGGGAGCGGGAGAAAGCTGCTCTCTTCCTCCAGCGCATTGCTCGAGGCTTCCTGGCGCGGATCTTCTGCAACAAGATGAGGATGACCAACGGGCTGCAGCCCTTGAACTTCCAGGAGCTCTTCGAGAGGAGGAGGCGAGAGAAGGCTCAGATGCAGATAACGGCGCATGTCAAGCAAGAGTCAGCTAGGCTCTGGAACCTGTTCAACTTCGCCAACGACAAGATTTTGAGCGTCTATCGACAAGACTTCCGCAAACAACATCTGGAGCAGCTGAAAATCCTCATGACAGCCATTGAGGACGGAAAGATCGGCAAGTTTGCCTTCTATGATGTCGCTAAGGACGCGAAGATCCCCGGGAAAGCGCTGAAGAGATGGATCAACGATGAGAACATCGTCAAGAAGCGCAGGGACGAGGAGACCAACCAAGATTTCGAGTTGCGGAATCAACGGACCAAGGAGCTGCTGGAGGAGCAGTTGCTGGTGTGGGCAGGCAGGAACGAGTCAGTGCGGGAGGCCATCGGGTTGTGGAAGGTAGAGGTGTTGAGCTACAAGGAAGCGGCTCCCGAGGTCACCAAGAAGCCTCATCCCCTGTGCAGCATCATCCCTGACTACTACGACATGAAGTCTCTCAGAGAGATCCTGTCGCAGTCAGAGAGCTGGCTGGGACTGAACCCTCCTTCAGCCCGCTCCGAGGCCTCGCTCGCTGAAGGAGGTTGGATGCTCGACAGCCTGCTCAACCATGTCAGTGAGCAAGAAAACTACGAGCTCCAGCACCAGGAGCAGCTTGCTCGGGCCCTGGTGGAGACGCATGCTACAGCTGAGAGACCGAGCAGCAAGGTCGAGCTCGAGGAGCCAGCAGGCTTCGGATCGGCATCGTCCTCTGCTGAAGTCTTGGAAGGTGCAGACGTCAGGCTAGGAGCTCCTGAGCATGAAGCTGCGATCAGGCCGGATGTGGAGATGTTCATTGCGAGGATAAAGGCAGCGCTGTACCATAGCAAGGTTGACATCAGGAAGATGTTTCTTGCACTCGACAAAGACAAGGATGGCTACCTGTCACTGCATGAGTTTGACAACGCCATGAGGATTCTCAACGTTCGGATCAACTCACGAGATCTGTATGACATCTCAAAGACGTTTGTTGATGATCGCATGCCGACTCAATTGTGCTTGCGAATGTTCCTCTCGTGCTTCACATCCGATCTGATCTGCTCGGAGTCCATCACAGACAAAGTCTCTCTCTTCTCCTCCACAGTGATGGCCGACTTCGAGGCGTTTGCTCAGAGCAAGGAGAAGCTGGAGCAGGAGCTGATCTCCAAGGGGAGCCACCTCTTGGATCAGTTCTATGACTTACTCTTCAGCAACCAGTGGAAGAGGAGGGAGGACAAGGTAGAGCTCTTGTCCTTCTGTGCCCTCAAGAGCGTCATCAGCCTCTTCGAGCTCGACTGGCACGACCGAGACACGCTGGTCAGATTTGTCAGAGTTCTCTTGTACATTCACGAGCAACTTTGGAGTCAGCTGTTGTTGGAGTTGTGCACTTGGTACATGCCGATCGAGTCAGAAGCGCATCTTAGGAAGCAGCTGATAGCGATGAAGACAAAGGATGAGCGGACGAGTTTTCATGCGCTCTCACGCAGAATGTCTTGCTTCATGCCGCAGCAGGTGGGGAAGTTGGAGGATGTGAAGTTTGTGATAGGCTGCAGGAATTGCTCGCGCATCAGTTCTCTGAGTTTGCAAGGGAGAATACCGACACCACATGTGAAGAGGGGAAACTGATGGGTGAGGATGGTTTGTTTCTAGTTTTTGTTTGACCTTGTTGTAGAAGTGAATATGGATCAGATCAAGCTCAGAAGCTTCAGACTTTGGAGTAAATTGAAGACAGGTTGGTGTGCTGTTTCACCTTTGCTTCTTTGCGCCACGTCGTGTGCGTTTGCTGACGCTTTCTTGGCGGAGCAGAGAAGGGAAATGTTGTCTTGGAGATGTTCATAGATGTTTGTAATCAGCTCACAAATCTTTGTCACATAGAAAGAGAAGTTGACGAGCTCTTCCGATAACTTGCATATTTTTCATGCTAACTTGTAATGTCTGTGCTTTGTTGTAGATATGTGTCTGTGTGTTGTAACTTTCAAGCGTCTTTGTACATAACACTCGTTTTCAAAGAGGCTATTAAAGTCATCTTGAAGTTTACAAACGAAAAACAAGAAGACTAAATGATCTTTGCACAAATCAAGTTCACAGACGTAACAGAACAACTTGCTTTGTCTACCTTGAATATGACAAAACTCCAGCCTGTTCCCCTTCCTGCCTCTCCTCCTATTCACATTCCTCCTCTAATCAAGAGTTCGGATACGTCGACCATCAGCTCCACTGCGAATCTGCAAGAGAGATTGAGCATGAGCAGATTGAGCATGAGCAGATTGAGCACGAGCAGATTGAGCATGAGCAGATTGAGCACGAGCAGATTGAGCACGAGCAGATTGAGCACGAGCAGATTGAGCACGAGCAGATTGAGCACGAGCAGATTGAGCACGAGCAGATTGAGCACGAGCAGATTGAGCACGAGCAGATCAAGGAGGGATGAGACGAGAAGAAAGGCAAAAAAGACAGGCCAGATGGTGAGAAGAGCAGAAGATGGAGATGGGCATTAGATGAGGAGCAACAGGTTTTGAAAAAGTAGGGAGGACAGAGGTGGTTGGCGGAGCGCGACGGGAGGGAATGATGAGTAGGAACAGGAGGACGGAAGAGGAGGGAGGAGAACGGGACAGGTTGAAGAGAAAAGAGCAGGGAAGTGGGAGAGGAAGAGGATTCTGAGCTGTAATCGGATGTACCACAGCGCTGTCGAGGAGTTGAGGGATATCCTTCGTTAGCATCCTTTCAATGTCATACACCTGAGATATTGACATCAGCATCCTCCCCTTCTCCTTCTCCCTCTTCCTCTCTCCTCCTCTCTCTTCCTCCCTCCTCCTCGCTCTAACCCCCCCTGGCTCTTGCCCCTGCCCCTGCCCCTGCCCCTGCCCCTGCCCCTGCCCCTGCTCCCACCCCCCCATCTACTGTCTTGCTTCTTCCCTACATCCTGTTGTTCTGATATATCAATTTCAATCTCACGTACCAGATTCTTGTTCAGTCGAGGGATCTCGCGAAGGTCCTGAAACCAGATAAGCGGACAGAAAACCTTCAACCCCCTCATTCCTCCTGCTCCTCCACAGCATGTTCTCCCTCTTTCCCTGTACCTCTTCTCTTCTCTCTCATTGTCTTGACTTACCTTGATTTCCCTCAGTTTTGTCTTCATCCTCTCACAATTGGGAAAGTCACCTAGTGGAAGGTTGTACCTGTACGCCATTTACGACTCAGCATTCAGACACATTCCTCCTGCTCCTGCTTCAGCCACCCCCCCCCCCCTTTCCTCCTCCTCCTCCACCTCCTCCTCATCATCATCATCATCTCTTGTTCCCATTACTCTTGAGTCAGCAGAGCTTCTCACTCTTTCCCATCTCACTTCCCTTCCTCCTCCTCCTCCTCCTCCTCCTCCTCCTCCGTCCCTCCGTCCCTCCCCTCCTCCCCCTCCCTCCAACCTCTGAGCAGCAAGCACGAAGTTGCGATCCAGCGCGTCTATCAAGTCCTTCTGCTTCTCCGCCTTGTTCCACACCGTCACCGTCGCCCACCCAGCGATCTGCTTCCTCAGGTAGTGCACGATGAACGCGTGCACCTTCACCGACCGAGCTCGCCGCACCAGCGAGCTCACCCGACGGAGGATCGTGTTCTGCGGCAGAGCCACCAGCTCCTGTACCAAGTCTGCCTTCTCCCGCTGCAGCAGCAGCGCATGCGCGTTGCTGTTGACCCACTCGGCTGTTGCGGTGCTCTCCTCCTCGTCCCAGAACGAGCCCATGAACACTCGTGGCACCTCCGGCGTTCTCAGCACCTCCCCGAGCGACCACATGAGAGCTCCGTAGACGCGGAGAAGCTGCTGGGTGTCAATCTGCTGGACTTTGTTGAGCAGGATGCGGATCTTGTCTTGGTGGCCCCGCAGCTTGTCGAGGATGGACTGAAGCTCGTCGGAGATGTCGAGCTTGTGAGCATCGAACATGACGATGATCAGGTCTGCTCGAGAAGCAAACCATTCGATGATGGAGGAAAACTCGTACTCCCTCCCCTCCCTGTGCTTCTTGTTCGACAGCACACCCGGCGTGTCGATCAGCGTGATGTTGCGCAGCAGCGGCGCAGTGCTCGTCGCCCCGCAGAAGCGGGAGAGGAAGGCGTTGCCAAACTCAGCGAGGCCATGGAAGGGAGAGTCCTTCTGCATCGACAGCGCATGTCCAGGGATGACCCGCTCGTCGTTGCCCGCCATGACGGCAACAAACTGATCTGTCGTCGGCTCCGGCCCGATGCGCATTCCAGGGAAGTCCTTTCCAAGGAGCGCACGGATGAAAGAGGTCTTGCCGACCGAGTACTGGCCGAGAAGGAGGACGATGGGTTTAGCATCAAAGTCTGAAGCCTCCAGCGTCGATCCCTTGGAGAAGAACGAGTACCACGACGCTTCCTCCAACGGTTTGACCCTCTTGATGTACAGGTTCCTCAACCCCTCGAACACCTTGTCCTTGTCCAGTGACGTCTGCGTCTTGTTCACGAGCTGCAGAACGTTCTCACTCTGCGGATCCCCGCTAGACGCTCCCAGTCCCATCCCCTGCCCTCTCATCTGCCCCCCATATCCTCCTGCTCCACCCTCCCTCATGCTCTGCATGTTGGGGGCGTCAGGCCTGCGAGCGAACATGGCCTCGTCCTCGTCAGAGTCGGAGTAATCCTGCCCCCCCCACAACTTCAGCAGGCGAGCAGAAGGCCTGAAGGCATCGCAACGAGACAGGCTGAGAGACGGAGGAGAAAGGGCCTCCGATGCCGCAGGCATGCAGGAGCTAAGGAGGACCAGACATGCGATCGGAGCCATAGAGCTATGGACGGCGCTCTTCATGCTTCTACGGCTCTTGTACGGTTGCAATTTGCACCTGACTGGACAACAGGATTTCTGGGAGGGGAAGAAGGAGCCTCCAGCTTCAATCTAGAAAAGATTGCAAGGTTTGAACTTTCTTTGCAACTCCTGGATGACAAACGAGTGCTTGCTCCCTTTGCCCTAGTGATAAGCTCTCCTCCTCTCGGGGTCTTCTGTAGTTCGAGTTTCTCTGGTTTGCATGAAGATCTCGAAGCCACTCCCTCCTTCCAGATTCGCGTGACGTCAGTCCTTGCTTTCGCCCACCCTCCGTCCTCTCCTTCAGATGGACGTCCCTTCCCTTGTTGTCTCTACTGACCTCTCTCCTCCCTTCCTCTGCTTGTTCCCCTCTCCTCTCCTCTCCTCTCCTCTCCTCTCCTCTCCTCTCCTCTCCTCTCCTCTCCTCTCCTCTCCTCTCCCCTCCTCTTCACTACTTCGCACTTCGGCCTCCTCGGGCCATGCTTGACCTCCTTATCACCCACCCTACTTTAGGTAGGGCTACTACCTACTCATAGTAATTTCTACCCCCATAACGATTCTAATTGAACCCGGTACTTGTCCTTTATACGGACCCCCACCCTGGGAACAGACCTAACACCACCCACGTCTTCATCATAGGGCATACTACCCCTTTCGATCTAGGGTCTACCCCACCAAAATTAAGTACCCGGTTCTTCAACTGTGAATTGTTCTTGAATCATAAGGTGGGTACTTTTGGAATTGGACCTCATCCCCTACTGACCACTTTGGCGGGAAAGAAGCCCTTCCATGGCGGCGCTTCCGGACACCATGAAGGACGACGACGACAAGATGCAGGTGAGGAGGAGGAGGAGGAGGAGGAGGAGACGAGCAGAAAAGGTCAACCGGGCAAGGATAGGGAGGAAGGAGAAGGGAGGAGCGAAGCAGAGCAGAAGCATAGTAGGATAAGTAGAGCAAAGGGATGGTAAATGGAAAGAGGACAGATGTAGAAAGACCAATGGTGATGTGGTGTAATGTAATGTGATCTGATGTGAGGAGAGGAGAGATAATCTCAGAATGAAAGAGGGCTGCGAATGAAGAGTTTTATGGATGATGAAAAGCTACTGTACAACGAATGTGACATCATCTTTCAGCTTGATAGGACGGACATTGATTGCGACTTTTCCACCAAGTTCGTTACCCAGCAAAAATCTCTTGCAGCACAATACGCAGACGTCTACTACCTCCGTCTAATGACCTTGAAGCATGGTTTACTGGACGAGGCACGATCAAAGTGCAAGGTGTACAAACCCGCAAACAGGATCCTCGACTTGGAAGTTGGGCAGAAGAGTATGATCGTGGGAACATTGTTGAAAGTGATGAAGTTCAGACCAAACATTCTTGACGAGTTCAACAAGGACGTTGAGAATATCTCGAACGAGTCCTTCAAGAGGAACCACTACTCCAGCGACGATGACTATGTGATCATGGAGGACGAAAGCGGTCGAGTCAACCTGAGGTTTCCCGAAGACAACAATATGGTGACGAGGAGGTGTGGTGGTGGACACAGAAGTTCTGAAGACATACCAGGCGAGGATGCTAGTCACGGGAGTGATTCTTGCTGCGTACGGTCAGTTGGGCGAGGATGGAACCTTTCAGGTGGACGAGCTCCAGAATCCTGGCCTTCCTCCTCAGATTCCGACAGGTGAAGAGGCATTTTGTTGATTGTGCAAAGAGAAGAAGGAGGAGAAGGTCGTGAATGTGGAGGAAGAGAAGGGGTACGAATGAACTTGATGGAGGGCAGATAGTAAGAAGGGCAGCAGAGCGATTTGAGTTCCAATGGTGATGACGTCAAGCAGGAAAGATGGAGGGAGAGCCAAAAATCATACTAGTGTCTGGGTTAGAGCTCGGGAATCCTGATTCAGATCCGCTGGCAGTAGACATGCTGGTCGATTATGTAAGTGTTGGAAGATTTTGACATGCTGGTGTTGACCAGCTGGGCAGATTACTGGCAACCTTGGAGGGGTGGAGACATTTGTGATATATTCTTTGTGTTCTTGTTCCACTTGTTGACATGCTGCAAACAGCAAGAAAGTGCGAAAGTTGCAAAAGTCATCATCGCAGGGTCTTCTTGCTTCTTTTCCAGCGAAAACCGTTCCAGCGCCCTATACCGCAAGGCTGATCCGAGTCAGACCAGAGCAAATCAGAAAGAAACAGCCAACCCTGTATTCTCATCTCTCCTGTTCTGTTCTCTATTCCTCCTCACTTGCAATTCCTTTTTTCCCTTCCCTATTCTCCTTCCCCCACTCTAAGTATACTTTTTGTCTCTGTCTCTGTCTCTGTCTCTGTCTCTGTCTCTGTCTCCTCTCCCTGTTCTATCCTCCTTCTCTCGTTGTCATCATCCTTTCCTAATGGTGTCTACATCAGGTCAGAGAGCTTGACCTTCTCTTAACGAGGTTGAGCTCCTCCGTCGCTGTGGACATTCTGCCAGGAGCAGGCGACCCATCCAACGTCTTCATGCCTCAGCAGGTGCTACTGTTTCTCCTTCTACACCTCTCGTTCTTGTACTTTTCCTTCTCCTCGTGTACCATGTTGCCCTTCTACCTCTCTCCTCTTGCCCATCCTCTCTCTTCCCTTTCCATCTACATACTCCTTCCTATCTTCTCCCCGTTTCCTGCTTCTCGGATCCTCCTGCTCCCTTACGTTGCTGCTCAGCCTTTTCACAATTGTCTTCTACCAAGTGCCAATACATACTCCTCCTTCCGACCGACAACGAATCCGTGCGTCTCTTATCACCTCCTCCTCTACGTCTGAAATCACCCTGGCAGGTATGAGAGCAGAATCTTCGAAGACCCGGAGGCGAAGGAGGAAGGAGTGATCATCATCGGAACCTCAGGGCAGAATGTCGAGGACATTCAAAGATGTAGCGAAGTCGAAGATCCGCTCGATGTTATGCAGAATCTGCTGCAGGTGAGTAACAATTGTAGAGGAAAACGTGCATATGTTGGTCAATGTGTTGATATCTCACATACGCATACTTGTCATTGCCAATTTTCTTTCTTCCTTGAACTTCTTTTCTTCTCTTGTGTCCACCATGTATTGGTGTTGTGTTGATGTGTTTCTTTATCTTTGTATGCTTCACACTGGGGTTGTCACCCTCAATTTACGGCTGACTTGTCAATCTCGCAGTGGAGGCATCTTGCTCCAACTGCCCCCGACACCCTGCCTTGCTTTCCGGTGAAGGACGAGGTTCGACTGAAACTGTTTGAGTCTCCACCTTCCCCACCCCGCCCCCTCCCCCTCGCTGTCTTTTTCTTTTCTCCTCCCTCCCTCCTTCGCTTCCTTCTCGCTCCTCCCTCAATGCGTTTTTCCTTCCCCCCTCCCCTCCGCATCCCTTCTTTCTTTTCGTAGAATCCTTTTCCTCCTTCCTCCATCCATCTGTTTGTCTCTCTTCGACTTGTGCAAGGCTGATGATTCATTCAGGACCCCTTCATCCTCCCCCACTGCCCTCACATTTTCTTCGCGGGAAATCAAAAGGTACCTCCCACAGAAAACTTGACCACCTTCTCCTTCTCCTGCTCCTTCTCATGCACAACACCTCTCCTTTCTGCTCTACTCTAACTTCTCTTATCCTGCTGCTGCTGCTGCTGCTGCTGCTGCTGCTGCTGCTACTTGTCTGATTTTTCTGCAGACGTTCGGGAGCAGGACGATCGACGGCGAGAAGGGACAGAAGTCGCTCTTAGTCTCCGTCCCCTCCTTTTCACGCACCAAGACAGCGGTGGAAGTGGACGTGCGGACTCTGACTGCTACTCCTATCTCCTTCGGGACTGAAGCCTTCCATCAAGACTGACATGCCAAGTAACACGAAACTTTTGTTAAGACCAAATCCTTGCATTTCGCTCCTCCTGCCGCCCCCTCCCTCCTCCTTACACCAGGGAGGGCTGAGCTTTCTCTGACCCTTCGTTGTCTGCCATGAACCATGTCACCGTAATATCTCAGCCAACCTCTCCCTCCCTTCCCTTCTGCTACCTCCCGCTCACCCTCCCTCCTTTCTACTCTCCTCCTTTGCTCCTCTCAACCTTTTCCTCGCTACCTGCTGCTCGAATCGTTGTAGTTGCCGCCCCTGCAGAGGGTGAGAGATTTTTCTTCCCTGCGTTCAGCCGAGTAGTCCGGATGAGGTTGAGCTCGATGACTTCCGACGAAGTGTCTCCTGGAACTGCTGCAATATCACCAAACTATCGCCAGAAGGCCTCCCTCTCTCCTCAATCTGCTCTCTCATCCTCTACCACAACACACTAACACTCTCTTCTCTTCCACCCCTGATTCTCTCTCCTCCCTCTTCCCCCACCTCTCTCTCGTCTCGCTCCTCCTCCATCTTCCTCCCCTTGTCTCACCTTTCATGATGCTCCTCGTGAAGGTCAGAGGAATCACCGAATCCTTGGGCCCCCTCATCAGCACTTGCAACCTGCTCAGCGGGACCCCTCGGACTTGCGTCTTGTCGATCTTGTAGAGTTCGTCCCCGTACTTGAGTTTCGAGCAGCACTGCCCTTCACTCTCAGGAGAGAAGGACGCAACGAGCAGCCTGCCATCTGAGGTGCTGCGAACTGTGCGAGAGGTCAGACGGTCTGGAGGGGATCTTGTGCGTTCTTACAGTTAATTCCAACTCCAAAGTTCTGGTCGGCAGATGGAACTGCGCACGAATCGATGCAGTTGAAAGGTTTCAACCAACTCGTGAGGCTCGACATGTCTTAGCAGAGCATGTTCTGTTTTCTTGCAACTAGTCAAAGAGGAAAAATATGGAAGAGAATGCGATTGTGAATCTTGAGTTTTCCCTTGAAGCAAACTACTGCATTCCGCATCCAACTATCACATTTCAAGTATCTTGATATCGTCAAATCCATCATGTTTCATCGCTCCATACTGAACATTCTTTCACCAGCACGTTTGTATCCCTCTTTCTGTCTCTGCCTGCCTGCCTGCCTGCCTGCCTGCTTGCCTGCCTGCCTGCCTGCCTGCCTGCCTGCCTGCCTGCCTGCCTCCCTCTCTCTGTTTCATCTCGCTCCTCCTGCCATGGCATCATGGAATCGTTTTACACTGCTTGGCAGGAGTCAAATTCGGACCACACTACCTCTACCCCAGGGTGTTTACATTTAGCGGTACCATGACCCCTGTTTTCATCACCCAGTACCCACCAAAGCTAAACCGACTTGGACCCCACCCTCTGGCTCGAACGAACATTGAACGGAAATTGACAGAAAATACGAAAAAAAAACCGAGACAAACGAGCGGCGGAGGAGGTTGTTGGTGAGATTTTCTTGCAACAACAAGGTTGTAGACGAGTTGTCAGCCACAAGCATGTGGCAGGTACTCAAGTGACGGGGACGAAGACAATTGTGCCTGCTAGTACATTCGAGCGAGCTTTTAATCATTCATCTTCGTATTTCACAACGAGCGGCGGGAGGGTCACCGCGCTATTAAATCAATAAGACCAATGCTTGTTATCACACGGGAGGGGCGTAGGATTGATGTGTTTGGAAATATTTCAGAGCAAGTTGAGATGACTTTGTTGATGCCTGAGAAACGCAATCATCACAAACTTCAAGGATGGAGTAATGATAGATATTAAGTACATCAGCAGATTTCGCAGATTTCGGCGACTTTCTTGCTGCTTTTTGTGTTCTTGTGCCCTGTACGAGAGGTCAGGAATGAACAGAGGAGCTCGTTTGTCATGATTTCTGACCTTTAGAAGATTCCACATCTTCTCCACTTCACTCGGGACTGGAAAAAGAATCAATCATCATCGCCACCTACCAGCAACTCCATCGCACCATTCTCCTTTGGTTTCTGCGCTGCTCTCTTACTGCAAAGAGAGGCACGTTTCAGCACTCACAGCAGCAGCAAGTGAACATGTCACCTCTTCTCTGCGCTGCTCCATGTCGTGTGTTTGGAAGTTTCCTTGGCCTTCTTTGAATCCATCTCGCTCGCCAACCTCGACACCAAAGAATGTTTGCTACCCCAGAACTCGTTCCAGTTCTGCGATCCGGCTGTGCACCTTGTTACTGAACAGCCCAACTACTCCCCATCACCGCACCGCTGCTCTTCGCGCGACTCTCGATGCTCTTCGCTTCATCCTCATCCTTGCTGCTCTGCGCAGCTTCAGTCCAGCAGGATCAACATGTGGGATTCACCTGGTCGAGGATCTTTTCGATTGCCAGCGCCTCCTTCTTCGCAAGCTTGATCTGACCTTTCTTTGCCTGCGTGCTCAGAGTTACAGAGATAGATGGAGAGCTGATCATAATAGGATAGCCAGCGCAAGGAGAGGAGTGGAGTAGAGACGCAGGGAATGGGATGGAATGGGGTAGAAAGAAACGTGATCGAGAAGGAGAAAGTTTATCGTCACCTTGTTGATATCCAAGGCAGAGGATATCACTGAATTCATTGCCTTCTTGCGTGCAGCCAAACCATGCAGGGTGCCAAGTTGCTTCCGGAGCTGCATCGAAGCATGCATGTCAACTCAGGGCGGATCAAGTCTGAGGACAGGAACCTCAGCGGCCCCCGAATCGAGTCCATGGTGTGTCTTGGAGTACTGGATCACACTCTTCACAGAGCTGTCGTCCTCCTTCCCCTCGTTGAGAACTTTGACGATGTCTGCTGCAGCCTGTTCGAGCAAGTAAACCTCATCACAAGGGGACTGAATATGTTGTTCAGATGTACCTTAACAGCAACTTCGTTCTTGCTCTTCATGTCGGACTGCCAAGGGGACATGTTTCAGCGTAAGAGCGTTCAATCCGAGAAACATAAACATATCTGAGCACATAGAAGCATCAGGGCCTCGTACCTTGGATGCCAAGAAAGAAGCTTCTCCATTCCCTCCTCCTCCGATGTACGCATAGCAAACGACTACCATGAAGCAGGCGGCAGCGGCGGCTGCCCACGTCCTGCCAGTCCCTGCCATGATCTAAAAGCGGCGAATGAAACTGAGGCGGACCTGTTCGGATCTAAGTTAACTCTGAGAGTCTTAAAAATATTAAGGCTGCTAAATCTGAGGAGAGCTCAAATTAAGAGTGAAGATAGCTGGCTATTTTGGGGTAGTCCGTGATGGCATTTCATTGAATGAGAGCAGAGAGAAGGGAGGGAGGGGAAGGGAGAGGATGAAGGAGAGACAGCGAGGACAGGAGAGGAAGGAGATCGATGATAGTTAGAGCTGAGGGGAGGGGAGAGGAGGGGAGAAATCGTGATAATTGTGGAGGTTTGAGGAAGGTTTGAGAAGAACAAGAATTTTTGAGCAAGAATGAGCTTTCAGTTTATGAAAATCAGAAAACGGCGGCTTGAGAACGTGAATCGAGATGAAGATGATAGCGAAGACTAATACTTTGTTGATCATGGTTGTGGGCTTGTCAGTTCGAGGTCAGACTGTGTTTGCACAATTTCTTGTTCATTAAGGTATGATCGGTATTCACGCATCTGCTACAAACCATTACATTAGCGAGAACTCAATATATCCTTTGCTGTGAGGCAGAAGGAGCATTAAACACGCTGATCCTGCTGCTCGTTTTCATATCTTCCTCACCCTTCACTTGCAGATGTTTGAGATTTTGCAGCGTGCGAAGAGAGCGCCTGAACTTCCTCTTGCGGTATCTGTTCCTCGTCTATCCTGCTGGCAACTCGCTGAGCTCTCATGCAGGTGCGGGAGTGCATGCACAACATGCAAGTCGGATCTGTTCCTGTCTCGACTGCGCAGAACCTGTGCAGCACTGACGGGTCGACCTACATGACCCCTACGTCAGGTGATTGAGAGCAGAGCAGAGCATGGGGGAGAGGAGGGCAAAACCGGGCCGGATATTAGTTTTCTCTCAGTTTGTGTTGGATGATTGATGATTAACTTCATATTCTCACTGTTTGTTTTTCAGAGAACGACAGGATGGGACTGTACGGATACGATTAGAACCTCACCTTGTTTACACTTACCTGTTGATATGAGAATACAGCATGATCACAAAAATCAAACACAGAAGCAGGGGAGTTGCCCCAGTGATGGGATGGGCTTTGAGATGTTCCTGAGAAGAGATACGAAAGGAGAAAAGTAGGGAAAACGTGGAGATTCATGGGGAGGAAGGGGACTGATGTCCGATGTTATCAGTTAAGATTCTTCAATCTTACAACCCCGTCGTCCGTCAAAATTTAAAGAGTTTGCAGCACACTTATTTACATCTCATTTTCTTCTACATGTCAGCATAGAACTCTTCCACTGGATTCTTGTTCAATCGCTTGGAAACCTTGTCTCTTTTCTGATGTGAAGAGTTGAGCAAGATAACAACAAGAAATACATCGCCTTACCTTGCTATTCATATCTCCATCGTCACTCGAGTCAGAATCTTCGTCGCTGGACTACAAATTGCTAAGATTCGTTCACATTCCACAATTCTCTTATACCTTCATGTCTTCATCCCCTTCTCCTTCTTCTCCTTCTTCTCCTTCTTCTCCTTCTTCTCCATCCTGTTCGTCAAAGATCAAAAAATAGAAGTCGACTTGACTTGCTCTCTAACATCTTCTTCGAATAGGTAGGAAATGTTCCAGAACTTGACCTGATACATACGTGAGCAATGTTGATGATGACGACGATGAAGAAGACGAGGAGGAGGAAGTGTGATCAAGACGTGGGTGACAACAAAAACGACTCTTACCGTGTTGTCATGTGACGAAGAAGCAAGGAACTTGTTGTCATGTGACATCTGAATGTGTTCTACCGGACATCCATCGTGTTCTCCAATGACGCCCTAATCAAGAAAACATCACTCAAACTATCAGAACCCTCCTACTTTCTCCAGTTGGAGACTAAATTCCGGGCCCACCTCCCTCCCCCCCTCCCTCCCCCTCCTCCCCCTCCCTCCCCCCCTCCCTCTCCCTTTCCCTCCCCCATCATATCCCATCGACAGTCATCATCGCATCTTACCAGAAGTTTGTTGGGCATCACAGATATCACCCGGATGATTCCGTCTTCAGAGCACGTGATGAGTGTGTCCTCGTCAACCTTGACCATGCTCTCCACACTCTGACACAACCGTCAGGCCAAGAACTTTCTGCTGCTCCTGCTGCTCCTGCTCCTGCTCCTGCTCCTGCTGCTCCTGCTCCTGCTCCTGCTCCTGCTCCTGCTCCTGCTCCTGCTCCTGCTCCTGCTCCTGCTCCTGCTCCTCCTGCCTTTTCTCGCGCGCAGGCGCCTGCCCCCATGCATCGCTTCCTCGTCTCGCGCCTGATCGCCAGGTCTGCTCTGACCTGCGGGTGTCCCACAAAACGATCGTTGAAGTCGCCCCAGTCGCCCCAGGAGAAGATCGCAAGGATGCCGCTCTGAGTTCCGCAGACAACCTGAGGAAGAGGAGGAAGACGAGGAGGACGAGGAGGACGAGGAGGACGAGGAGGACGGAGACGATGAGAAAGAGACAAAGCACGCGTGGAAAAAGTGGTTGAGAAGGACGAGAGAAAATGTCAATTAAGGAATGGGAGGAGGTGGGGAAAGAGGAGAAGAAGGAAGAGGAGGAGGAGGGGGGAGAGAGAGGCAACAGCCTCTTTCTTCACCTTTTTCCCCCTTTTCACAATCGAGATCGACAAGAACTCATCCTCCATCTGGAGCAATTCAAAGAAACATTCAGATTCACTTTCATCTTCCAACCTTTCATCCCCTTCCTCCTCCTCACCAGCCCCGTTCCCTCCTCCACGTAACTGCCGATCTTCACCCTCTCTCTTCCAGTAATCAATCCCTCCTCCTCTTCATACTCTCCTCGCTCCTCTAAGATGCCCTCAACATCTCTACCTCACCTGATCCGACATTGCGATCAGTTTCCCGCTCTTCCGGTTCCATACGCTCAAGTATCCATCACCACCTTGCTCATGGTCAGGAACTAACCATCTCCTCCTCCTCCTCCTCCTCCTCCTCCTTCCCTCCTCCTTCCCTCCATCACTCTCATGGCCTGGCTCACCCGTGCAGAGCATCGTCTTTCCATCGCTCGCCATCGTTATCTCCGAGATATAATCCTCGTGCTCCCGCAGCTCGTGGCAGCATCTTTCAAGCTAGTCACCGGAGCAGGGAACATCCTTTCCTCTCTTCCTCCCTCCCTCCCTCCCTGTCTAGCCCTCCCTCGTTCTTCTCCCCTTCCCGCGACTCCTCCTCCCCCTCCTGCCCCTCCCTCATCTACACTCATCGTCAGCCTTCCTCTTCCCTCCCTCCTCACCGCTGCTGTCTCAGGTCCCAAAGCTTTATGACGCCTTCGTCGTCGCCAGTTGCAAGAAACTTATCGTCCATGACCAGCATCGCGTTCACGGGAGCCTCATGAGCGTTGTCTGTAGTGTGAAAATGGAGAGGAGAGGAGAGGAGAGAAGAGGAGAGAAGAGAAGAGAAGACAGGATAGGACGGGACAAGACAGGACAAGAGGCAGCAGAATAACGAGAGGAGCGAGATAGGAGTAAATAGGCAAGTCAGCAAACGCAATGAAAAAGTTTCCTCCACTCACTCATTACCCCCGACACTTTTCCCGCGTTCATGTCATAACCTGATGTAGGATGTTACCAACAAGAGGATCCATTGCAAGATTCACATGAGACTGAAGTATCCTTGGATCCCATGAACAAGGACTTCCCGTCAAGAGAAAACTGCAGTGCACGCGTTGATCTGTTCCATGGCTCACAAGAGAATCCTGAAAAGAAAGTTCGAGTTCGAGTTTCTCACAGCTTGTGATGGTCAAGAAGGGCAAGCTGATGGTTTCCTTGAAGTGAGTATTGACAGATACAAACTTCACCCGACACCTGAAAATGTTTATGAGCCGGAGGGAGCAATGGTGAAACGGTCAAGGGAATCGGACGGGATGCGATTGGACGGGATGGGGCATCTGGAGATTCATCAAAATTTTACCGAAGATGCAGCGATGATCTCGTTTTCAGGGTGAAACGCGAGTCTCATAACATGATCGCTCATGATCAAGTCGTCGGGACTTTCTTCTGCCTGTTAGTACACGTTACACTCAATGAAAACGTCTCGTCCAATGGATCTCCGTCAACCTTCTCCACCACCACCATTACCACTACCACCACCACCACCACCTGCTCCTGCTCCTGCTCTGCCTGCTCCTCCTCCTGCTCCTCCTCCTGCTCCGCCTCCTGCTCCTCCTCGCATCACTCCGCTCTCAGTCGCTTCCACCTGACGTACCGGCTCCGCCATGCTTCACGTGCCCTTGGCCCTCGTCCCCGCACTTTCACTGTCAAATCAGAAAATTCACGGAAGGGTCCGTATGTACGGGTATGTGAATTTCAACAAAGGGTAGGGGTACATAAAGTACCCCCTCTATAACCTGTAAATTGAGAGGTATTTCTGATTTATAATGGGTACTCAGAACGAGGGGTGGGGTATTGAGTAGGGTAAAAGTTTACGTAATTTGGTTGCTCTGAAGTCAACCGACAAGAAAATGCAGGAGAATGCAGGAAGGGGAAGATGAGGAGCAGGAAGATGAGGAGCAGGAGTAGCAGGAGCAGCAGGAGGAGGGATGGAATGGATGGAGGAAAGTTCGGGAGGAGGGAGGGGTTGATATCAGGTGGTGGATGGGCTACAGGGGCGGGAGGGTATGACGGGGGGATAGCATATGCTGATGGCAACATTGTGAGTGGGTGATAGGAAGGAGACCAAGCATGCAGGGAGAATATGCAAGAACAACCAGAGAAGACCTGGAGAAGGGTATGGACGAGGAAAGTTGACGTGAAGAAAGGACATTCAGCTGGATTGATCTCCTTGAGACAATTTAGGAGCAGAGTATGGCGTTGAAGAGAGAATTAATGAGGAACGATGATTTAGTTTGGAAAGCATTTGATTCCGACTGACTGCTTTGCTCTAGACTGTACAGAGATTGGATTGTAAATGAAGCCGGAGCGATCAACCCGAGAGTAGCAGAGGGAATATAGAACAAGTCGTATGACTTAAGTTTTGCCTTGCTCCCAGCTCATCAGCATCTGCAGCCTCCATACCTCTGAGGGGATCAGTGTAGTGTAGTGAGAATGAAGGGGTCGAGATCCCTCCTTCCCTTCAGGCTCCATATCTTCAAGAGGCTCTCAGCGTATCCTCGATGGAAAGTTGTCTCGGGTTTTCTCGGCGCCCAATTCTTCATCATCCTCATCATGAGCCTGGGGTTGAGATTCGGTCCGGTCGGTCAGCTCGCCAGCTCGCCTCCAAGACCTGGAAGCCTGCTTGTCTTCTGCGATGATGACAAGTACCAAGGGAAGTTGGAGGTGCTATTGAAGAGAGCAAGTGATCTGTCGGGAGGGAGTGTCGTCAGTCCGTTCGCCACGATCTCGATCGATGGTAAGATGGTTGACAACAGGGAAGCAAAATTCGGATGGGACTCGAAGTTCCGCAGGCCGTCCTATTTCAACGAGCGAAATCCACAATGGAATGAAAGGAAATGGTTCTGTGTGCCCAAAGGAAACGTGACAATCAGTTTGCACATCTTTGACTATCATATGATTGGGAGCAACGATGAGATCGCAACAGGCAACATCTCCTCTCTCTTCCAGCTCGCTGTAGTCGAGCACACTAGCGGAACTCTGCCTGAACAGACTTTCCAGCTTTCAAAACCAGGAGCAGGAGCAGGAGCAGGAGGAACAGCCACGGTAGGCATGAGATTCTTTCCTTCCATGACGTATGCGGAGGTCGCCGACTCCCTGGACACTGGCGACGTCATCTTATTCTCTGGCGCGACCCGGTCGGGAAAGTTTATAGAGGTAGCGACAGAGTCACAATTCTCACACATTGGGATAGTCATGAGGGAGAATTCCTCTCTGATGGTGATAGAGTCGAGCACCAACAGGGCAAACCTGCACGACTGTGTGACGGGAAAAGTCTCCTCGGGGGTGGAGAAACTTTGGCTGCCGGACAAGATCTTCTGCGCGTTCTACAACCGGGTCGCCATCCGCAGACTCCACCTCAATCCACCTCCCCTCCCCTCCTCTTCTGCCTCTTCCTCTTCCTCACCATCTTCTACCTCTCTTCCTCTCTCTCGAGCTCAGTTGGATCAACGGATCCGCCAATTCTATGCAGCGCACCAGGGGGTCCCATACGAAGAGTTCAAGCTTGACATGGTGAAGGCTGAGTTCAACCGCAACCATCACTTCGACAACTCTTCGCTCTTCTGCTCCGAGTTCGTCGCCTACGCCTTCCGCTCTGTTGGCATCTTCGCCTCCAGTGAGCTCCCCAGCAACGTCCTGCCCAACGAATTCTCGTCAGAGACGGACAAGCCGCTGCTCTCCTCGCACGTCTACCTTGAGAACGAGATCTACATCAGGAAGCCTCAGCAGTGGAAGCAGGGCCGCTGCTTCATGCACCCCGAAACGTGCGGCTGCGGCAGGCAGGAGACAGCATACGATATCAGCTTTGCGTGCTGGTCACAACCCTGCGGCAGCATGTTTGCTGTCTGGTTCGGCGCGCTGTGGGACGTGGGGCTGGGGCTGAGCCTGGAGATTTTCATCTTCGATCTCATCATCCTGTGGGCTTCCTCAGTTGTGCTGGTCAACTTGTACATCATCCGCACCCATCAGATCTGGTTGGCGCAAACCAAGAAAGTCTCTCCGGACTCAGAGGAGGGGAGAGGGGGGCAGACGGGCGACGGGGGGGATGCGATGACACATGAAGAACATGAGAGGGGGGGGAGATACGCAGGATCAGGGGCTGATGACTTGGAGGAGGGAGGAGGGGAGAAGGAGCACGAGTGAGAGACGTGAAAGAGGAGGACAAGCTTGAGGTGGTCGCACCAACTCAGAGAAGCGAAGAAGAGTAACAACCGTATTAACATTTTCACAGTATTTACATGTTCACAGTTTCAACTTGTAATTTAATTTAAATAAACCACTACACGACTACAACACCTACTGGTCACAAACTTTTCTGTCCCTTTCGTGGTGAGTTGACCCCCTGGAAACCACTATCACTATCAACACCGACAAAGCTCGGACTATCTCAGCAGCAGCAGCAAGTGTTCATCACCTCGATCATGAAGCTATCGTAATCTCTCCACGAGCGCAAGGGGAACCATTTCATTGGGCCGATTGTTCTTTACCAGCCATGAGGCAACCCACATACAGACAACAGGATACCTCACCTTGCTCTACCGTCTCTTGCCGTCAATGGCGTCCATCGATGACCCCCCCATAGTTCCCTCCTGCTGGGCGGCGCCTGTGCTGGTGTCAGGACGGGCCTCTTAGACTGTTGTTCCTTCACCTCCTCGCTCCTTGCACCTCTCTTGGGAAGAACTTTGCTGCCGACTGCGAGGAAGCGGTGCTGATTCATCGCCTGCGCAACCATTATCTCTCTCGTCACCGCCCCCCCCCTCTCCTGCCCCTGCCCCTGCTCCTGCCCCTCCCTCCTCACCTCCGGGTCGTGCCGGGGAGTTTGACATCGCAACAGCCCCCTCGCGCTCACGCAGCGAGGACGAGGAGTGGCGCAGGAGGCTCTCTGGCTGCCAGCTGATCTGATCTCAAGGCGGGCGAGCTTGAAGTCTTCCTGCAGCTTCTCCAGCGAGATATGCGGGACAGCCGGACTCTGACTCTGAGCAACAGGCTTCACCATTACAACAAGGCTCATCCGCTGACCTGACCTGCCGGTTTGCGTGGGGGTGAACGCGATCATGGTCAGCATCTTTCTTGAGGCGCTTCACTCGCCGAGCATGCAGGGTTTCCTCGTTGAGGTAGGAGGTACCAGCAGGAGCGGTCCTTGGGGGAGGCACGTCGAAACTCAGGTGAGGAGGTCGAGCTAGGGAGAAGTGAGAACAACACACACATGACTCGTTCGATGCTCATTCACCCCTCCTGCTGCTGCTCGTCTTGCTCGCCCGCTTCGTCGCTCTCTCTTGTGCAGTTGAAAGAGAAAGTTTGCTGGCCTTGAGCTCTGTGCTCCATACCTCTGCTTCGTACAATAGCTGCTCCCTGCGGGAGGGACATCGGGGCTTATCGCTATCGACACTCTCCTCGAAGTGCAAGTTTGATAGCATCTCCATTTTGTTCTCTTTGCTGCGATTGTCCAAGTCATTATATGGAGAGAACGATTGTCGACGTCTCGTCTGCTCCATCCCTTGTTATCAAACTTAAATTTTCCACCAGCTCCAAGGCAAGCCCGAGTGCTCTTGCGTTAATGATGATGTTTGCAGCTCGCGTCTGACAAGTTCAAGCAAATTTGAACCCATCGAGCAAGGCGCTTGTATTTCCTGCCAGACAATCAGACTATCTGAGATAACAACTTGTCATAGCATCGCATTTGATGATGATCTCTTCTCATCCACTCATCATCCTCTCGATCCACATTCAAGCCAGGATCTGCCATCTCTTCCCTCGTCTCTCCCTCCTCACAACATTGATATCCGAGTGCGCAGGCGCGTCTAAGCTCACTGGCAGCTGCCCCATAGCTGCAACATCGGCGTCGGCATCCCCTCAGTTGCATCATTAGTTCAACTGCTTGCTCAAGTCACCCCCTCACTGACTCGCCACCCTCGGAGCATCAAGGGGCCTCTCCCCTGCGGCAGCCTCCCTCACTGCTCAGGCTCCTTCCTGTCCACTGAATCATCGGCTGGGCTGCTTGCGCCGTCCACCATGAACTGACGGGGTTCACAGTCCGATCTCTGACCGGTCACCATCACCATCATTATGATCAAAGTTTACTTTACCGCCGATCGGACCGTTGGGACCAGGACCTACTAGGCTTGCCAGTGACCGGGACTCGACCGTCGGACTCGGCCTGACTCAGGCCACTCCGGGCCGACTCGTCGGTCAGTGCCGCGTGACTCTCGCCACTCTGATACCGGCGGCGCGTCCGGCCCGGGTCGGGAGTCCCGGGCCCGGCCCGGACTCCGGAGGCTCCCGGAACCCGGCGGCGCCGCGGCCCGCCGCCGGCGGCGCCGCGGCCGCTCACTGTCAGCCTGGCAGGCCAGCGCGGCCTGGCAGGGCCTGCCGGGGCCCGACTGATCAGGGGCCGCGGGGCCGTGCAGTGCGGAGGCTGGCAACTTGAACGCGGCCCACAGTACGGCCGCGGGCTGAGCCGGCCTCGGACGGCTGATGCTCCGCCATTCAACTGAGTCTCGGAGTCCGAGTCCGGGCCCCGGGGCCGCCGCGCCGCCGCCGGCCATCGGGCGGCCATGATGCGGGCCGGCACCGTCTGCCGCGCGCCGCAACCGACTCACAGGCTGTAGGCTCAGGCTCGTCGGATGGATCGGATGATCCCGCCGGCTGCCTATGCCAGCCGTGCCACGGTCAGATCATCGTAGCCGCTGAGCGCCGAGTTAACAAAAACTCTCCTGTAAACCAAGACGACTTAAGTGTTTTCAAGACGGCAATGTAGTGCACTGAGGCACCGTCGAAGAGGGGGCTTTCCTAGCCTCAATTCTGGTTTTGGTGTGCATTAAACTCGGTCTTGAGCAAACTTGAACTGTCACGCTTCAGTGTTCAACGGTTACAACTAAGGTCGATGTGATATCTGCGTGACCGGGACTTTGGCATAGGCTCGCCAGCGTCACCCGGCGGCCGCCGCCGCAGTGAGATGGCCGCCGCGGCGGCGGGCATGCGGCACCGTCACCGCTGCCGTTTCCTAAGTCATAGCCGCAGCCTTGTTAGCGGTAGTATGTTGGCTCGGAACTTGTGACTTGAGGCTCCAAGTCCGCCTCTGATCCTGCGCTGCGTACGTCATCGAACGGTCGAGCCTGACGGAGCGTACGCCGAGCAGACTCGACCCCACCCCTCAGTAATCCTACGTGTGTCGATAACTTCAGGGGTGGGTCCAATGTGACCATAAAAAAGTCCGAAACGATGCGGAACAGACTTGTACAAGAATGAGATCTTTACTACAAAGAAAATTCATGAAAATAGACCTTTTCGATTACTACCCCCGAAACCCTGGTACTATGTCTTCTTCAACCTACGTACCTGCGGGAATATTCCAGTAAGACCTCGAGATACCCTGACCCCCACCCTCTTAATTTTTTTTAGTACCCCCGAATTGGTTGATTTTGTACCCCCTTTTTTCCAGAATCTTTGATAACGCAATCCACCCCCACCTACGTTTTCCTTTTGCGACTCTCAAAAGGTCTTGAGGCCTGGAATTGCACACCTGGTTAGGGTGGTAAGTGGACATGCCACTCACGGGTGGTGGATTTCAAGCAATTTTTAACCCAATATGGAGGGGTCCGCAAGGAGAAGATTGGGTACTGCAAGATATGCCCATAGCGTAAAGAGAGGCGATGCAGGGGTGGGGTCCGAGAAAGACCCGAAATACCCCTCAACTTCACAAATCGTCCCAAGGTTGGGGTGGGTGGTACTGAAGGGCAAGAAAATGGAAGATGCCGAGTTAGCGCACGCGTGGGGAGAGCTGGCAGCATCGGGAGCCCGCCAGCTCATCCTGTCTAGGGAAGCTTGCAGATCGAGGAGGAAGCGGTCAGGGAGGACAGGGAGGATGCAGCGAGAAAGGATCAAGGACAAAGAGCTGGCTGAAGAGGAAGGTCAGTTCTCGGCCGCGTCCTCTGACGAAGATGCTCCCAAGGAGACGCCGATATCGAAGATCACGAGGATACTGTTGACGAACAGGAGTCTACGTGTCAGTAAGATCGCAGTTGAGTCAAGAGAAGATGCGGGAGAGAAGGAGCGGGAGAGGGATGATCGGCAGTGCTATGTGGCAAACCAGAAAACTTCTGAAGCGTTGGTCCATGCTCTATCTCGCCGGTATCGGGGAATGGAAGGAGATAAGGGTAGCATGACGCCTCACATACATCCCCCTCGATATGTAGCAGAGGTCTTACGTTCTTCTATGGACAACAATCATTAACACAGGGTTGTTTCGGTGTAGACTGTACATTAACAACATAAAATTTGATGATGAACATGATAAAACATTTACAAACACTGTGTACAACACCGTGCGCGACTTGACAAGGATCAAACGACGCAAGGAATCAGCTGCATTGGGCTGTCAAGAACCCCTCGGAGAGATAGATGGGTTGGTTGTGACTTCCGACCCCTGCCAAGGCAGCTGTGATCAGATTTATCCTCCTCACCTCGTCCATGGAAGCAGACCTGTCTGATGCAGCTGCGAGCCTGGAGCAAACGTCTGACCGAAGCTGTTGGATCCCCAGCAGTAGACCGCGTTCGACTTGTCGACAGCACACGTGTTCTGTCTTCCAGCAGACACCTGGAGTGGAAGAGGAGAAGCGGATAAGATTGAAGATTGTTGTGAGAAAGGGAGAGGAGAGGAGAAGAGAGGAGAACAGAGGAGGAGAAAGGAGAGCGGATGGGGATGACGGCATACACACCTGAACCCAGTCATACTTTCGAGGGCCCGAGCAAAGGCCGGTGGCACAGTCTGCGCTAGATTTGCAAGGCACTCCTGTCGACTTCCCTGCTGCATCAACGCATGTTCCCTGCAAGGGAGAAGATGAGATGATGGAGAAAATCTGGACTAGGCTTACAGGCTGGTGAGGAACATTTAGTTGACCATAGTTGTTCGAGCCTGCGAAGGAGTGAGATTTTTTCCACCTACTCCAGATTTTCTCATTCCAAATCCAAAACCTTCTCTTCCACTCATCTATCCTTATTATTTTTCTGTCCCACAACCAAATTTTCCTGCAGGAAAATACAACTTCCTTGCTTCCTCTTCCCCGTCAATCTTTTCATCCCTGTCTTCCCCCCTCCTCTGCTGCTCACCCCAACAGTCCATGGACAGGTCTGAGTGGATGCCACAAGTATGCACCCATCCAGCAGACACGCGGAGCCAGGAATTGGAGCACGGGATCTTAGTCTGTCCCTCATGTCCTCTGCTTGCTCAAGTCAACCACCAGCTACCATCATTCCCTATCACCTTCCCCAGCAGTACAAGTAACGATCGCTGTCGATCCCACACGTGTGCGAGCCCCCTGCAGCGAGCTGGATCCAAGTTCTGGAGATGGCTGGCACGGTAGCCTGCCCAACGTCATTGTTCCCCCAGCACACCGCAGAGCCGTTGTGAAAGATGCCACAGGCATGGGTCTGACCCACAGCCACGTCAGTCCAGTAGTCGAAAACGGGCATCTCGATCTCCTTGTAGAAGTTGCTGCCCCAGCACACGATCGTCCTGTTAGACGGCACGTCGCACTGAGTAACGTATGAGTAGAAGCAAGGATGCCGCTCGAGCCACTTAGTCGACCAGTCGTTGACTGCTCTGCACTGTCCCCCACACAGATACTGCAAGTTGCATCCTGTCCCTGGCTGCTGCCCTGGCCCGCACACTGGAGCGTACAGGTAGCGATCCTCGTTGAGAAGGGCACAAGAAAAGCCGCTCCCCACACCCACCTGGGCCCACTTGAACCCTCCCTGGCTCAACCTCTCCCAGTCAGGAGGGGAGGGCATCTGCAGCCTTCCGTCTCCGAGAGCAGTGGGTCCTTGCCAACCCCAGCAGATCATGTTGCCATTGTATCCTATCGCACAGTTGTGCTGGTTTCCCACTCCCACGCTGACCCACACGTCCTGCGCTGTCCACGATCCCTTGGGCCAGAGGATGGGCGCGGTGACTCCAAAGAAGTTTGTGAGCGTCTTATTGTTCTCGCTGTTGCCCCAGCATTCGAGCCTTGACGCTGAGCTGATGGCGCATGTATGATCGGTCCCTGCCGACACCCGCGTCCTCGTGCACAGGCAAGTCGACATGGTGTCGATATTTCCACCCCAGCACGTGTATCCCGTCTCTGTAGAGCAATCGGAGGAGCAGCCATCCCCGTCGATCGTGTTGCCATCATCACAGCCTCCTGGAAAACATTCCTGTGAGCATCCTGAAGTCTGGCAACAGCCGCTGAACAGTCGGATCCCGTCACCGCACAGGACGGTACAGACGTCTGCCGATGTACTGCTCCCTCCTACACACTGCCAACCCACCTCCACTGTACAGTTGCTCGAGCAACCATCTCCGTTGATGGTGTTTCCATCATCACATTGCTCGTTCTGAAGCCGAAAACCATTCCCGCACACATCCTTGTACCTCGACGACACGCAGACACCGTCGATGCCGCAGGACGTGAGGTCAGTAAGACCGTAGCAAGACGATCCTGCGTTCACCCCTCCAAGACAGAAGTAGAGTACTGTTGAGCTCGTGCTAGTGGTACCCTTAGATGCAGGAAAAAAGGCTAAGAGCAACGCTGGGAACAACAGTTTCTGAATGTGTCGGTGCTGCGCAAGGAAAGCGTCTATACCACAGCGCATTGGCGGATTATCAGGAGAGATCCATCGGGTTCGCAAGGATGGAACTAGACAGGACAAGTCACGGAATCGAAGGCAACAAGTGTAACGACGACAATCCTAGGACGCATCTTGATCCATTTACAACACTGAACATGCTTGAAAGACCTCAAAGTATGTGTACTACATCACTCTGGATTCGCCTTTACACTGTCTCTCCTTCACTTCTACCTACTGCAAACAGACATCCGAAGCTTCTGTCTCTGTTGCTCACTAATTTACAACCCATCAATCCATCCTTCTCTAATCTGCGCACTGACACTATTACACAGGCTACTCTTTTCAACAAGAAACCAGAACTCTGCATGGCATCTTCCATACAAAGGGCGCTCATGCAAGAGGAAAGCAAGCACATATGCGAGTCGCGCACACTAACCCATTCCTCACTCTTAGTTCGTATCCCTACTCTCCCTGCTCCATGTATCTGATAGAGTTCCACCTGCAATGCTCGCATGTCCTGCCCGGCTGCCCTATCCTATCTGCTGTCCTATACTATCTGCTGCCCTGTTCCATCTGCTGTCCTATACTATCTGCTGCCCTATCCTATGTGCTGCCCTGTTCCATCTGCTGTCCTATCCTATCTGCTGCCCTGTTCCATCTGCTGCCCTGTTCCATCTGCTGTCCTATACTATCTGCTGCCCTATCCTATCTGCTGCCCTGTTCCATCTGCTGTCCTATCCTATCTGCTGCCCTGTTCCATCTGCTGCCCTGTTCAATCTGCTGCCCTATCCTATCTGCTGCCCTATCCTATCTGCTGCCCTGTTCCATCTGCTGTCCTATCCTATCTGCTGCCCTATCCTATCTGCTGTCCTATCCTATCTGCTGTCCTATACTATCTGCTGCCCTATCCTATCTGCTGTCCTATCCTATGTGCTGTCCTATCCTATGTGCTGTCCTATCCTATCTGCTGTCCTATCCTATCTGCTGTCCTATCCTATCTGCTGTCCTATCCTATCTGCTGCTCTATCCTATCTGCTGTCCTATCCTATCCGCTGTCTGACCGTCTGGTCTTCTCCTCCTTGCCCTCTTCCAACTGAGTTCCTTCAACTGATTCTGCATATCCTTGCACCCCTCGTCCCCGTTCATACACAGTTTGAGTTGACCAGGCCACCCGGCGATAGCCCGGGAAGGATGGCGGGCCTGAGGCAGACTCACGCGAGGGGTCTCATCTCCCCATAGAAAAACATGGGGTGGGTGATGTATTCAGAGGGGGTACTGGGTACGTTTTCTCCAGAATTCTCCATTTCATGGTGGGTGGTAATTCAATATTTCGCTATGGTAGGGGTGCTCTGTCAAGTCTGATTTTGAGGGTGGGGTACTTGCGCCGGCACTGTACAGGATGGGAGTTGGTATATGATAACCCCTGATGTCGGACCGTCTCAAAGTGGAAATAGAGGGGTAGGTGCGCATAAAACTTCAAGTGTAAGGTCATAATGAGGGGTATTGTATGGATATTTCCTGGGTGGTTTTCAAGAAGGCGGGGTAATCCTTTGAATAAGGGGTAGTCTTCTGGTATGGGATTGTTCTCTGGGGTTCCTATCAAGGGAAAATCGGGGGTGGGGTTCAGATCGTTGAACAACTGTTCTACCACCCCTCTCTCATTTCAACACCCCCTCTTCGTAGTACCCTACCCATGTGTAACCTCCGAATTCTGGGAAAAGAACCCCTGCCACCACCTAGGGTACCACAATTTTTCAGACTATTGAACCCCACCTACCCCTCGTACGTGCATGGGAGGGGTGTAGCTATACTAGGGGTAGGTGGTGAAGTTCGAAGAACAATGGACGGTTGGGTATTGCAACAGGGGGTAGGGGTGGAATTCGTAGCGGGTAGGTGGTCGTTAGGAGGGGGAGATGAATAGGTATGAATGCTACAAGGTGGTGAAAGAATGTAACCCGAAGGGTGGGTACATCGGAAATTACAGGGGTGGGGGTGACAGAACAAGTACATCAGGGGGTACAGGTGGTGGAAAATGGGGGTGATGAAATCGAGGGGGTACTGCTTCCCCAGGGTCCCTCCGCCGCCCCCATCAACAATGGTCGGAAGAAGAGTAGCAGGAGACAAATAGCGTGCAGCCCCGCACTTCCATCCTCCTCCTCTGTGCCTGGACTTCTCGACGAAAGTACCCCTGTCTTCCTAGGGAATAGACTCTTGGCTGCCTTGCTGTTGTTGTCCAGGTTGGTTTGAACGAAAGCCGATCAGTAGTCGGCATGGAGGGGATTTGCATTTGATGATGGGAGTTCCTCCCTAGTTCAACTTCTTCTGTAGCTTTTCGAACGTGAGAGATCAAGGAGCATGCTTGGCTTCATGGACATATAGTCCGAGTTGCGGAATGCTCCCTCGAAATGGGCGTTTCTGGAATCGTGGTCAGTGTGAGGGAAACGCAGCTGGATCCTTGATCCTTACGGACATCAACAAGGTGTTTGATCCCACTTGTGCTCATTTTCAACTCAAATGTTTCCATGCTCCGAGTCGTCGAAGATTCCTTATGCTGATGAGCCTTGCAGGATCTACTGCGTGAGTTATGGCCGGAGGATAAGGTGATAGCTGGGCGGCGGGTCTGCAGGTAGCAATTGTATTGTGCTGTGCTTCATGCGATCCCCACCTGGTTTGACGTGGCGATCAGATTTTTGAGGAGGGAGCTTCTGAAAGTGAAGAGTCTAGTCATCCGAGCCTCCACGTTGCCATCGCACTCCAGCTCGTGGAGCATACTCCCAAAGGTCTGTGGAAGGATGAGCATGATGCGGTGGGCATTGACGAGGCCTTGTCAGTATGAGGGATCGATAGAGTTCTATGGCATGCGACTTGGCGGCATCGTCGACAGCCTCATTGTCCCTGCAGTCATCGAAGGTTGGAAAGGGCCGAGTGTTTTGAACTTGGTGGACAGTCATATCAAGGTGAAGTAAGCAACGACGATGATGTTGAGATGACTGGAATTTGCAGCGTGAGGGAGCAGAGAGCTTGTCTCAAGCGCTAGCTCGCTGCGGGGGGACGATCAAGAGGCTCGAGCTTGATGGGAACTACGTTGGAAGGATGGGGATCAGCCGACTCTCCGTGGCACTCACTCACTGCAGGAACCTTACGTTCCTCAGCTTGGGAAGAAACCTGATTGGGGACAAGGGGATAGGACATCTCGTCTCTTCCCTTCTCTTCTGCCCGCTGCAGCATCTCGACTTGAGCATCAACTACATCGGAGCAGAGGGTGCAGCGAAGCTGGCAAGTGTTCTCCCGCATCTCTCCATGCTGGAAGTCCTGATCCTCTTCGGGAACCCGCTCAAGGATGAAGGAGTAGAGAAGATCTCCAAAGTGCTTCTGCAGTGCTTCCTCTTGCAGAGACTGGACCTGAGCGTCAACGGGATCGGGGCGGAGGGAGCAGGAAGGCTTGCCCTTGCCCTCCCCTCCTGCACCAGGTTGAGAAGCCTCAACCTGAGGGGAAATGCCTTGGGAGACTTGGGAGTGAAGCTTCTGTCCTGGGCGACGCCGCAGTGTCTCGCGATGACTGAGCTCGACTTGAGCAGGAACAGCATCACGGCTGACGGCGCCTCGTCTCTCTGCAGGAAACTGGTGCCTGACGTCATTGTGAATCTCGACCTGGCTGGCAACTTTTTGGGGGAGGAGGGAGCGATGGCCCTGGCCCTGAGCTTGAAGAGCTGCACCAGTCTATCGAGATTGGAACTGAGCAGGTAAAGGGATGGATAGATCCGTAAGAGTAGGTGCTTTCAGAAGATCAAGCATGTTAGCTGGAGCAGTGCCGATGTGGGCAAGGAGGGACTTCAGAGGAGGAGCAGGATGATGATGACGACGACGATGAGGAGGAGAAGTTGGCATAGGTGGCGGTGGTGATGGTGGCGGTGGTGGTGGAGGAGGAGGTGGTGGTGGAGGAGGAGGGGGTGGTGGTTTTGGTAGCGGTGGAGGAAGATTTTCAGAGGATCATGGCACAATGTCATAATATGTACTTCGGCAGATGCCGGCTAGGATGTCAAGGGATCAAGCGGCTCATCCCTCTCAGACACAACCAGAGTCTCTCTCATCTCGGTCTGGGCCTGAACGATATCGGAGACTCGGGGGTAGAAGCGCTGCTGCCCTGCTTGTCGGACATGCACTGTTTGAAGTGGTAGATAATGATCCTCCCTCATTCCGTTCTGCTCCATCCCCATCCCCAGCCTCAGCTCTCCCTATCTCCTTCCAACACCACCTCCCTTGCCTCCTCTCCCTCCTCCTCTCCCTCCTCCTCTCCCTTCTCCTCCTCCCCAACTCGCACGTTTGTGTTTTCGTCCGGGCTGATTTCTTGGCAGGTTGGACTTGTGCGGCAACGGAATTACCGACCAGGGAGCTTCACTTCTGTGCTCTCAGTTCACCTCCTTGCTGTCGCTGGAAACGTTGAATCTCGGTGGAAACAATTTCTCCCTGGCAGGTAGTGAACGGGAGGAAACGCTGGAGTTTGTTGATGAGTACTGCCAGGAGTCGACAAGCTGCGGAAGGCGGCGAAGGAAGCAAGGTGATAGAACTAGCTGTGATTCTTTTCTGTTGTTTGCTGACCTGCAAGCTCTTCTCCGTGTGTGTTGACTGAGCTTTCTTGTCCCTCCTGCAGATCTCTCCGCACTCTTATCATCGGGAGTGAAGGAAATTGGGATGAAGGCTCAGGTGATTTTACGGCCCTTCACCATGACTACTCCTTTACTTTCACCCTTTCCATGCTGCTCCTCGTCCTGTGTCTTTCTTTCTCTCTGCTTGATTCTCATGCTCCTCTCTGACGTGCTTGGAAGGTCTCCTATCCGTCGCTCTTCCTTGCGGCATCTTGCGATGGTGACGCCAACCCCCTTCCGTCCTTCACATTTTCTACAGAGCAACTTGTGTATACTAAAAGACTTGTTAATGAATCAACACCATAACCCTCAGTGCATTTGAGAGATGTGTCCCCGCATTGTTCGCTCCACGTCTACACTTGTCAAGGACAAGTGGTGGTCAAAGTTTCCAACACATCGTATTATTGAATCCATCAACAAGCAAAACGAATAACTATATGTACAGGCTCTTTCCGTTAGTCCTCTAGTTGTCAATATCCATGGCGTCAAGAGCCGCAGCTACTTCAAGAGTTTCATGACATGGCATAGTTTGTCCTTCCACGTGCTCATGAACGTACTGATTCCAGCTCTGATCGTTCATCCTTTGAAACCTGACAGAAAACAATCCTTTCCAAACAAGAAGCATATCGCCGCTGTTATCATCCAAAACTACAACCATCCCCTACGAAAGAGTCAGTTTCGAGCCAACTTATAAAAACGCCTTCCAAGATACAACGCATCATGATCCAAAATCACTGGGCAACATCAAGATGGCATCGTCTCTCACCGAGTTCCATGTCGGGTTAACAAAACCATGCTCCGCAACCAACGCCAGACCATCGTACACAGCCTTCACGGGGATGGCATCGTCTCTGCTTCCTCTGCATGATCTCGGACAGTCGCAGTGGAAGTTGCAGGTGCAGTGATACATCTTCTTCAATCCGTTGGGCATGCCAGGAACGGGAAGCATTCCAGGATCTGAGGCATCTGAAACTAGAGGAGCATCGCAGTTGAGCGGGGCTCGGAAGGTTAGCTCGCCAGAGGGAACGTTAGGATCTCCTGTGCATTTCAGACCGACCAGCTCGGTGAATCTTGACGAGATCAAGTTGCAGACACTGACACAGATCAGCTCAGTGCCGTGAGGGCCGTATGCTCCTCTCCAGAGTCCTTGAAGCTCTCTCGGATCGAACTCCGAAGGATCCTTGATCGCAGGTCGAGGGACTGCGGATTGATTCTTGCAGAGCATCAAAGCACCGGTGGAATATGATGGAGAGGAGTAGTGATCCTGCATGTATCCTGTTCGCCGGCGAATGTCTCTCGTCCGCTTGGGGGCCGCAGGGATCTCTTGTCTCAACGGGCTGCTCTCATGGCAAAGGTAAGAGTGTTTCATGTCCCCACGGCCAACAAGCTTGCAGAACAGAGATCCGCTGCTTCCACGAGTAAAGATGTTGACTCTGGCTTGTATATCCAAGTTTGATGATCCAGTGAAACCAAAGAAGTCCTTTGCTGCAAGAGTGTTGCCGCATGTAACCAGCACCAGACCTGAAGCCTCTACAGCCATCGTGAAAGGAGTGATCATATCAAACTTGCGGATGGGTTGAACTTCCATGGGATCGTGTCCGTTTAAGTGCGGAATCATCAATGATGCCACAATGTCTGTTTCGCGAATCTCGACCCTCAACATCCCTCCTCGCGGCTTGTTGTCTAACACCCAGTATCCATGAAGCCAGCCGACCTGGGACAAGAGCCGGAATACCCGTTTGTTGCTTCCAAGATTGCGAAACCATGTCGCAACAAGTTTTTCATTCAGCTGCCATGGCAGCTCGCGAATCTTCTGTTGCCAGAGCATGTCATCGTCCGCAAGGGTAAGGAGCCTCCTGTTCACTGTCGACACTGTCCGCAGCAAGAACTTAGGAGGCATGTTCTCCATAATCCTTAGAAGGATCTCATCATCCAGATCGAACAAGGGAAGCGGTTGAAACCCCGGGACTCCCTGCGAGACAAAACCATCACATCCTCGTTTCACTATGAACCTTGCTACTTCACCTGGGTTCGCAAATAACGCAGCACAGCCCAAGACATGATTGGCTTTTCAGTTCAGGCAGTTGAATGCTCTCAGTGAGGAAACCCTTTTGTAGAAGAAGTTTGCTCAGATAAATGTAACCTGCAAGAAATTCATTCAGCAAAAGAGGATGACAAGAGCTGAAGAGGCATCAAACGAAGCTTTGAAACAAAACAAGCTTTGCAACAAACGAAGCATCGATTGTGCCAAGAACCAAATGGATTCATGGTTAAACCATCAACATTGAAAGAAGCAAGTAGATCATGGGGAAGGGGGCCGAGGGAACATGCTTGTTTCATATCGATCAGCCTAGCCGAGAAAATTGGATTTAGTCCATTTCTATAATTTTCCAACATTTGCGCAGACACATTGCTACTGTACATTTCATTCCTCAATTCAGCACTCTGTACATTGTTGACAGTTTCCTATCATCTACGTCCGTCCTCCGTCCTCCTCCTCCTCTCCTCCTCTCCATGCGCTGCCTGTGCCTCCCCTTTGTCAGCTGCCATCTCGTGCCCCTCAACCGCGGACTACCCCTAAACCGCCTGGCTGCTGACCTGCTTTACCCCTACCCCGATTTTCATGCACCCCACCCCTTTCAACCTCAACGATTTGCGGGGCAGTAAAGCAAGTGACTGTTCAGGGGGGTGGGGTCCGTTAGGGGATTTAGGCCTTAGAAAGTAATAAACCCAATTGTGAGTGACTGGTACAAAAAGTCAAATTGATTGGTATAAGAAGTCAAATTCATATATAGAAACTACGTACAAATTGTAAAAGTATATTCTTCTTATGTGTACCGTGTTGCGTACTGCTGATACCTCAGGAGCTAATAATTGGAGAAGGTCATTTCGATGGGGGGTAAGGGTAGGTGAGAGGCTGTCGAGGGATGGAAGAATAGGGGTACTCAAAGGACAAGGTTCAACGAAATGGGGGGTAGGGTAAGTTAATGAGGATAACCCCTACCCCCACTCACCCTCTTCGATCTTTTGACCAACCCATGATAAAAAAAAACAGACAAGAGGACAATTGTGCTGGATACGAAAAAATTCCATTTCGAGTGAGAAGCCCTTTCGTGATTAAAAGCATTCCGAAAAAGCTCAATTTCAAAAAAGATTCTTTATCCCTACATAGCAAAAGGTCGTCATTTCGAAAATGTAGTAAATCAGAGCAAACGTTGGACGTCACGCAGTCGAAGAGCTTAACTGTATTGAACGTTTTCTTATGATCTCTCATAGAAAATGTTTGACCTTTCACCCACCCTCACTTGACCGTGACCGCCCTCGGGCAGCCCTTCCGTCCTGTTCATTCTTATATATATTTTAAAATGATGACCGCCCCTGGTCGCTGTTTCCGGTAACTAACCAACATAAATGCATTAAACCTCCTCCAGTCATCGCTCTCCGACTGCCCGGGGCTCGGGGCCCGGGTCCGGGGCCCGGGTCCACTCACTGACACAGTCGGTCGTACGGGTCCGCCCCGGGCGGCCATTGATGAGCCCGACTGAATGAGGCGTGTAAAGGATATGAGAGGGTCGAGGTGGAGAAGGGAAAGTAGAAGAGAACGATGAGCAAAGACAAGAATGTTGAGGGAAGAAACAGAGAGGTAGACACCCACGAGTCAAGAGATCTTGTTCTTGGAGTATGAGGAGAGATGAATCTTTCATGATGTTGGTGATAGGTAACATCTACTCCAAGTTTCCTGCGCATGAAGGTTTTGATTGATGTGGCATGCGTCACGTGTACACAGTGAATGAGTGTTGATATTTCCTTGGAGCCTCTTTAGCTCTTCATGTTGATTCTTCAAAGCTCGTGCTAATGAGAGGACAACTTTTTGCAGGACTGATGGAGTTTGCAAAACCTGTTCCCTACCAACCTCCACCATGGGCAAAGTCAGCTCTATGTTCAGGTCTATCGTGCTTGACAGTCTTACAGGAATCTTTCATCAATCCCATCCCACTTCGTTCCCATGGCATCCCTTCCTACCGGCATTGAACCGTGGAGGATACCAGTTCCCGACGGTATCAACTTGTGGATCAAACGAGACGATAAGAGCGGCATGGGGCTGAGCGGGTAAGCGTAAGCTCAATCGTATAATGCTGCTGCTGATCAGGATCATGATGAGGACGAGGATGGTGGGTGGTGGTGGTGGTGATGGTGGTGGTGAAGATGGTGGTGGTGATGATGAAGATGAAGGTGAAGGTGATTATCATGATGATGGTAGCGGCGGTGCCAGTGGTGATGGTGGGTAGTGATAGAGGGGACTGCTCTTGATATTCGCCGTGTGCTTAGTAGAGGCCCTTGTCAGCAACAGTGGGAGGAGGATGCCAAAGAGTAGGGCTAGAAGGGACGCTGCTTGGGTATGAATGCATCAACCGGATATCATCTCGAGTCGATCATGACAGCGAATGGAGCTTGCTGTTGTCATTAAAAATTAAGAGACTTGTGCAGGAACAAAGTGAGAAAGCTCGAGTTTCTCATGGCAGAGGCTCTTGCTCGCGGATGTGATTGCGTTGTCACCATTGGAGGTGTCCAGTCGAATCATTGCAGAGCAACTGCTGTTGCAGCGAAGAAGCTGGTAACATGAATGTGCGACATGTTGTTTCGACATCATGCTGATATTTCTGCAAAGATAAGATCTTCTTCGTTCTTTTTCCACTACCCTTTGTCCTGTCTCTCTGTCTCTCTGTCTCTCTGTCTGTTTGCTTGTCTTGATTTTCATTTCTCGCTATCTTCATTGACTCGAAACTACAGGGATTAGAAAGCTATCTCATATTGCGGCAAACTGATGCTGAACTGCAACAAAAAATCGATCCTGGTAAATGCCTTCGTATTCCCAGCAAATCGTTCACATTCCAGCCAGGGTTGACCGGCAATCTGATGATTTCAAGGATGGTTGGAGCCAATCTTGTAATGGTATCAAAGTCAGAATATGCCAGGTAGTCCATTCGTTGAGACTGTGTTGCATGTCTACTTCCATGACAATGATTTGATACAACTTGGCAGGTTCGGTCAGAAAGTGCTTCTCAACAACCTGATAGAGCAACTGGAGCAGGAGGGGAAAAAGCCATATGGTAAGAAGATTCTGAAGCATTCAACTAACAATGCCTGAGCGGTTGTTCTTACTTTTGATTATTTCTCCTCATCATTTTCTCGCTCTCTTTTCCTCTCTCCCCCTCTATTCTTCCTCGCTCATCCTTTGTGCTATTCTTTCCCGTCTGATTTCTCTATCGCTCGTTGTATCAGGTATTGCTGTTGGTGGTTCTGTACCCCTCGGAGCGTGGGGTTACATCAAGTTTGTTCAGGAGCTACAGGAGCAGGTCATTTGCGATCTTCTCTGACGTCTCTTTCTCCTCCTCCTCCTCCTCCTCCTCATTCTCCCTTTGCTTTTTGCTGGCATACTCTCCTTGTCACCTTGCTGGCCTACTCCCGTTCCTCTATTCCGGTCCCTGTTTCCTGATGGAGCCGCAGATGCAAGCGATGAAGATGAATTTCTCTGATATCGTCGTAGCTTGCGGTTTCCTCCTCGTTCTCATCCCCCCTCTCTCTCCCCAACCTCCACACGCTCCCTCCTCCCTCTCTCCCCTCCCCTCTCCTCCCCTCCTCTCTCCTTCCCTCCTCTGCTCCCTCCACCTTCCCCTCCCTCCTCTTTCCTCTTTGCCCTCTCTCCTCTCTGGCTCTTTCTCCTCACTCCCCTCTCCTCTTCCTTCTTCCCATCATTCAACCCCCGCCTCGCCTCCTCCTCTTACTGAGTATGAAACTGAGGCACAGTGAGCAGGCAGCGGAGGAACTGCGGCTGGACTTGCGATCGGTGTTTTCCTTGCCGGACTAAAGATCCGGTGAAGATATCGAGGCAGAGGAGAAGAAAAGAAAGAGGGGGAGGGAAGGGAGGACCCGTGAGGAGGAAGAGTGTAGAGGGAAGTAAGAGGTAGGAGGAGGTGATGGGAAGATGGAGGGGTAAGAGCTAGGGGAAGACGGTGGGAGGATGGAGGGGTCATGACCAAGTACCAGGGTGCACGCGATTCTCGTTTGCGACGACAAGGTCAGTATCCTCCTCCCACCTCGTCGCTCCTCCTACATCTTTCAACATTCTTCCCTCCCCTCACTTCCTCCTTCACTTCTACTTGTTCTCACTTCCTTTGCCTACTCAATTTCCCTTCCTGCTCCTGCCTACAGAATTACTTCAGGTGACTACTTTGCTCCTCACCCTTCCCCTTTCCCTTCCCCTTTTCCTCGCCTCCCCTCTAGCCGTAGTTCCCTCCTCCAATTTTCTTCTCCTAATCCTTTTCTTAGGCAACACATCCAAGACACGATCGATGCGCTCGGTGTACAAGCAAGTGCAGATGAGGTAGGGAGAGGGGATGGGGAGAGAAAGATGGTTGCAGAAGGACAGCAGACAAGGATGACATTGTAGAGGAAAAGGCGGTGGAAGAGCAGGAGCAGGAGCAGGAGCAGGAGCAGGAGCAGGGGGCAGGAGCAGGAGCAGGGGGCAGGAGCAGGAGCAGGAGGAGGAGCAGGAGCAGGAGAGAAATGCAGCTTGACATCATCATCAGATTGTGGTGCTCCACGACGAGTACCGAGGGAAAGCGTACGCGCTGAGCAGAGGAAGAGAAAGTGAACAGAGGATGGGAAGGATGGGGGGGGGGGG